GATTATACTTAACTGGCTGCACATTACATGACAGGCCTTTATTTGTTCGGGTCGGCCACGCCCCCGGCCTTTACTGGAGACTCCTGGTTTTTATTTGACGAAAAGAAAAAAGAAAAAAGCTAATTTCATTGTTGTGAAGCAGGATGCTAACCCCCCTCCGCTCGTCTTACAGGCATGCAGAAACGTGAAGCTCTGAACTGCCACAAGATCCGTCACTTCGAGAGCACGTTCGTGGTGGAGACTGTGATCTGCGAGCCTTAAGACGCCTCATCGCCTCACACCTGCTCTTAAAGTCACTGGCGTGCAGTGAGATTGTGTTTTTAATCCTCACCTGTCCTTATTTTTTTTATTTTATTTTTTTTTCCTCTGTCCTTTACTTCAGGTAGTTTGAGTGAGTGAGCGGAGTGAAATGTGAAGCTGTGTGGTAAATATTAATTGATTGTGAAATAAAAAAGGTGAAGAGTCATGTATTTTTCCACTTTCTGTACGGGGGTCTTCTTGGAAGCTTTTCAAAAAAATAACAAGCTAAAAGACAGTATAGTATAAAAGAGTAAATTATTTTAATCAAAATAACTGCAGTTACAGCATGAACGTATATTTTAATAGACATGGGTAGATTTACAGTTTGCTTTTTCCTTCAGTCCAAACATAAATTTCAAGAGAAAGGGCGACTTTTGTACCACTCACCCTGGTTTTACCAGGGAGACTTGTTGTTTTTGTATTTTGTCTGCTGTAGCTATTAATACACTGCACCTGTTCTTAACTGGAAAATGGTCTTAAAATAAGAGTGTGGACACGTGTCTCTCTTGTTCAGCTTTAAGAATACGTTGGTAGAAGAGCTGAGTAGGAAAACAGGAAATTAAAAATAAACTTCACAGCAGAGAGTTCACAGCAAACACACACTTGTGTTAAAATCTTTTTCATGAGGGTTGTCTGTCTTTTTTTTTGAATGTGTAATTTTTTTGGATAATTCTTTTTGTTGTACTAATTTGTGTATATAATCTCTTTAAAGATATGACCAGACCAACACAATAAACAAAACAGAAAAAACAGCCGCTGTCTGTTTTTCCCTTTGACTCATTCATTGAAGAACTCATCAAAGGGAGGGACTTTGGTTTTTTTGGGGGGTTTTTATCTTTCATTTTACTGAACTGGCACTTCATTCATTCATATGATTCTAGTTTTTTAAACAAATCCAGTGGCTCAGTTGCTTTTCATCCTGTTTTCACTGTCAACTTGACCTGATGGATGAAATGTCATGACTTTGCTGATCCTCTGACTTTTTATTTAGCACCATCATCAGGTCACATTTGAATTTGTCCATTATGTTGGTTTATGACCGGAAATGCAGAAGCAGTAACGGCTCCTTTCACGTTGTTGAATTATGAAGCCCCCATGCTGAGCAGATGTGATCAGCCACAATAACTGAAACACAGCTGTGTGTGTGTGTGCAAAGTCTTTAATCTGTAATAATGCACCATATTTTAGAAGCTGATCAAATGTTGTCAGGATAATGTGGCGGAGTAAAAAAGTACCTTTCCTTCTGAAATGTGATGGAGTAGAAATATGAAATGTGTTTCTGTGCAGATGTAAAATCAGCAATTAGCATGTACATTAGCATTTAGCTCACAGAGCTACCCGCATGTCTGTAGACTTCCGACAGGAAGTGGACAGCTTCACCAACCTTAATGCACATGACCGTGAATACAGTGTTTTACAATAAAGTTACACGTTTAAAACTCTCAAAAACGACTCTTCTAAGTGCATCTGTTTGTTCTGAGTTTTAATGACATGTAGCTCTTGTACTCTCTGTACTTGTGACAGAACATTCAGCCAAATTAATGTCAATTTAAATTAAGATAAAGGAGAAACAATGAAAAAAGTTAAAACAACTGTCCAGTGACTCTCACTGGATTTTATCTACTTTTTGCCTCTTTTGTTTGTGATGAATCTGAAACCCACAATAGATTGATTGATGGTCAGGACAGAAAATTACACAAGTACAGTTCTGAGGAACTTGTACTCGAGTGTTTCCATTGTATGTGACAATGCACTTTAGACAGAGAGCAGATAGATAGTCTGTTGTCCCAGGATGGGAAATGTGCACACGTTCATGTCACACAGCAGGACACAGCTGACATGGCAGAAAGTGCTGGTGCAGCAGAGCATGCTCCAGATGCTGCTCACACACTGATGACTCAGGACTGACAATGTCAGAAAGAATCAGTCACAGGAGAAAGTTTACTGCAGAAAAATCTAGTACATGAAGCTTTGAACACTACTGCTGTAGTCGGAGCTTGAATGCATGACACATGACTGCATGTGTGAAGTCATCACCTCAGAGGACTGACACGGGATCAGCTGTCACAGCAGGCGCTCAGGCTTCGTGTCATTCGATCACGGTGGAAATTTGTTCTTGATTAAAGCACTAATCAGACGGACCTCGCGCAGGGGGATGATGGGAAATGGGCCAGGTGGTCAGTGGTGGGAGGTCACCTTGAGGAATCAGAGGGAAGGTCGTGAAGAGCAGCACACTGATCATATAACTCCTGCTCTGCAGACTGAAGCTCTACATCCGTCACTAAATCAACCATTTGATAAAAACTGCAGTGAAATAATCAGTGATGAAACAAAACTAAGTGCATTTACTTAAAAACTGTTTTCAGGTACATTGAGTACTTCAGTTTTACAGGTCCAGGTGATCCACGTCAGTCAAGAGGCCCAGCAGAGGATGTAGTTCCTGCTCCAGCTCAGGAAGTTCCACCTGCCTCAGCAGCTGCTGATCCAGTGCTACACTGATATCATCCAGTCTCGCATCCATCACCGTCTGGTTCCGTCTCAGCCACTGAACGAGACAAGAACAGACTCTGACGGACAGTCAGGACTGCAGAGATGACCTCTGGTGCCAACCTTCCCACCATCATCACCATCCAGGCCTTGCACACCTCCAGATTTATGAAACATCCCTGCAAAATGTAGCGAACATGGAGGTGTCATAAAACTGCAGTTCCTGTATGAATAGACCATATTCACGTGGCGGCCATTTTCCTCTGACGTCACACTGAGGGTGGGAAGCCTTTCCTTTCACCACTTTGATCAACGGGCAGATGAATTTGCCAGATGTTGAAGGTGAGACATGCTCACACTGGAAACACTGTAAGCTAATGCTAGGCTAGCACACATGAAGTTTGCAATTAACACGCATACATGCATATACTGTACAGAACCGCCTACTGTGTTTATGTAAAGCAACTTATTACACCACCCACTTAGTTATAGTTATTTCAGCATTCCTTACACCACCTGCTTCCTTATTTACAACTTCAGAAACTGGTTGAGTTTATTTATTTTTGCTGGGCTTTGTTGTCCTGGTTTTGCTGTATCTCCATGTGTATCTCCCTGGACATTGTTATTGGTGCTGTGTACTGTGTGTGAGCACAATGAGAGCCACTGGAAACCAGAGTCAGATCCCTTGTATACAAAATATATAAACACACTTGGCCAGTAAAACTGATGTAGATTCTAAAATCAGATGTTATTTTGGGATTATGTGCAGAGTATTTCTTTCCCCTGTTCAGGCGCAGGCAAGTGAAATTACAGGATATTTACATTTTTACACTTCAGTTTGAAGATTAATCAACTAACATATGTCATGTTAATGAATTTATCAAATAATATATATCAGTCCATCTACAATTTTATATTTAGAACATTTACTTGTAACAGAATAATTTTTACAAGTATTTAATTAAGATCTGAGTTCTTTACCCACAACTGAAAATGTAATATGGGATGATATTTACTATATTTACATCACAGTGTTTCAGATACAGCCTACACACACACACACACACACACACACACGATGGCTGCCTGGCATATCATTCTGGGGTGTGATGGCTAAAATCTGACAGCAGCAACATGATCTGTGACTGTGAATAAAGCACCAAACCTCTGCTGCTGTACGGAGGATTTAAATAAGCATCGTGTCTTCTCTCTCTTGCTCTCGCTGTGAAGCCTCTGGCTCCGATTACAGGCCGGACAGGTGAGAGATAACTGCAGCCTCACAGTACACTCCCACTTTATCCTGATGAATGTGTCAGCGTCATCACTGCACTGATGCTGTCTGTGTGTCTGGGCTGGTCTTTCATACTGACCTACATATACACACATGTACATATAAGATGGAGCTATTTAACGTTTGTTGAGACATCAGCAGTGGTGGAAAGTAGTGAAAAACATTTCAGAGAGTACTTTGCAGATTAAAATTCATAATATATTCAAAAACTAAAGGTATGATCTCCAATTAATATGATTTAACTAGTGAGTTGAACCCCCAATCTATAGACCATGGATGGATTACCAAACAGGTCTGTGTGGTCTGGGGGGCCCAGGGCCAGAGCCTCTGTGAGAAGTAACAGTTAAGCCACATGTGTTTATAAGTGTATCAAATGAAGAATGAAGAAAGAGAAATTAATGCACAGGGGAGAGAAAAGGTAACAATTCTAAGAAGTTAAAAAATACAGAAACAAAGTGAGGAGAAGGAAAATTATTATTATATTTATAAGATGATCACATGTTTTGTGTGTGAAAACAAAGTAACTGTAACTAATTCAAAGTATCATAAATTTGAAGTACTCAGGTAAAGTGTAAGTACCTCTAAATTTTACTTAAATATGCTACTTGAGTAAATGTACTTTCCACTCCTGGGGATTATTATAGAACTACTTTAGTGACTTGTTTGAGAAACAGAGTTGTGTATTTTTTTGTTCAAATACTGATAAAAGAGCCACAGAAACTGCTTGAACTACATCTCCCAGCATTCCATGCAGCAAATTAATACAAAAACTGTCACTCGTTAAAATTGTAAAAATTGACTCTCATCTTGTTTTTGCTCACAAAAGAGCAGCGTGATTGAGCTTTGAAAAAAAAACTTCAACTACAACTCCCAGCATTCCGTTTGGTTTCCCTTCGCGCTTGCCGTAGTTGACAAACGTTTTCAGACAGTTTTCAGACCGTCAGGACATTATAACTCACCGCCGCCGCTGTGTTTCAGTGTGACTTCTACCTCCAAGAAGAGGACAGCTTTTCAAAAGGTAATTATAGACTTTTATCTGACATTGAAATCAGGAAAAATTAGCGTTTATGCTATCGACGGTGAAATTAAGTTAGCATGCTAATTTGAAAGCTAGCCGAATGTGTATCCGTCTCCATGGTGACGGGCTATTTCCGCCCGGACTTTTTGGTGTTTAAACTGTGAAAGAGTTTCATCGATTTTTATGAACGTAAAATACGTCATAACATAAAAAATAACATCAAATTTACTCGGCGTTAATAATTGTATTCAATCCACCGGTTAATGTGGAGGAATATAATCTGCAGTATCATCGATGGTGGAAAGTAAACGGTGCGGTACTTAAACTACCGAAAGTAATTGTACTTTTGCTACTTGAGTACTTCTATTTTAAATTTTGTAAATTTTTCGCTCCACTACATTTAACTGAAAACTGTAGTTGTTATTTACATGTTACATTTTAACTCCTGGGAAAAATAAATTTCGTTATTTAAGTGCAATTCATTTAAAAATGCAGGATATATACATCAAACACAGCATTAGCCATAAAATGATTGGTTGATAAGCCCATTCATTGATTGACAGAAAATTAATCAGCAGCTATTTTGATGATATTGAAGATTAATTTTTCAGTTTTTCTCTGGTTTACATCACTGAAAACTGAACACATAAAAAGTCAATAATAAAAATAATTGTTAGTTGGAGTGTCAAAATCAACAACAAACATATTCTGGTAGATTATCATTCATACTTTGCCTCATTTTTGTGTGTTCCATTTCTTGTTCCAGGTGTTGTCCAGGTGTTATGAACAACTATGAGGTCATCCGTCAGATCGGAGAGGGTGCGTTTGGGAAAGCCTTCCTGGTCAGAGACAAAGGTGGAGGTGGAGACAGGCAGTGTGTGGTCAAACAGGTCAACCTCAGAAAGGTAACAAGGGCAGCATGTGAACAGTTTCTGTCCAACACATGTTCTTGTAGCTCACCTGCAGTACAGTTATTGTTTATTTGTTGGTTTATTTAAAAGGAATGGTTCGATACTCTGGGAAATGTGCTTATTTGCTCTCTAGCTGAGAGTAAGATGATAAGATTCACACCGTTCATCTGTCTGATTAATATGAAGCTACTGCTGTTTAATGGTGGGTGTTGGGACTATTTCTTGGTTGGGTGCAGTGACTTGTTAGTTCTGGCAAATAACCAGCTGTTACCCAGCTGTTTGAGGTTAATGTTGATTTACACATCACATGAGTTTAAGTGCTGGATTGTTAGTTTGTAAATTTCCTGCTCAGATGTCAGCGAGGGAAAAGGAAGCGTCAAAGAAAGAGGTGACGCTGCTGTCGAGGATGAAACACCCAAACATTGTCTCCTTCACCACCTCATTTCAAGGTGAGTGTGACTCCACAGTGAGCATGTTGTCATGTGCTGTTGTTTGCATCTATGTCACATTGCACACTGTTTACTGTACGTCTGTATAGAGGGGGACAGCCTGTATATAGTGATGGAGTACTGTGATGGAGGAGATCTGATGAAGAAGATCAACATGCAGAGAGGAGTCCCCTTCACTGAGGAGCGGGTACACACACACACACACACACACACACACACACACACACACGCCTGTGAGGAATTGTGCACTTTGATTTCTACACCTGAAATTCATTTATTCACTTGTGAGGACGAAGTGAGCTGTGTGTTCCTCAGATCGTGGCGTGGTTCGTTCAGATCTGTCTGGGCCTCAAACACATTCACGACAGGAAGATTCTCCACAGAGACATCAAAGCTCAGGTAACTGTCCCGCTTCACTGCTGCACACACTCACACATCCACTTCATTCACTGCCGGCGACAGCCAGAGCCGGAGACATATTGTTTTCGGGTCGTCCGTCCGTCCTTCCCATTCTCATGGACACGATATCTCAGTAAGGCCTCGATGGAATTCGTTAGGACTCAAGGATGAACTGATTAGATTTTGGTGGTCAAAGGTCAAGGTTGCTGGGACTTCACAAAACATGATTTTGGCCTTGTGAGTGCAATGCTGCAGCATGGTTTGATCCCACTGTCGATTCCACTGTTACTGACATAAACGTGAGCTTTTCCCTACAAACGTCCTGCAGCCGCCTCTCCCGTCCACAGAGGCTGAAATTCGACACTGAAAATAGAAAGGGACTTGTAACTCGCTGACTGTACATCATGCATTCATGGTTGAACTTGTACACGATAAACAACATTATCAACGGCCCCCGAGGTTACGCTGTTTAATGAACGAGTATTATCATTACAGAGTTCAGGGGATTGTACGGCTGAACTGTCCGGAGCTCGGCTTTGTTCTGAACAAAGACCTCGCTGTGAGCCAACTCCCAGAATAACTCGACACGACCGTCCACAGACCGCGTCTCTGTTCGCAGCCATCACCGTCTTTCATCAATCATATCTGTTTCCACACACACACACACACACACACACACACACACATGCAGACACACACACACACACAAACATGATACATGCCCAGTCACTGTTTTCCTGGTGAAACACAGATGTGCTTTCATTCCTGCTCTCCCTCTGCTCCAGAATATCTTCCTAACCAACGGAGGGATGAAAGCAAAGCTGGGGGACTTTGGAATCGCAAGAATGTTGAATAAGTAAGTCAGTGTCATCTTCACACACACACACACACACACACACACACACACACACACACACACACACACCCACACCCACAGTGACAGTGCAGCTGTTTATCACTGAGCGCTCTGTAACACATGGAAGACTTCCAAACAAGTCATTATCATTCCACAAACTGTGGACCAGGACATGTAAACACACATGGTTGTGGAAATAATGGTCAGCCTGTTCGACTGCAAAAGGAAACTGATCTCACGATAAAATAAAGCTGTGTCCTGTAAATACCACAGAGTGCATGCATGTATTTTAAGGTTTTGTCACACTAGATAAAATAAGATTTTATTTATCTTAGGGAGGAAGAAGGACAAAGAGGTAAGGAAACTAATTATGAACAATTTGAATTAAATAAATAGAAAATAAAATAAATTCTGTAGAAAACATACTTTGTTTCACTTTTTTTGTTTTATTTATTTAAGAGATTATGTCGCTATTTAAACTTGAAAATCACTGATGTAGTAGATGGAAATAAAAAGGTCTGTCTTTCATTTGGTCTGAAGTCAGCTGTGACAGCAGAGAAGCAAATTAGAAGCAAAGAAATAAATAAACAAGACTGAGAAACGGAAGAAGTGAGGTGTGACTTGGACGACCACTTTAAACACAGCTGGCAGTTAGTTGGTGGGAAGCCTGTGAGGGATCATGTACACTATGAGGGTTGTCCACATACTTTTGTGTACGTCTGTTCTGGCCTGGGACCTTTCATGTGAAGGTGAAGGTGAACCAGAACATAGTAGAGCTCCATTATTTCCAAAAACACGTCGGGGAGCCACACTGTTGCTCTGGGCGACATGTTCCTTCGTCACCATGAACCGGCGACAGTGAGAGACACAGGCGTCATGTTTTCAGATTGTCCGTACGTCCCATTCCCGTCAACGCGTTAGATCAGTGACGCCTCGAGGGAACTTCTTCAAATTTGGCACAAACTTGGATTTTGGTGGTCAGAGGTCAAAGGTCAGCGTTCAAGGTCACAGTGCTCTCACATTCTTGTGAATGTAATATATCAGGAACGCCCGGAGGGAATTTCATTACATCTGCTACAAACATTCACTTGCACTCGATGAACTGAGTAGAATTTGGTGGTCAAAGGTCAAAGGTCAAGGTCACTGTGATCTCACAAAAAACTTTTTTGGCCTTAACTCATGAATTCATTCACTAATTATGACGCAATTTATCTCCAAGGATGAAATGAAGGGATGACATTTTATATCCAAAAGGTCAAAGTTCAACTTCACTGTGACATCATGATGTTCTGCTAAAATACCCCTGGCCATTATTCAACACTGTAACTCAAGAAGGAGAGACTGTGACCATGTCTCCTGACACTTGGCTGGTTGGCGGAGGGATACGACCACGAGGCGGTGACTCTAGTTTCTCTTTACGTTACTATCTCGCCGCTGCAGGAAACGCAAAGAGTGAGTTAACACAGAAAGACTGGAACTTTGGAAGATGTCCACCTGATCTGATATACTCAGACCGGAGCCTAAATATTGGCCTCTGATGAACCTGAATATGAAAAAATGAACATGGCCAGTATGAGCAGGAGGAATGATAACAGCATGAGAAAACTGGCTCCTGGCTGTTGTTTTAAGACAGACTTGAGGAATTGCAGTTACCTTCCACACTGAATCCTGACTGACTGTGTTGTGTTTGTTAACTGTGGCTGTGCAGCACCATGGAGCTGGCCAGGACGTGTGTCGGGACGCCGTACTACCTCTCCCCGGAGATCTGCGAGAGTCGGCCGTACAACAACAAGACGTACGTACGGCCGTCACAACACAAACACAACCAGAACCATCCACAGTCACTTCTTCTTTGACGTCCCCCTTTCATTCTGGAATGAGCTACGGTGGCTTGTAGTGGACACAAAAATGAAAAGTCAATACAAGTGTGGTCAATTGATCGTCTTGGCATGACTGAGACTGAGATTTGAACTTTGTGTAGCAGAATGTGGTGCAGCATTTTATTGAAACCAGAGAGTGAGTTTTGAAATCTGAGCATCTGACCAAGTAATAAACGCATCATTAGTTTTTAACTGCGGGGCCAGAGTCTGCAGTCTGCTTACTGGTAACACCAGTCTCTAAAAGACAAGTCATAGTATTCAATAACATCACATCTGCTCTGAGAAATGATATATGACAGTTGCACTGACAAAATATTTTGGTTGGTTTCATTTTCATGAAAAAAAGACAGCAAAACAGCCAAAGTTCATAAATCTCTGGGTTGTGTTTCAGTGTCTCGTCAGTTGTGCGGTGTCCCGCTGCGTCTCCAGCCAGATTTAGTTTTATGATTTACTGCGATGAATTCTGAAGCAGGAGCAGCATCTTTTCTCTTCTGATTTTTGAAACATTGGGTCTTTGATTTCAGACAGAAAAGCAGTTTCTTAGTTTTACCCAGTGACACTTGACAGACACTGACAGATCTAATCAGCTGTAGCAAAGGGTTAATTAAGCTAATGATAGCTCCGTGAATTAATTGAAAACTTTTTTAGTTGTTTTGAAATAAGAATCTAATAAATGGGTCATAAATATGCACTTGATGGCAACATGCTAACAGACGGAGGCTAAAGCTACATGTCCCAGGGGAAAGTCGTCCACACCTCACCGTCCATGTAGAAGACATGGAAATGAAGACATAGTGTTGTTCTTGTAATGCAGTGCAGAGTCTTAGTCCTAGTAAAGAAACACAAGATCAGTCTTATTTCTTTCGTTCAATGTTTTTTTATTGGCATTTAAAGTCAAGTAGAATGAAACGAATCACTGATAGTTAAACAAAGACAGTGTCGTCTTGAGTTGATTTCCTAACTAATTACATATACTGTACAAACAGATATCAGTATATGATAATATAGTGAATTTTCTCCAACGTCAGATGGTGGATAAGGTCTTTAATCCATAGACAAAAAGCTGGAGGAAATTCATCCTTCCATTTCAGCAGTACAAGTCGTCGAGCTGAAAGAGATGCAAAAGCTATCATATCTTTTTTTTTAAGACGTGTATCCTGTGGAGTTACTCCAAATACTGCAGTAATGGCAGAGGATTGGGTTATGGGTAACTCCAAAACATCTGAGAAGGTTTTAAATATTGACTGACAGAAACGATCTAGTTTTGGACGGAACCAAAGAGATCAGTCTCATTTCAGTGTAACGTCACCGTGTTTAGCTGCTTAGCTGTAGTTGTTAGAGGAGGAAAGGCTTTTAGGTTGAAGGCTAACCCATGTGCAGGACAGGCCTGTTGCTCCTGGTTACAGTGACAGTCGATGTTCAGGGGAGGGGTTTGCCCTTTTCTCTTGTAACCTCAGATCAAAATGAACCTTGACCCTGTGCTCAGAGAGGATGTTCCCCCCACAGAGTCTCTACACGTCCCCGACTGTGACCGTGGATCGGCCGCGTGGGCGTGATCAGAGCGCTGCGGTAATACCGCCATTGCCTGCGCTCAGAGGGGTGTTCATTTCAACGACATGTACGAACACAGACAGAGACGAACGCACTCGCTCACTGACAGGAAACTTAGTCTACCCGCCTCTCCGAGTTCAGGTCTGTTCTCTTCTGCTGTGTTGTTCTCATACAGCTGAGGTCAGGGTGGCTTCCTCTTTCCCACACTCACAAAGAAATGCTTGTATTTCTATACTTGTGAGACATAATCTATGCCCGAGCCCCTCCTATTCCCACCCCCAACCCTCACCTAAACCTACTTCGAACCTTAAACCTAAAGTCTAAAACAGTCCTTTGAAGAAGAGACAATGTCTTCAGTTTCTGAAAATGTCCTCACTCTGAAACTTTAATAGGCCCTCACAAAGATAGACAAACAGGAGAAAACACACATGCACATACTTGGTTCCCGGCCAAAAAAGCAAATGCCAGAGCAGTCGTATTCCCCCAGAAATGACTTTTCTGTCGGTAGCTGTGCTCTGATTGGAGACTTCGCTGCTCTGGATTCTGACATTCTGACATTAAGGCTTTGTTCCTGGTGTTTATGACTTTAGCTCAGGGGGACAGGGGATGAAGCGAAGCCCTGCCCCGGCATCCTGTTTCAACAAGAGACATGTCAAGTTACACAAGATGTTCCAAAGCTGATGTTTTATGTTGACTTCATAGATCCACTCCCTGAATCTGTCGAGAGTCAAAACATCAGCACCGAGCTGGAGCACATTCAGAGTCGGTGTGTGAAGCTGTTATGGTTGAGATTAATGTCAGATTGCATTTAAAATCTTCTCTTCATCATGCAAATGTCTGTGTGTGTGTGTGTGTGTGTGTGTGTGTGTGTGTGTGTGTGTGTGTCCTATCTGCAGGGATATTTGGTCTCTGGGATGTGTCCTGTATGAGCTCTGCACCCTGAGGCATCCAGTAAGCTGCACCACACCCAGAACATCAGCAGCTGCTTCACACACACAGCTGGAAACACCGCTAACACCGAGCTAAGGCTAATGTAGTTCCTCTGCTCATAGTAGAGCCAATTCACTCATGGTAAATAGGAGGTTCACTAAAATGTTGCTGCAACTAACTAATAAGAATAACATTTAGAAAAGTCAGAGGATCATCAAAGTCAGTAGGATTCATCCTCTGGAAACCACGAATACAACCGTCTGTACAAAATCTCATTAAAGTCCATCCAATAGAAGTTGAAATATTTCAGTCTAGAACAAAGCAGGTGACCAACCAATCAACGAACTTATTACATTAGTTTCATTATCGATTAATCAGCCATTTATTTTCCTTTGTTGACCTTTGTTGCCTCTGTCTGTCAATGATTAATGAATCATCTAGATAATTGCCAGTTAACTCATTTTCTGTCACTCTCCCTGTATCTATCTACCTGTATCTATCTACCTGTATCTATCTACCTGTCTTCACCTGCAGTTTGAGGGCAGCAGTCTGCGGCAGTTGGTCAGTAAAATCTGCAGGGGGCGCTACAACCCAGTGCCCAGCCGCTACTCCTACGACCTTCGCCTGCTGGTCACCCAACTCTTCAAGGTCAGTCCTCTCGCCATCCTCAGGGTGCGTGTGTGAGTGAACAGTAGAAACAGCAGGTGCAGAACTTGTAGCTGAACGGCAGCGAGTCAGATTTAAACAGCTGGACTTCAAACTGTTGAATCAAACTTGAACATCAGGTGCTTGAACTTTGGTGAGTAATGACTCAGACTTGACTGATGACTCAGCCTCAGTGGTGGATGCAGAAGAATTTGTGTAATTAAAATGACTTGAGGGACTTTAGTATTTCATTTTCTTTGCTGCTTTAGACTTAAACTAAAAATATTTTAATAAGTTTTACTGAATCTGAACTTTGTTTCTTCTTCTCTCCTCTCCCGTGAATCACGTGACGACCCCTCAGCGTTACCTGGTGACGTAGTTAAAGCAGCTCAAACCTGGAGGAGCTACAACAGTGAAATGACTCAGGATCAATGATCTGATGATGTCAGAATCAGAGACCAGTCATAGTGAGAAGTTTCACCTTTGGTGCTTTACCTACATTTTACCGATGATACTTATGTAGTTTTACTTATGCAGCATTTGCTTGTATTTTACTCGTATTTTCACGTCATTGTCTCGGGATTTTACTGAAGGATCTTCAACCACCGGCGACGTTTCTTTTACCTGATTCCCTTTATTTCTACCGTGTGGGTGAACAGATGCTCAGATCTGTGGGTTTGCCTGTTTTTGTTAAAATACAAGAGCAGGAACCATTAAAACAAGTGCAAACGGGGAGCTATTGTAACATGTTTTCGTGAGAAGTCACTGGTTAGTTAAAAGTTCACCGGAGTCAGAGAAGCTTCCGTTAATCACCTGCTCAGTTCTCTGGGTTCAAACTGTGAAAGGAGCGTTTTTAAAGAGGAAAGTGTAAATGTTGAATGACAGGAAGCTGCTCGGGATGTGATCCTGGGCTGAACACGAGGAAGCTCTTATTGTCTGACTGCAGACACTCAGGCTCTTGATTCATCACTGTCAGGTTATAAACAGGTTCAAAACCTTCCACCTCTTTAATGTGTTTACAGGAACCTTTGATCAGACTTCACCAAACTCTCACATGTATTTAACCTTTGACCGGTTCACTTCTCTGCTGTTGTTGAGTGCAGTGTCAGAGTCTTCACATCCTGCACCACAGTGTGCCACAGGTCAAGTGGGCACAACAGCTTCAGTGTCTCTAGAAGACACAGTGTCCGACACAGAATTGAACAGATGTATTTTGAGGATAAAACAAGATTGGATGATTGAATAATTATAAACACGTCTTCCTGAAAGACTCTGCTGTTTGTTGTTCACTGACCATTTTCACTTTCATTATGACACACGCACATTTTTCAGGTCAACCCCCGAGACCGTCCCTCGGTCTCTTCTGTCCTCAGGCGTCCCCTCCTGGAGAAGCACATCAGCAAACATCTGGACCCGCAGGTAATGAATCTGATTGATTCACTGAGTCACCGGTTAACCCCAGAGACGACACACTGATCTCAGCAGGTTTAAACTCAAAGCAGACCGTGTTCAGACTGAATACAGTTGATTTGTGAGTTTCCTGTTGTTGGACATCAGTGAAACGGCTCCAAAATAAACATATGAGTGGCATGATGAAGTCGAAGCCATTGACAACTGATCTCACATGTATTGCGGTTCCTGTTAATATGAAATGGTAACTTATGTAGATTTTATGTGTATGGTAACTACTATATATAATAAATATATATATAATAAAATGAATGGTCCATCTTGGCTTCTTCTCCAGGCTGTTGAGACAAATATAAATCACTTAAACACATCAAAATTGAACGATTTGAATTTTTGATCACCACCAGCATCGTTTTAACACTTTAATTATCACACTTAAGTAAAAACAATATGACTCACTTTCCATTTGTCCCCACCCACACGGCTCACGCAGGCTGCTTTCCTCCTGTCAACCTCAACAACCACAGGAAGAATTATTAGTGCTTCTTTGTAATTAAAAGGTGTTGGGCATGTAGCTGTGACAGCTGTTCATGCATTATGTCAATCACCTGGATTGTAGATCTCGTAGTGTGAGAATTTCATCAGGCCAAACTGAGCAACTACATTTCCTGACCTGACTTGAAGTCGTGGAGCTCGTTGTGTGTGAACAGCTTGAACAGAGTTTTTAAAAGTTGGGTGCTGAATTTGTGAATCCTTAAAAAATATACACTTACCCCAGAAACTAAACTACACTGATATGTTTTAATGCAACACAACAGATCTGCCATTGATTTTACATTCTAGATGAAAGTGATCAAGAGCTCTTCAAACTTAATAAATACAGTTAAGATGAAACCTCTCTGACTGAACAGTGTCATCTGGAATGCATTAGATTTTCTAGGTGTACCTAATAAAGTGGCCACTAAGTGTAAATATCTGAAAATGTTTTTTGACATTGTACAACTTGAAATTGATTAGTGACTTTATTTAATCAGACTGCATGAGTTCAGATGGATGGTTTTCAGTATCATGTTTAGATTTCAGCATCAACGTGTCAAAATGTGTGTGTGTGCGTGTGTGTGTGTGTGTGTGTGTGTGCGTGTGGTTTCCTGTGAATGCAGGTGATGCAGGAGGAGTTAAGCCACACGGTGTTGTGTCGAAACAGAGCGGCAGCATCGCGAACCGCTAAAACAGGAGCAGGAGTGGCAAACACAGCAGGTGATACCGCACACACCTGAATATGTGACACCACACACACCCGACATGAGTTTATTATCGGTCTGATCCAACAGCCCTGCAGTAAATCCTCCTGCGTGAAGGTCATAATGTCCGGTCTGTGTGACAGCCGTGCCGCCGTGCGGCTGGTGTTGAGTTCACATTGTGAGTGTGTACGTGTCGTCGTGGTAAATTGCGTGGTACTGGAGAGACCGACTGTAGCAGGAACTACCCCCGAGGCAGTTTTGAGCAATATGTCTGTCTGTGGAAAGATGTTGTCACTGTGAGAGAGTCACAACCTGCAAGACTCAGTCACGACACTTTGCAGTTGTGTATTTGAGATCAAAATGAAGGCAGAGTTTGAAGATGAGTGTATGGGTGTGAACGTCGACGTTCTGGTTTGATGGTCTTTGGTTGAAACTGTTTCAGGGAGGTGTTGATCATTTTACAGGAAGTGGTCTGTGGTGCTGTTGAGCTGTGCTGTGTTTCTAACATTTAGTCTCCCCCAGTGAAATACAGATGTAAATGTGTGAAAACGTTTCAGCAGATTCTGTGTTTTGTTGATTGTTGAGGTGGAAAGAAGTAAATCCAACCCCTGCAGGTAACAGCAGGTACAGGAGGGCTCGCTGAGTTCTGACTTAGAACTTAGCTGCAGATGAAGTGGACAAAACATTGAAGACACCTGCACCTGAAACTGCAGCCTTCAGGGCGATGGCGTTGGCCGAGGGCGTTGAATGTGGAATCTGGCGCCACCCAGCGGCTGTTTCCTGGCAACGCGTCCAGATGGATTGTTGTTCAGGTTGCTGCTCCTGGCTCCGCTCCAGCTGCCACCCTTCAACACATGTGATGAACTGCAGGGAAACACGACTCTCTCCTCGGCCACATCCTGAATCCTGACTGGGTTGATTGTAATCGCGTCACATCTTGGCGCACGTTGTGTTTTGGTAACATCAGAACACAAAGTTACTGCTGCCTCAGTGTCTGGTTTTACTGGCTGGTCAGCTTCACGACAGTTAGCTGACTCATTTGTCTCATCTTTTGTCTTTGCTCTGACTCACAGCGTATTTTTTCATGGTTTATACAGAGACAAAAACTAGAATGAAAACTTTTTAAACTTTGAGCCACTGACTGTTTTAAACAGAATAACAGGAACAGGAAGAGCGGACTGAACAGGCAGCTGATGCCACCTATGGGTGAAAACTGTATCAGGGACAGTTGAACTGTCACAGCCACACAGAACGACAGTAAGACCAGACAACCACAATCAGCAAAGAATTAATTAAAACAATTACAAGACTCATAAAAAAATAAAATAAAAAAACAAATAATAAAATCCCCAATGAAAGAATCCAGCTTGTAGTTAGTTCATTTAAAAGGCGTCTAATACATGAAACTACTGCAGTTTCCTCTGTAGATTACCGTGGACATGTTGAATATCTAAGGTTACATGATTATTAGATCAGGTAGTTGCAAGAAGTAAATGAAGGCAGAGGTGTGAGGTGGTTTGGAGATTTATGAATCAAATCAAATTAAATAATAAAAATCTAAAATATATCAAATAGAAGCAAAAGTACAAACACCAGACAAAATATACACGAGGAAAACAGATATAGGACACTAGTTAAAAAGCAACTGATGAGTAATTGACGAACGTCCACTTCCTGTTAATCTAACCTGAGGCTCTGCTGTCGTCCAGAGAAGAAACACAAGTCCAGAGGAGCAGAGGGGCCCGGGGCCGCCGCGAAGAGGCCGCTCACTAAACCAGACTGGAGAGTCCCACTCCGAGTCTACAACCCTGCCCCACACAAAGTAATGATAAATGAATGATGATAATAATAAATTCATTTTCAGTCACTTGTCTTACTGTGACGTTTTAATCCTCAGACTATTTCCAAACTGTTATTGTTACTTTTACTTCAGCAAAAGATCTCAGTGCTTCTTCAGTTATTGCTAATTGGTAAATGGTAATTGCTAATTGCTTTGATTAATTTTCTCTGCTGCAGTTTGTCTCCTTTTATTTCAGTTTAATTTCATGTTATTTTCAGTTAAATTGTGTTTTTAAATGTAGTTTGAAGTTTTTCTGTTCTCTGTGTGAAACACAGTGTTACAGAGGTTTTATATAAAAACTGTAGTTACCACGTAACTTTACTAAAGGGACAGTTTGTCATTTTGGGAAATGTTCTTATTTGTTTTCTTGCTGAGAGATTGTTCAGATTCTCTTACATCTAATGTAAATGTGAAATAAAGTGAATGGATAAGATGTTCACATTGTGCTGAGAGAGTATTGAGCTGAATCCCTGTGTACCATAATATATACAGTCACTATATCTCAGTGTGTGACCCTGTACCAGATTATAGTACAGTATATTCCTGTTGTACTAACACCACATGCATGTGTGTTTGCAGCCTCCTCATCAAAGAGCAGCTGCACACAGAGCGGTCGCTGGGCAACAGAACCAAAGGCGAGTAAAAACATCGGCTCACGATTAGACTGAGCGGACATGACCTCTGAAACCTCCCTCAGGTATCAGTTCATCATCCATCACTCACAGGTGACATCATGATGTTTGACATGTACTACTGATGCAGGTTTAATGTCCAGCAGCCCGTCAGCCACTACCAGCACTACCACGCCCAGCTGGACGCCTTTCAGAGGAGGAACAAGGAGGAGGTCCTTCCTCCTGCTCCTCCTCCTCAGGAGAGAGACCATGCTGCTCCTCCTGTGGAGCCGTACCAGCTGTGAGTGACCGTGCACACAAGGCTGCAACTAACAACGATTATCATTATCAATCAATCTGCGGAGTATGTTCTCCATTGATCGATTGATCATTTTGTCTTAGATTGTCGGGAAAGTGAAAAATGTTCCCAGAACCCAAAGTGACGTCTTCAGATTGTTTGTTTTGTCCGACCAAGAGTCCAAAGACTGAAAGAGGAATTTTAAATTTTACTGGTGAAAAATGATTAAACACAATATGATAATTGATCATTCAAAATAAACTATTTCAACTCTAGCAGCAAACTGCACCACATGGTCACACTTTTTATAATCACATTTTTTTAAATATGCAAACAAATCAATCATATGAAGCTACAGCCAGCAGCTGGTTAGCTTAGCTTAGCATAAAGACTGGAAACAGGGGGGAACTGTTAGCCAATCCACCAGCCAGCACCTGTAAAGATCACTGATTAACACATTATATCTAGTTTGTCTAATCTGTAAATTATGCTTTTATTAGGGGGTTGTTATGCTAAGCTAAACTAAGCTAACACCAAATGGCTGTAGCTTCGTATACAACATACAGACATGAGAGTGATAACAATCCTCTGATCTAACTCCCAGCAAGAACGTGAATAATTGTATTTCCTGAAATGTTGAACTTTTCCTTTAAGTCATTAATTTGTTTTATCATGTTTGAATTAGTTTTTTAATTAATGAATTTGTAGCTTGGGGGTTTGATTAAAGTCAGTAACACTGTACCATCAACAATACTAACCGCTGTCTCTGTGTGTGTCAGTGTGGCTGCGGCTCGTAATGAATACCTGCAGAGGAGACGGGAGGCCAACCAGTACAAGCTGAGAGCTGAGAAACAGCTGGTAGGCAGACGCTCAGCAGCTCTGCAGTCTGTACTCACACACACTGACTCAAATACTTCTGATCAATCATTCTGCTCATTTTTACTATCAAATCATCAATGATCCTTCTGATTTAGATAAATCCCACAAACAGGAAATGCGTGTGAACGACTCAAACGACAATGTGAAATGTGTTTTAAGAATAAATGGAGCGCAGACTCACAACCTGTTTTCGGAGGCTGCTGTCTTTGTACCAGCGGGGTTTTTACTGTAGGTTCGACCTCAGGCCTGTAAACCTCAGGGCTGCCATGCAGAACCAAAACAGGAGGTCAATATCCTTTTATGGGCTCAGTGAGAGAGATAAGGAGCTCTGGTCTAACATACGTTAAGTTGAACATAAGCACGTTACAAAAGTTATAAAGAATAGCAGAATTAAAAAGTGGAATTTAACAAATTTAACATCTATGGACTCTGACACGCCCCAGAATAATCATGTAAGGAAGAAAGTAGAGGACAGGAAGGACAGTGGAAAACCTATTTTAAATCTGATTTTATAAATGGCACCACAACCTCTCTGACCTTTGACCTTTACTCTCTGACTGTCAGGGTCTGCGGCCGTGCACAGCTGAGCGCGACAGGAGGCCTGGAGGTCAGGAGCAGGAAGAGGGACGATCCGAGCGCCAACACCCGCCTCAGGACAGGAGGCAGGAGGGACGGCAGGTGGGACAACGACATCATCCCCAATGACTCCACACGGCTCTCCACAAGTCTCAGCCTCAGACACGCTCAGTGGTTTACTCCATGTGTGTGTGTGTGTGTGTGTGTGTGTGTGTGTGTGTGTGTGTGTGTGTGTAGGAGTACCTGCGTCAGCTGGATCTCATCAGACAGCAGTATCACCAGGAGATGAGGCGGATGAGGCTGAGAGCTGAAGCAGAGGTACTCAGCTGTTTCTCTGCTGCCTGTGACGTCAGTGTTTCAGGACCAAATAATGACATATAATAATAATAACAATAAAATACATCATGATTGGTTGATGGTTCAAAAGGCTTTATTTTGCCTTCTTTTAAAGTCATAAGTATAAATATTAGAGAGAGTGGAAGTCATCAGAGGGCGTTCACAGGCAGCTGTTTATAGCGGTTTCATATGAGTTTTCAATTTCAGACCAGACACAGTCCAGCCATACACCAGGTTTATGTTCTGACCTGGTCTTGTTTATTAAAGTATCACTGCAGCAGTAAGACTTTATTTAGTTTATTTACTTATTTGAATGGGACAAAGAGTTTACAGCTGTTGCTAATTCTCGACTCTTGTCCCTAGTTGGGCTTTTACATGTGTTATGGAATTGAAACAGTCAGTAGCGAAAACAACACAAAACAGACAACACAGCTGATAATATCCTACAATTAGCTAAAAATACACAGATGTTCAGTCTGAAAAGAGACAACAACAACAACAACAAGCTACAGTCAAATAAAAACAATTTGATGTCAGATGGTGATGTGTTGAGTTCTGTTGTTGCCGTTCACCGCGCTCCTAGTTAGTTAATGTGTGTTATTAGTTTGTCCTTCTGTTTGCGTCTCAAAATAAAGGATCAATACACAGATTCAGAATAAGACGATGATATGATCTCCCTCTGCTCTCTGTCGGGCCTCAGCCGCAACAGAAACATGAGACGTTTGTGGTGGAGAAACCCAGAGACCCAGAACCTTCTGCAGACAGTAAAGAGCAGCAGCAGGACGCCGCACCTGCACAGGTAAATCACCTCATTCACTCTCATTCCGACACATGCATACAACCCGATCTGCCCATCGTGGAGCTGTTCTCCGCTGATAAAAAATAAAGTTGTTTCAGAAGAAACTACTCAGGTCGTGTTTGACCCGTGAGCTCTGAATGAAGGAACGGTGGAGAATCACAACAACACAGTAACAGCTGTTCCTCCTCTGTCTTACTGCCGCTGCAGGACGTCGACGCAGCTCTGAGGCAGATCACGGATCAGACGAGAGCGCAGGAGAGGAAACACAAAGACAAGGTGAGATAAGAGCAAACACACATTCGGCTGCAGTACGAACCCGGTGTTTGACAGGTAAATAACTGTGAGTCAGACAGGCATGAAGGAATCCTGTAGCACCTGATTCAGGAAAAGAAAACAGCACAAATTTGAAGAAAGATGAGAGTTCGATCAACTGTTGGCTTGGTTTGTCATTTCTGCAGAAGGGAATCATGTTTGAGATCCGATTAGATGATGACAGGATGAAAGACGACGCAGAGGAGGAGGAAGAGGAGGAGGAGAGAGGAGACGAAGAGGAGGAAGAGAAGGAGGAGAGAGGAGACGAAGAGGAGGAGAAGGTAAAATATTTTCCTTTTTCACAGCTGCTGCTCGTCTTCTTCTCTTTCTTTCTCTCACTCTCTCCCGAACTCCCCAACCAGGACGAGGACCCTCTGAACCGGACTCTGAGCTTCCAGGAGGGGGAGGAGTTGAAGCTCAGGGATTGGTCAGAGGTGAGGAGGGGGTGGAGCCAGAGGACTCCCCAGACTCTGCTGGATGCTCTCGGCAACATGGACGTCGACTCCGTCTACAGCACTGCAGTCGAGGCTGAACAAGGTGCAGCTCAGCTGTTAGTGATCGATTATTAGTTACTGAAGATTCTCTGCAGATACATATTTATATCATGTTTCTCATTATTTAGACCAACGTTGTGCAGCTGTGACCTCTGACCTTCTGTCGAGGGGCCGCCCCTGCCAAGTTATCACACAGAGCTTTAAATTCAAAGCTGCTGCTGAGACAAAGTGGATCGTTGCAGAGCAGTATGACTCGTGTATTTCCCATGTCCCTATTGGCCCACAGGCGAGGAGGCGGCAGGTCGCAGACAGTGGGTGGACGGCCCCCCCAACACCCTGCTGAACGCCCTCGCTCAGGCTGAACTCACATCGTCAACTCTGGCCTCAGTGACTGCAGGTCAGACGTCACTCTCTCATCTGACTGATCGACAGCAGAGGAGTTCACTGCACTGACTTCACTGACGTACAGGAAGTGTGAAAGTTTAACCTGCTGTGTCTGAATGTTGCTGGATGGTTTTTAGGGTAAGTAAGTGAACTGAAGTGTCTTTACTCTCAGATTTAGAACCTGAGCAGGACGGAGGAGAGGACGAGAAGACGGAGGAAGACAAACAGAAGAGGAGGGAGGAGGAGGAGGAGGAGGACGGCTCTGATGTGGAGATGGATGAAGAGCGTCTGGAGCCGAGGTCAGACGATGACGACACGTAAGTCAACGCTCACTTCTGTTCATGTCAAAGATCTTTGTCTTTTTGTACTGATCAGTTTCATGAACCATCTCTGTGATCCTGTGAACTGTTTAACTTCCTCTGCTCCCGTCAGGAACTTCGAGGAGTCGGAGGACGAGCTGAGAGAAGCGGTGGCCGACTCCATGAAGAACCTGTTTGTCATGGAGGACGGGAGCTCAGACGAAACAGAAAACACAGAGGAAAGGGTAGAGGTGCATGATGGGACGCAGGACAGCGAGGACGGACGCGCAGAACTGAAGGATTCACGTGCGGACGTCGGGGTCGTCTCCTCCGGACCTAAAGAAGGTGACGGTCAGTGTGAGTGTTCAGACGAGTCCCAGACTGATGACGATAACGCGTCTTTAAATAAACAGCAGCAGACGACCTGAGTCGTCGCTGCATTAACACCATACACCTGTCGGACGAACCGTAACCCTGTTAAACTGGATGAGCACTTTGAAGCAGACTGAGGCGTTTATTTATTTTTCAACAAATCCCATGTACAGACCCAAACTGGCAACATGTCACTCTGTCAGCCCTGAGCCCATTGGTTCCTACTGAAGACGTAAATCTTTACAAACACCTCACAAATGTGTAGTTTCATTTTTATTCCTCTGCCGGCGCCAGTCAGAGCCGGAGCCATATTGTTTTCTGGTTGTCCGTCCGTCTCGTTCTTGTGGACACGATATCTCAATAACACCTGGACAAAACTTCCTCAAGCACTTCCGCAAACATTCACCTGGACTAAAGGACGATCCGATCAGATTTTGGTGGCTAAAGGTCAAAGGTCAAGATCACTTTGACCTCAGAAAAAAACACTTTTTGGCCACTACTCAGGACTTCACAGCAATCATGACAAGATGTCACACGAGTGGTTGATACTTTATCTGACTCTGGATAAACAGGGATGTGACCTGAAACTAGTTTGAATGGCGGAGGGATACGACCACGAGGAGGTGGTTCTAGTTTAAAAATGACTCAGCAATTTACTACAACAGCTGCTCACACCAGCTTTTATAGAACAAACAGGAGGAACTATTTTCAGCGGTGGATTAATCCACATTTGGGGCTGTCCTGAGTTTTTGTGGCATCAGGACAGTGTGTGTGTGTGTGTGTGTGTGTGTGTGTGGGTGTGTGTGTGTGTGTGTGTGGGTGTGTGTGTGTGTGTGTGTGAGTGTGAGACTTGAGTCAGAATAAACTACAGTGTGTGTGTTCATGGTGATGAAGGAGCATGTCACTCAGTCACTGATGTGTTTTAACAGTTAGTTGGAGCTCTGTGGCTCAGAGGAGTAACTTGTACCAGACTGTGACACACACACACACACACACACACACACACACACACACACACAAACACACACAGCACCTGTTAGTGGGAGACATTCAGTGTAGGTTTTCCAAAGGATTCTCTGACAATGAGAAAAATATAAACCATCAGCAGACTGATTCTTTGACATCAGCTTCAGCGCAGGTTTGCATTGTGATTGTAAAACAGAAGCTGCTCTCTATAATAATATTCTGTTTGTGCCTTTGCTTCGCTGTAACGCTGTTTCCCGTCTCCTGCCACAGGTTGGCAGAAAACAACAAGCGATGAATCGTCAGGTGTTTGCTGATTGTATTTATTGCAGTATTTGAAGCATCATTTCAGTTTCTCAGTGAAACAAGCTCAGAACATCCGCTCCACATGGACACACTTAAATAGAACGAGCGCTTCTTTCAAAACAAAGACTCTGTAAATATTTTACACGTGATTATATTTCCATGCCTGGACCTCATCACAAACAGGAATGCAGGAAGTGAAACAACATTTAAATACGAGAGATTTGGCTTTGACCTCGACCCAACAACGTGGCTTTAAGTGCTTCTTCAATGTACATCATTTGACTTCTTCAACACAGAAAAATACCATTTCAACCCTGGTCACATCTATTTAGGAGTCAGTAACTGACAGATAATCAAATTCACATCAGTACTAATATAAATCACCACCACACTAATATGTAAAACCCCAATATGCTCAATTTATTGTAAATTAAGACCAAGATAAGCAACAAATTCTCACATTTGAGAAGCTGGAACCATCGAATGACTTAAAGAATTAAGCAATTATCAAAATAGTTGCAGGTTAATTGTCTTTTTTCTTCAAAAGCCAATGTTTTGTGTGTCAGTGGTGGCAGATGAGAAGCTGAATGTGACTCTAAAAGGAAATAGATTTAAACACCTGACCCTCGGGGTTTCTGATTGGCTGTTACTAAACTGATGAACCAAATGTGACTTTTACGTTGAACTATTTAAACTGTCTTTTTTCCACGATGGATGTTAAACTCCCATCGCGGCATCAACGGTCTGTTGGTGGTGGCGTGGCGGACGAGAAGGAACAGAACTTCACGTTTGTTGCTCCTCCATGTTTCTGCTCATCGTTCTTCCATCGTGAAAACCAAACACCTGACGACCTTCATGTGAGTTTGACACATGCAGAGTCACTGGAAATGTCCCGTGTTGTTTTTGCTTATTCATCAGAGGATGAGAGGGACAGTTCTGGGTTTTCCACCAGAGACGTCTCTTTACTGTGTCGGCCTCCTTTTCTGTTATCTTTGATTGGGAATGACACCACGTCACATTTTACTAATAATGCTGGAAGCTTGGCTTGTGTTAATCACAGATATGACCCTCGCTGCTTCACCCCCAAAAAAAACAAACAAAGTCCCGGTCCCTCGTCTGTTCCTCCTCATCGCTCCAGTTTACTCATCAGAGACTCCACGGCCGCGAGGAAACAAGCCTCAAACTCCTGGTCGGAGAATCGTTCCACGGAGCGCCGGGCGTTTCGTCGGATCTCCAGTCTAGCCGCCGGTGACAGCGCCAGGATGGTTTCCATGACAGCGGCGTAGCTGTCCTCGCTGTCGGCCAGGAAACCCGTCTGTCCGCCCTCATACGGCACCACGATGTCCAGCTTTGGACCTCCGGACTTATGGGCGAGGACGATGGTTCCTGCAGCCATGCACTCCACCACACCTGGGACAGACAGAGAGGACAGATGTCCACCTGGTCTCATACAGAAACATTTACTGCTGAGCGCAGACATCAGAGATCACGTCATCAGAGCTAACGGGAGAATCAGAGACAGGCAAACATGCTAAAGAGGAAAGTAACTGTCTCTGTTTATCATCTCTGAACGATGAACGACGACAGGTCAACAAGAAATACCGCTGCCTACATCTAAAGGGTTTGAACTCTAAATAGTTTTTTCTCAGACTTGTCACGACCAGTTCTACAGAGTAAGCTAAACTTTCATCAGCCTCAGCTGGACGCGACACAGGTGTTTTCATTGTGTGTGTGTGTTGTCCTCACCTATGCCGAAGTGTTCGTTCCACATGGTGTGCAGACCGATGGTGGCGTCCACCAGCTCCCTCTTCAGCTCGTCAAACGGGACGTTCAGTTTGAAGTCGACTCGGTCCGACACGTCCAGCTCCTGGCAGAGCCCCCGCAGCATCAGCACCCTCTCCTCGTCCTCCTGGTTCCTGCATCCGCCGATCAGCACCAGCCGCAGCGACTCCCGCCCCCCGGGCCCCTCCCCTTTCCTGTCCAGCAGTTTGCGAAACGCCCGAATCTGCAGCCGGTGGTCCTTCTCCGGCCTGAACTGACCCACCGACACGATGGAGTGGCACTTCCTGTCCCCTCCTCCTCCTCCCTCTTCCTCTCCACTCCCCAGCTCCTGTCCGAGCTCCTCCCAGCCCTCCTCCATCTCGTCCTCGTCCTCCTCCTCCAGCGGGACGTCCAGAAAGGCCCTGACGTCGCAGGGTGGGTAGACGATGCTGGTGCGGCTCGGGGAGCGCCACAGAGCCAGGATGTGTCCCAGCGTCCAGGTGGAGTTCACCATGATGACGTCGCTGCAGGAGCCGGCGAGGCCGTAGAGCAGGGCGAAGCAGCAGTAGTACACCACCTTCACCGCACTCAGCACGGGGTTCCTGGAGATGAAGTCAGCGTTGTTGAACCTGGAAGACAGAAGAGGAAGAAGACAGTTTCAACCTCTACCCAGACAGGTACATACAGCTGTGATAGGATGACAGGTGTGTGTCTGTTACCTGGGGTTCCTCTCTCTGACCACAGACAACATGTCCGTACTGACGGTGGGGTAGTGGACGTAGCTCGCCACTTTACAGCCTCCCAGGTAGCGGAAGATTGGCAGGGTGAAGGCGTAGCCCATCGAGTCCACGTACAGGTCAGGAACACAGGCCGTCAGAGCCTCCCAGCCTAAAACACACACACACACACACACACACACACACACACACACGGAGGTTGAAAATGAACCACAACACACTGCATTAGCTCTTATTGTGTTTGAACGCTCTTTCCGGTCTTACCGAGGAACATGGAGCCGGCGCTCTGGCCCAGCAGCGTGAAGTGAGGGTAAGACGCGGCCTCCACCAGCAAGCGGTGACGCAGGAAGACGAAGGTGACCGGTCGAGGAAGCGTGATGTTGAAACGCTGTCTTGCTCCCTCCAGAATCTGCTCCCCGGTCACTCCCTGGTCGCCCGTGTACACCACGAAGGAGACGCCGGGGTATCTGGGACGAGGAGGGAAAACATAAAGCGACTCACGTTAGTTCCAGTTCTTTGTTTTCAGGAATAATGAGGTGAATTCAGACAGTGGTGGGTTCAAGTTCGAGCAGCTTTAAAACAAACCACCAGACCACAGTGGGACATTATTGAGGCTGATCAGAGCTTCTGTCAGCTTTTATTATAAGGCCTGAAAATAGTGGTTGGAAGGTGTGTGACTTCTACTGTCTCTATTTCTTATTCTATTGTAGCTGCACGACTTTATCTTTCACTTGAAACAACCTCATGATACAAACAATTAGTCGGTTCTATTATCAATCAACCTTCATTGTTTTAGTAACTTTTCAAGCAGAACAGCAAGACGTGAAGATTTCCTTTGTCATATTTGATGATAAAGTCTTTGGACTGTTGGTCAGACTAAACAAGTACTGTCAAGATGTTCTGTGAGCTCTACATTAATATGGGCATGAGATATCATCGCTGCAGCCTCATTGGCGCTAAGAGGCCAAGACCCTGTAGTGGAAGGAAAGTAATCACTACTGCTGTAATTAAGAACAAATCTGAGGTACTTGTACTTAATAGTATGATGCTTTGTCATAGATTAAATACCCAGCAGGATATACAAGTTGACAACTATTTTGATAATCATTTAAGTCGTTCAAACACTTCCTGGTTCCAGCTGCTTTTCCTTCTAATACTTTAAATGTATTTTTAATCACTGTAGAGGTTTGTGCTGCTGTTTTGTTTGGACAAAACAAACATTGTGATGATGAGCGTTTCTCATCGTTTTCTGAATCTTTACAAACCAAACAATCAGTCTGTTTATAGAGAAAATGATCAGGAGATTAAATCCAGAATGAAACTCAAATAAATAATAAATAACAAGCTCCGCCTCAACTAAATACAACAGTAAAATACTGATTATATATTAATGGATTATTAATTATAGTGTTATGATACAATAGATAATAGTGTAACAGTCACATGGGACATTTTGCACCCAGCACTTAGATTTAACATTTTCCTGATTGTATTACAGCAGTACTTTTACTTGTAACGCCGTATATATACTTTTACTTGAGTCAAGATCTGAATACTTCTACCTAAAGTACACTGAAGTATGGGAACAATGGTGTCCACATACTTTTGACCATGTAGTGTAATGGGATATTATAGTCGGATCATGGATGTATGATTAAAAAAAAAACTCTTCATACATCCATGAGTCCGACAGGCAGACAGCTGAATCCCATGTACCGGTGCATGAGGGCCCTCAGGGAGCACCACAGGACCCGCTCCCCGCCTCCGCCGGCGTTGCAGTAGGGGTGGAAGAAAGCCACCGCGGGGCCGCCGTCCCGAGCCCGGCGGGCTTTGCGGCGGCCCTGCAGCCACATGCGGACCCCCAGCAGGACCAGCAGCAGGACCAGGGTCAGGAGCAGACTGAGGTAGGCGCAGGGCACAACCAGGGACCACAACAACCTGAGGAGGGGGAGACAAGAGCACCGTGAACCGGCTGTGGGTGGTCGTGACACCGATTAGCCTAGTAGCTGCTAGTGAGGCTAAAGTTAGCCGTCCGAGCGCCACAGAGACCCGGACTCGGTCTGAGCGAGAGCCTCGGTTTGTCTCAGGTCTGAGTCTGGTTCAGAGACAGGAGAGAGCGGCTGAGGAGACGTTTACCTCATTAAGTCGCAGAAACACAGGGAGAAGTGGTGCTGGTGCTCGTGTCCTGCCATTTTGACAACACTACTGATGACGTTTCACTGCCGTCAGCTGACCCACAGGCCTCTCTGTGATTGGCTGAGCGTTTGTTTACCTTCACGTCATTGACACGTGACTTTTTCATTTTATTTATTTATTTCAACACATATTAAAATAAAAATGATGCCCAGAAAATATAATAACACGTATATAATAACATTTAAGAGACATTTGGTTTATTTTCATTTTTATAATTTTGATATAAAAAATAAGAAAACCTACAAATTATAATAATGACAAATAAATCCAAACAAAATAATTGTCTGTCTTTCCACTTAATGGTGGTTCTGGTTCTGGTCCTGGAGCCAGGCTGGTGGGAACTGGGAGTTGTGCTGGGAGCCATTATGGATCTGAAGGAAGTCGCTGAGGCAAAAGGTGGGTGGTGGAGCTTGGAACCGCACATCTGCCAAAATACAGACTGAACTGTTATTATTATTATTATTATTAATAATAATAATAATAATAATAATAATAATTTAAGAAATACATAAAAACAGGAGATAACAGATTCATAAATAATAGAAAAACCAACAAACAAACTAGTAAATAGCTCCTACAGCCACCACTATCAGATCTGACAAAAACTATTTTGGTCAGAGGACTTAAATTAAATCAAAATCAGGGGCTAAAATTATTACTGAATCACCACAGGATGAACAGTGGTTAATAGGGGAAGTTGGTGATGTAGTAGGTGATATCACTAGTGATTAATAAGGTGTTAAAACGCAGCTGCTAGTTGAGTTATATAAATCAATGCCACAGAGCAGCAGATCAACCTGACTGAAGGAGCTCCAGCAGCGGGTTCCTGGGGCGGGTTCGTGTTGATTTAAGGGGGAAACCAGGAGTGATTCCGTCCGTCAGTCGTTTGGAGGTGACGGGCAGCAGAGGTGTGGGTGGGGCTACCCTCGGTGCGGGGGTGTCAGCAACCTGCCTGCTGGGTCCCCTGGTACCTGCACCGCCCTGATCCAGGGGCAGCGACTGCATCACTGTGGTGAGGAGTGGTGAGACCAGTAAGTGAAGTGGATGAAAGACTTGTTCTTCTTGTTCACAGAATCTGACTGGATTATTGAGGTGAGCTCACCTGAAGGTCCGGGAGCAGGAGGGGTTTTCACAACGGGAGGGGTCCTTTTCGGGGGCAGGGGCCTCCGAAGAAGCCAGATGTGGTCAGAGGACATGATGTGGAAGCTTCTGGTTACTGAACATGTAGGTCATATTGTACTTCTGAGTGTCAGGAGACAGGATGTGAAAATACAGCAGAGTTTATCAGTGTCAGCTTTTCATATGAAGCTGTAAGGAAACACCAACAAAACTTCTCCTCTCCTGACCTCCTTCTTTCCAAATCCAGCTGTCGGATACTCGTTTGTCTCTGAGGTGAAGTGGAGTCAAAGTATGAAGTCTCATGAAGCGTCGTGCAGCTGTGGAAGTTACTACAAGTTTGAGGTTTCACGCTGCTCCAGTTCAGTTCAGAGAGAAATACTTTTTTACTGCATTTACCTGCCAGCTGCTGTTAACACGACTTAACAGAGACTCTTCATACTAAATATATAATTAACAGATGGTGCAATTATATAGATTAATCAATCACTAATCAACACCATAGAGATTAGTTAAAATAGCAGGTTTGTTGTAAGATCAATTTAATTTAGTACAAATTATAGCACCCTAACCCTAACTAACCATAACCAACTAACTCGGACTAACTAGTTGTTTGACTCGACTGAAGAAGTTAATCTTATTTAACTTAATATTTTATCAGTAAAAGGCTGAAGCTCGTTAATCAAATCACCCAGAATGAAGAAATAATAACAACAATCTTACTTGACAGATTTTTTCATTTCGGTTTCTCTTTCAACAGACAGGCTCCTTAGCAACGGTCATAGCAACCGTCAACTCAAACACGTGTGTGTGTGTGTGTGTGTTTGTGTGTGTGTGTGTGTGTGTGTGTGTGTGTGTGTGTGTGTCCAGCCTCCGGACATGGAGCCCTCTTCCACAGTTATCACATTTACCTGTCTGTGTCTCTGCCTTTTGATCTGTCTCTATATACATGTCTGTCTTCACCTGTCTGACTCTTCACTACCTGTCTGCTTACCTGTCTATCTAACTGTTTACTTAACGGTACCAGTCTGTCTCTATATTTACACCCTTGTTTCTAACTAGGCTACCTGTCTATCTCAAGCTTTGACTGGCATTTCCAACTACCTGTCTGTCTCTAACCACCTGTCTGTGTCTCTGCCTGTTCATCTGTGCCTGTCTTTTAACTACCTGTCTTTCTACCTGTATTTCTTCAAAATAACCTCCAGTTTTTTTGATTGTTTTCCCTTGTGTGTTGCTCTGACTGCCTGTCTGTCTCTACACTACCTGTCTTTTTACCTGAATTTAGCTGTCTGTCTCTGCACCTGTCTGTCTTTCTGTCCATCTCTATCTACTTTTGGCATTTCAGATTACCTGTCTGTCTTTCTAACTACTTGTATGTCCTCCTAGCTACCTGTCTGTCTCTATATCTCTATAGCTTCTTTATCTACCCGTCTGTCTCTCTGCACACCTGTCTCTCTGGCTGCTTGAGTAGATGAATAAACCCTTCGGCCTCTTGATCAGATTTATTCAGTCTGAATGGATGAAGTGGATTTGGTTTCTATTAACACCCCTGCTCCTGAGACACCTAAACCTCCCGCCATCACAGTCCCGCTGACCCCCCTCAAACCCTGAAACATGTCACTAAAATCCCTTCAGACCGGGTTGTGAGGGTCACCTTGCCTTGAAGCCAGCGTGCATTGCCATATAAAGACAAAACCTTTCATTCCTGTTTCTGAAAGCGTTGTGTTGTCACTTCCTTCCTCGTAGATTTGAATACGTGCGTTGTCGCCTGCTGTCGGTGCCTGTCGAGCAGCGAGCAGCACAGCAGCCACACGGACCAACTGAGGAACAGAGAGAGCGACAGAAACACAACAAGTAGTCCTCCACGCCCAGACATCACCAGCCTCCTCGCATCACCTCCCGGGTAAGGAAATATGAGTCCATGTGGCGTCTGAGCCATGCGGGTGTTCCCTGAAGGCATCATGGTGGTGCGAGAAGCACCTGAGAGGGACTTTGATTTATTTTATTCTTGTTTGTGTGAAAGAAGAAGTGTAGAAAATACAAAGGGGAGAAGACAGAGTGTGTAACTGTGTTTGAAATCCACTGCTGTTGCATGAACTCTTGCTCAGACTAAATTTTCATAATCTAAACCCCGAGCTTCCGTCGCTGCTTCAACTTCTTGCTGCTCTGCTCACAAATCATCCAGCTTCATAAAACAGCACCGGACAAACAAACCTACATTGTTTATGTTGAAAACTTTGTGAGTGTTTGATTTGAATCATTCAAACTTGTGTAAATGAGAAGAAGAGAGCAGTTAGAGGCAGAGCGAGGCCTGCTGGGGAACAGAGGAAGAAGAAGTTAAACCACTGCAGCGAGCTAAAAAGGAAGTTTGTGGTTAGCTTCACTTCAACTGCAAAAAAAAACCCCAAAAAAACCCAGCGACAGGATGAAGAGAAGCTCAGCGAAGAGTATTTCATTAGAGTTGAATCTCTTCATGTTGGTGGATGAAGGATGTGGAGCTGTAGCAGATCTGGTCAAGGGAACTCAAGCACGTGTGAGTCATGCTAATGAGGCTCAGCACATGCAAATACCGCGCGGCTACGGCGGCGACCAAGGCCGCGCTGCTCAGAGAGGATCCCTCTGGTAGTGCAGAGGTTTGTCACATGACTTGGACTAGAGTCATGAATCTGGTGTCTCTATACGACTCACATGTGACTTTAGCTTTATGACTTTATATCGTCCAAAAGTCTGAGATCACTTTCTCCACTGTGTCTTATCACGTCATGATATTTTGGATTGCCACATTCAGATGTAAAGACAGTAAAAACAGGAAATACTCTGTGTGTTTAGTGAATAGCACAAACCAACGGCCTCTAACTCAACAAGAAAAATACACACAACGCCGTGCAAGACACAAACGAGGATACAGTAAAAACACAATACAATGACAGTACCATGAAACATTCAGCAGCAGGTCTGTGGGTGAAGACATCCACACGTCGATCACAAAAAGTCCAAATGAGGATTTACTAAAGGGCGCCTTACTTTTCAAAGTGGATGCACCTGGTTAACGAAAGGTAATGAAATGATGTGACAGTGATGAGATCTTATCAGCTTCTTGTCTAGTTTTTTAATTACTTGATTACTTTTTAAAACTAAAAAACACACACCTAAAAAGATCTTGTTATTACGTCATTTCTGTAAATTTACTGAACTGTCACTTTGTTCCTCGTGACTTGTGTGAGGGAAACTTTGATGTAGTGATGGAACAAGTCGTGAAGTTAAGAGCGTCATCGATCTGACAAGGCAAGTGAGAAGAGGACGAGGACGTTGTCGTTGGCTGGGTCGTGTTTTCAGGAAATGTTTGGATCAGACCGTTCCAGTAAAAGAGGAGAGATCTGGCCTGATTTGACTCGAGTTAAACTCGTGTGTAAACTGTTTCTCCGTTCGTATGTAAAGCTCATATTAAAGAGCACCTCCACCTGATTTCACCTGTTGGACTAAGACAAAGTGAAGAGAGGTTTCTTCCTTCACACCTGTAAAACAAAGACTTTGCCCCACTTCTGGATATAGCTGCTAAACAACACGTCACCCATGATAAAGCTTTGTGGAGGAAGCCAGTCTGCAAGTCCAGATGTAAGAAGATGTTTAAGTTGAAAATGTAGAAAAGTTGCTGCCTTGTCTTGAGTGGTAGTTTGTGTCCTTGCAGAGCAGTTTTTAGGGATTATGGGAGAGAAGCATCATCATACAGGGCTCTGCCTTCTTAGTGACATCAGGCTACTTCCCATTGAGCTCCATCAGCTTTGTCATCTGTTTTAAGACCTTAAAGCTGCATTACGTGATTTATTTTGTACCACTAGGAGGCAGAAAGACTCACTGACCCATCATTCATTTGGAGTTGTGTTTCTGGTCACTATTTCCTCTCTTTTAGCTCTGGTTTGGTCTCCAGCAGCTCCTGAGGGAAATATCTGGCTCCCAGAGAAGCTAAAGATGATGCTAAGCTTGTTAGCTGCTGTAAACAGTCTGAGGGACCATAAACAAGAGCTAACAGAGGTAGTAGCAGTAGCTGTTCATTCTCAGTGGGATCAGCACTGCCAACAACACTTCTGCATTACTGAGAGAAATTTGACTCAATATTAAAATAAAACAACAAAACAACAACCTTTAAGCAGTTTTAACTTTGATAAAGATGTGAGTTACAGATAAACTGATGGATTCAAATAATGTGACTGATCAGACTGAGTCATCTTCCCATCACACATCACCACACACATTCCCATCATCGTCACCTGTAATTACCTCCTGTGTTGGAAACAATTTGCATGAAGAGAAGTTTTGTTTTGTTTTCGTTGTTTTGACGGTTTATTTACATAAAAACAAACCTCCGTAGTTCCACAGTTAGTTCCTGTCAAAACATCAGAGTTGGCCGTAGGAGATTTCTCACCAGTCAGGTTTGAATGCAGGGATCTGTGAACTTCATTTTACTATAGCTGCGTTTCCAAGAGAGAATATTTGTTGTTTATCTCCAGGAACCAGTCAGCTCATATTCACACAACAGTGGCAGATTCAAACACACTTTAATTTGCATTTTCTTTTCAAGATTTTCAGGAAATTTGCTTAAAATTTGTGCCACATTTAGATGGAAGCTTCCCTGGTGGTGGTTTGATTCCCAGTAAAGCCTGGGTGGCTGCAGGGCTGCAACTAACAATTATTTCTATTATAAATTAATCTCATCTAATCTAATTTAATTTAATTTTAATTTAAACTGCCAAAAAAATACCCATTAATAACTTCACCGAGCCCAAAGCGACGTCTTTAAATGTCTCATTTTATCTAAAATGTTCAAAGCACAGTGAAATAAAAGAGAAAAGAAACAGATAATCTTCATTTTAGAGGCTGGAAACAACAAATATTTGGTTTAAAGTGTGAAATGAATCTTTAAATTAATGGTGATTATTTTATATCCATTGATTAATCAGTGAATCCTGTGCATTGATAAATAAAGATTGTTTATATGTTTATTTTATTGGATTTCCATTAGCTTCTGTAGCAGTTGCTAATCCTCTGCATGTAAAAAGATGTGCAAATAAAACATGAATTCAACCATGAAATCCAGGAGAAAAAGAGAAAAATTAAAATAAAAAAAACAGCAAATATTAATAAAATACAACCAAATTTAAAAAAAACAGTAATTGGTTCAAATTCCCCGTTATAATATAAAGAAATTAAAAGCAAAGACAAAAGAAAGAATAATTACAACAACACAGGTACAAGCTCACAACCGAAGCTGAAGGTCGGTAACATGGACAGAAAAGGTGAAAGAGAAGCTCAGAGCAGCAGCTCAGTGACATCTGCACCGAAAGTGTCAGAGTGACTCATCCGGCCACATTTAGGCTCCAGGAGACGCAGAGCTGAATTCATCCGAGAGCCAAGTTTCATTTCTGCTTCTGAGCTGCAGAGACACTGAAGTCACTTCTCACTTCTGCCACAAGTCACTGCATTTAGCTGCAAAGATACAGATAAGATGAATGTCGTCCTTTAAAGCCTCATGTGTGATCTCATGAAGATAAACTTCAGCTGTTTTACATTAAAATTTGATTATTTGTGTTTATTTAAACATTAATATGAAAAGTCTGACTTTAGGTTCATGACTTAAAGTTGTGGTGAATCTAATCAACCATTGCAATTAATTGCATTATACAGCACTTACAGAGTGACAAACATAAAAACAAAACAAAGCAATGAAAAACAGAAGAAAGGCAACAGGTTAATTATTGAGGCAATTATAACAGGGAGAATTACAAATACATGTGTTAAAACAATAAAATCAATAAAACAGACAAAAATAAATAAAACCAAAAATAGAAACTAAAGATTAAAGCATTGAAATCAAGAATAAAACGCTGCTTTATACATACAGTAAATACAAAAGATAGAATATGTAAAATTAATAAGAAAAACAAAAAAAAAAATGTATATGAAAAGTTATAAGGCATGTTGTTTTATTAAATAAATAAAATTCATATCATTAACCAATATGTTATTTCATACAAAAAATCATCATATAGATAGTTTTAATATATTTACAAATTTTACTATGGGTATTTCCTATATGTTATAAACTGACTTCATATAACCAGATGATGTATGTATGTGATAATAGTATTTCCCATTATATCTATATATCTTGTCCTCTAACACATGGTGGTCACGATGATGAATTAACTTAAATTAATCTATTTAAATATACATAACTTTAACAACATGTAAAAGTGTCTGTGCTTCAGTGGGAGGAAGTGGGTGTTGGAGGTTTACCCAGAGTTCATTGTGGTCTGAGCAGCCACCCAGTCATTCTGTCTTCTTCTATACTTTTTAAATGCTGATATATTCTGAATAAATCAATGGGGTTTTTTTCAGTTCAGTTCATGTTTGTAGAGTTCAAAAAGTCTGAGGACTATTTTCTTTTTTTCAATTCATGTGCAGTGAATTAGTGATGTGTGCTCTTGAATTCATGAGGCGTTACCGTAACAGCTGAAGTCGTAGGTTGTCACTGATGTGTCTGAACAAATACTGAATTATATAAACAAATGCTGAATTATATAAACAAATGCTGAATTATATCAACAAACACTGAATTATATCAACAAACACTGAATTATATTAACAAATACTGAATTATATCAACAAATACTGAATTATATCAACAAATGCTGAATTAGTTCCCTCATATTAAAATCATCTGGACTTCTCCTTCATTACATTTGTCTGTGTCTCCTCATTCTTTTTATGCAGCTGTGATGCTGCATTGGATTTTACAGTGATACTGTCCAGTATCAGTATTAGAGGGCAACAAATAGACAGAATATGATGCTCTTTAATGCATTAACTCTGACTTTACCCTCCAGCTTCATACAGACACAGGCGGTAATATATAAGGTGATGTTTCTCTTCTATGTAATTTTTCCTCCAGCAGAGCAGGAAGTTTAATTGCTCATCTTGAAGCTCGAAGTCGGTCTTTGTGGTTTAAAATGTCCTCTTCAGGTCTTTCTCAATGCTGTGCGTGTGTGTGTGTGCGCACATATGTGTGTCTGCGTGAGTGTGTGTGAGTGTGTTTGTTGGCACCAGTTCACATTTTACTCTACCAAATAAGGATCTGCAAACGCACAGTTAAAGTGAATCATGAGAGGCTGTAATAAAATGTCTGTGTCATGTGATCAGCTCCTTCTCAGAGTTGCTTCACCCTTCTCCTCTGCAGCTGTTTCCTTCCTTTATAGAAACAATGCTAAACATTTGTGTCGAGCTGTACTTAACTTAACAACCACAAAATTATGGCTGCAATTCAGGTAATATAACGTATAACATCTTGTTTTAGAGCTCAAAAATTCAGGCGATCAATCAGTCGATTGATAAGAATAATTTACTTTTTCAAGCAAAAATAGTCAAAAATAATCTTTGTAAATTGAGTATTTTAGGTCTCTTGGACATTTGAAGATGTCACCTTCAGTTCAATTACATTTTTGACAATTTTTTAATGTTTCTTAGACAAAAAGAAGAATCTAAACATAATGACTATATTTATATTATATATTATTTATATGCTCAACCCCTTCCTGTATCGATGGCTGATCAGTCCTCAAAAACAAAAATCACAAATCACTCTGCTTAAATTATATTCTTCATTTATGTAATGCTTGAATAAACCTTGAAGAACTCATAAACGATGAACATCTGGAGTAATTCATCTTTTCCCATGTTTGAAATGGTGTTTACATTTTTTATAAAAAGTGAGAGAAAACAAGTTTTGGACAAATTAAAAGTTGAAGATAAAATTACTTTTACTTTAAGATAAACTACAGACTAAATTATATGTATTTATGATTTTAATGCAGGTGATTTTTCTTATAAAACTTGTAAAAAACTGCTTTTCTTAACTTTTTCTTAACTGATTTATTATTGATCATATCCAGCCTCCATTATTACATCACTCTGGATGAAATCTATTGTTTGGATTCAGTAACTGTGACAGGAATCATTGGTCTCATTTCTATTTAATTACTTGTTTGTTATTTTATATGGAGGACCACAGGTATCACAGAAATAAGTAATACAAATTTCATTAATTAATAACTAATTGTACAATAAAAATGTGCAGAAATAAATGTGTTTGCAAATGTATTTATTTATAATAGATATACTAAATTACAAAGTAATTAATTGTTGGATTTTTAAAAGAGCAATTATGAAATTAATTTACAAATCAAATATTAATCTATCAATAAATAGTTTAAATTAAAGAAAGGTTTATAAAAACAACATAAAACAGTCGATAAGTACATGAATGAACTCATAGATTTATAAAATGGAATTTAAAAATCAATGTGAAAGTTTAAAAAGAGGAAAAAATGAAATTTAAATAACTGGATCCACAAAATGAATTAGGATACAGATTTTAATCAGATGTTTAAAAGAGCAGTTTCCTTTTCATTTGCATGTCCATTTCCTCACTGCTTTTCCTCTTCCTAATAGTAATAATATCTGTGACACTTTGGGACTTGTGCTGGTAAAACAAGGTAAAACAATGCAAATCAGCCACGAGATGTGACGAGTCTCAGTTTTCTTTGATTCAAATATTTATTCAGGGACTCCAGACATGAGAAGCATCATATAATCTGATGAACTAATGATGAATCCCAGAACGGTCTCAGACACTGAGATGCTCCAGTCTTCTCGATTGGAGCCATGAGTTATTAATAAATCCAGTTTTTCAGTCATTATATTTACTGTATCAGATTATTTTTTAACACCATGAACAATCAGTTTTATTCATACATCACTGTTATTGAGTCTAACTTCCCTCCAGACAATTGTCCAGCAGTCAGAGAGCTGCAGGTTACCTGTGCAGGTGCTCAGATCTTATTACACACACCAATAACAAGCAGAGGAACACTATGAGACAGGAAGTGCCGCAGAAGCAGGAAGTGTTTGACCAGCAGAACTGAGAACTGTCAGCAGTTTGCATCACAGAACAAAATCAGGAGATAAACATCTCTAGGTTCCTCCTTTTCTGCACCACTGAGTCTGACAGTCCCGTCTCGGCAGCGTCGGACTTTTAATTTGAGGATGTTGTTTTTTTGGTTTTTTTTGTCAGTTTCAGGTTCCCAACATGGCCGCCACCCCCGCGCAGATTTCTCCAGAGGAGCTGGAGGAACTTAGAGAAGCTTTCGCAAAGATCGGTGAGAGAACTAAGAGTTTTCAGACGTGACATTATCAACATTGACCAGGTTGAATGTGCGTTCAAGGAAGTGCGTCGTCTCTGGTATGAAAATAGTATTAAAGTTATGTTTTCTTGCTTCCTATTGGTGACCTCTGACCCCTCCGTCCTCCCCCAGATGTGGACAACAATGGATTCATCAGCAAGGCCGAGCTGACCGAGCTCTTCAGAGCCGCTAACCTGGCGCTGCCCGGGTACAGGGTCCGAGAGATCGTCCAGGAGCTGACCAAGACCAGCGACCAGCTCTCCTTCGACGAGTTCACTCAGGTGAGGTCACAGGTCAAAGGTCACACAGGCAAACACACAGTGTTCATCTGTCACTGACCAGCTGATGGTTCGAAGAAGAAGCTGTTTCTTGAAATAAAAGGAAACTGACAACTTGTAGCTTAAAGTTTCATTTTAAAGATTAAACAATTCATCATCTGCCTGGACAGAATTGAATTAATTCCACATTTTCTCCAAGTATTTAGTTTTCAGTTGGTGAAAGAAAATCACTGACCTCGTCTCTCACGTTTAAGAATAAATATTCACTAAAATGTCATAAACTCACTTCATGTTTCCTCTTTTGAATGAAACTGTTTGTGTTTCTGATGAAATACCAGACGGACAGGAAGCGGTAGGAGAAGTACTCAGATATTTTACTGAAGTAAAAGCACCAATACAAGAATGTAAAAGTACGTCATTACAAAGTAAAAGTCCTGCATTCAAACTCTCCTTCTTTATTAAAGTACAGAGGTACCACCAGCTTCATGTGGTTGGAGGAACACACCAGACTGTTTCAGTGCAGACTGTAAATAACAACTGATTTAACTGATTTAGATCATTAGTAGTAATAATATTAATAAACAATGTGTCTCCACCTTCAGATCGTCCACAGCCTGAAGAGCACCGAGGTGGCCAAGACCTTCAGGAAGGCCATCAACAAGAAGGAGGGAATCTGTAGCGTGGCAGGAACCTCAGAGCAGTCCGGCACCCAGCACTCCTACTCAGGTCTGTTAACACACACACACACACACACACACACACACACACACACTCACACACACACACACACACACAATCAGACCAGAAGAGATGAGGTTAGATTAGATTAAAACCATATTAACGACATAGCGACACTGACAATGATCCACCTGATACCTGAGCACGACTTTAACAACTGTAAGAAGAAGAACGACCAATGAAAAGTGACAAAGTGACATAAATTTTTAATTAAAGCAAGTGTTTGATGCTACAATTAATTTAATTTTACTCAAAGTAAATGAATGAAGACGAACAGCAGAAAATAAAACACATCTCTCCTTGATGTTTGATTGTTGCTGTTAAATGAGATGTTATAATGTTTATCTGTGTTTGAAACTCAATGAAAGTGGAAAAGAAAATATAAAAACTTCACACAGCTGGTAAACTCAATGATTGACATTCATTGATTAACGCGGGTTTTGTGGGACGACGGTTGGGAGGTCAGAGGCGGAGAGGACGGGAGAAATGGCTGACGCAGACGACGAGTGATGTGACGTGGTTTTTCTTGTGTCCGCAGAGGAGGAGAAAGTGGCCTTTGTGAACTGGATCAATAAAGCTCTGGAGAAGGACGGCGACTGTAAACACGTTCTGCCGATGGATCCCAACAACAACGACCTGTTCACCGCCATGGGAGACGGGATCGTCCTCTGGTACTTTTCATTTAAAACTAATCGATTAATATCAAAGTCATGAGGGCTCAACAGCTGATGTAAAGATATAGAAACTATAGATGGAGGATGATGAGGGACGAGGTGGATTAAGGTTCTTCAGGTTGTGTTTTATTCTGTGAAAGTCTTGTAACGACCTGGATTTAATTTCTCCTGTCAGTAAGATGATCAACCTGTCCGTCCCCGACACCATCGACGAGAGAACCATCAACAAGAAGAAGCTCACACCTTTCACCATCCAGGTGAGGAGGAGGACCAGAGTGGTCTTCAGTCTGATCACACTGTTCCCTGCTCAGTCTATAACCCCCAGTCTTTACACCCTGTGTCGTGGTCTTGGGTCTGACAGGAGAACCTGAACCTGGCTCTGAACTCGGCGTCGGCCATCGGCTGCCACGTGGTGAACATCGGAGCTGAGGACCTGAAGGAGGGCAGGCAGCACCTGGTCCTGGGGCTGCTGTGGCAGGTCATCAAGATCGGCCTGTTTGCTGACATCGAGCTGAGCAGGAACGAAGGTGTGTGTGTGTGTGTGTGTGTGTGTGTGTTTAAATCAGGTGTTTCTAATAATCTCTCCAGCATGATTCACATATACATAGAGGATCAGAATATTAGGAACACAGAGACTGAAAGCTGCAAAATACATACAGTATATTATAATGTGTGTGTGTGTGTGTGTGTGTGTGTGTGTGTGTGTGTGTGTGTGTGCAGCTCTGATCGCTCTGCTGCGTGATGGAGAGAGTCTGGAGGATCTGATGAAACTGTCCCCTGAGGAGCTGCTGCTGCGTTGGGCCAACTATCACCTGGAGCAGGCCGGCTGTGGCAAGATCAACAACTTCAGCTCCGACATCAAGGTGAACACACACACACACACACACACACACACACACTGTTTTTTGGCTTTTATACAAACATGAAATGGTGCCTGCCTGCGGGGGTGCACCACATAAATCATCTGGAGTCTCTGAAACCTGATTTAATTTTAAGTTTGATGTCTGATGCTTCAAAGTTCCCTGAAGCATCAGCTCAGTTACCTTGAAAGTGGACCAAACCATCAGCACCTGTCAGGGGGGGGGGGGGGGGGGCTGTCCTCTATAAGAGCAACACACATTCATCAGTATCAGAACGTCCAGATCTGGTCATCCTTTTACTAAATTTAATGGAGATCTAAGCAGAACATAAGAAAACATTTGATCTGTTCCAATCAAACCAAAGTTAATTAATCCCATAAATTAATATTTGGCATTTTATAACTTTGGTTTCATAAAATCTGGCTGCATGATTTCTTCTGTTAAAGGCCCCTCCACCACCTCAGTCTGCAGATGTTCTCTGTGATAACGGTTTGTGTTTGTGTTGCAGGACTCGAGGGCGTACTACAACCTCCTGGACCAGGTGGCACCTAAAGGAGACGAGGAGGGAATCCCCCCCATCGCCATCGACACGTCAGGACTCAGGGTGAGAGGCTCTGAAGTCATGAGGACAAGTCAGGGATCATGATCAGACAGTTTAAAGGAACAGTTCAACATTTTGGGAAATACACTTGTTGAACTTTAATTATTCATGTATTGTATTTATTTAAATTACGGCTGCAACAAACAGTTATTTTTACATTTTTTTATTATTTTTATTTTTTGTTTGCTATAAAATGTCAGAAAAGAAACAAAAACCAATATCCTCTGTAAACTATCAATACTTTAAAGCTCCATATTTTCTTCTTCTTCTGTGTTTTATTTGAAGTGTTGATCCATGAGAAGATATATTTGTGGTTTTAAGAACCAAAAACCATCTCAGTGTAGTTTTACATCTTCAAATAAAAATATAGCAGATTTCAGGTAAAACACTAAGAGAAACCAAATCCTGCAAGGTCTGGATGGTGGGTCCAGGTGGGCGGGGCTTGGTGACTGCTTTGTTGTGACATCACAAAGTTCCAGAAGTCCTGACGGCTGGTTTTAAGGCTCAGTTTCTGAATACAGGCTGTGTGCATTTCTCTGTGGACTGAGGCTTTGATACTTTCACAGTATTAATATAGAAGCTAGACCTGATCTATAATCACACTACACATGGACACAGACCTTTACACTGGAGGAGCTTTAAAGAGCCATAATGGAGGATGATAAAGATAAGCAGTGGTTCCTCGGTGTGTTGACGTCGTCCTCGTCGTCTCTCTGCAGGAGAAAGAAGACCTGAAGCGCGCTGAGTGCATGCTGGACCAGGCCGACCGGCTCGGCTGCAGACAGTTCGTCATGCCGGCGGACGTCGTCCGGGGAAACCCGAAGCTCAACTTGGCTTTTGTTGCCAATCTGTTCAACAAGTACCCGGCTCTGAAGAAACCAGAGAACCAGGACATCGACTGGAGCTCCATCGAAGGTGAGTCCAGAAAACCAGTCCAGGTCTCACCTCGGTCTTCTGACCTTTAATCTTCTGTAAACCTCTTGTTTGTGTTTTCCCTCCAGGTGAAACCAGGGAGGAGCGAACCTTCAGGAACTGGATGAACTCACTGGGGGTCAACCCTCGAGTCAACCACCTCTACGTGTAAGAACTCACCGCTTTTATTGATCAGCTTCATCAACATCAGCGGCTCCATGCACAACACACAGTCACTGTATCCTTATCCATCATGATGAACACTCATGATGATTCAGCCTTCGTCACTAAGACAAGGGTCTGAGGAACTGAGGCAGTGACACACTTCCTGTCTTTAAAAACATAAGAGGAAGCAACATGGAGCCCAACGTACTGCAGAGGAAAGGTCATGTGATGTGTGTCACTCTGCGGTCTAATGTGAAATGTGTGTGTGTGTGTGTGTGTGTGTGTGTGTGTGTGTGTGTGTGTGTGTGTGTGTGTGTGTGTGTGTGTGTGTGTGTGTGTGTGTGTGTATTCCAGAGACATTGATGACGCCCTGGTGATCTTCCAGTTGTACGAGAAGATCAAGGTTCCAGTGGACTGGGACCGAGTCAACAAGCCTCCCTACCCGAAACTGGGCAGCAACATGAAGAAGGTACGACGTCGTCTCAGACGAAGCTTCAGACGTGATGGAGGGAAAAAAGTTCAGCTGATAAACAACGTTTAGAGTTTAGCCCTAAAATGACCCACAGTATCTACGATCTGAAGGTGAACTGTCCAACATTTTACCAAGACACCAGATGTTGATTTCATCTGGGTTCAGTCCAGAAACCAAGTCCAGGACTAAGAAGACAGAAGTGACTCATGATTTATACAAATCAACTCAGCTGTAATTAAACTACAGTTTAAACAGCGTTTCCAAACCTATTTCAACTCATGTCCCACTTGAAAATCTCAACAACATCCGACCCTGTAACAATACAGAGGTCAAATAGTATGTTCTCAGAGCTCTTTTTATTTTAATGATAACGATCGAACATTCAGGACTGAACAGAGAGCAGAAGAAACATGCAGGAAGATCAACTTTTCTTTCTTGTTTTTGGTTAGAGACTCATCATCTGTCTCTTGACTCTTTCCTTTTAATTCTTCCTGTCCTTCTGACACGCCATCAAGCTGAGATAGTTTTACTTTTAATGGAGTATTTTCAAACTGATGTAGTAACAGATCTCAGATCAGTACTTGTTCCAGCGCTGAGTCTTTGTTCTTGGTTCCAGCTGGAGAACTGTAACTATGCAGTGGAGCTGGGGAAGAAGGAGGCCAAGTTCTCCCTGGTGGGCATCGCGGGTCAGGACCTGAACGCAGGGAATCGAACCCTCACCCTTGCCCTGCTGTGGCAGCTCATGAGACGGTAATGACACTTCACCACCTGTAACTCTCTCTTAGAGAAATAAACATCTGAGTATCAACAGGTTTGAAAGTGGCTCTGAGAGGTTTGTGAAGTCAGACTGGACGCACAGCAGATCAGATCAATTATTACAAAGCACTGAATCCAGTTCCCTAAAGTTTGATGGAATGAAATAGGAATATACAGGATGATACATGTATTATTATAAGAAGGTGCCTCCTCACACTGAACGCTGTCTGCTCCCTCAGGTACACCCTGAACATCCTGGAGGACCTGGGCGATGGTCAGAAGGTGACCGACGACACCATCGTGTCCTGGGTCAATGACATGCTCACGCAGGCTGGAAAACCCACCATCTCCAGCTTCAAGGTAGAGGATGCTGCACGGTCACAGAGATGGTTACTGACGTCTCTGACTTTAACAGGAAGTGACTCGTTTTAACCAAGAGGAGACGATGACATCACCAGTCAGATTTCAGACGGTGTCAAAACCAAATACATTTTATAAACTTGTGACCACAGATCCCATGACATCTCATTTTAACGCTTCAGTTAAATATCTCCTGATTCAATTATTATAAAACTATAGTTTAATTCATCTAATGCGGTATTTCATTCAGAATGATGCTTCATTTAAATGTGTTTGTTGTTGTAGAGAAACAACAGGTTTAAACTGTGACTGGACTCAAACACATTTAATCACAGCTGTGTATAAAAACCTTGAAATTGTCACTTTAAAAAACACTACAGCATCTGCAACATTTCCAGCTTCCTGATGAGATGTGTATATTAAGTTTTACAGGTGTATGTTTATCAGTGAAATTAACATGTGTTTACTACTGACTGCTTTCATGTTAAAGCTGAAACACATTGTTAGGTAGACAGGTTCATCTGTGGATTTCATCATCGCAGATTCAACACTGGCAGAATAAATCAATAAACTCTTCTCTGTGTGTGTGTGTGTATAGGACGGGTCAATCAGCAGCAGCATGCCGGTCCTGGACCTGATCGATGCCATCCAGCCCGGATCGATCAGATACGACCTGCTGAAGACAGAAGACCTGACTGACGAGGAGAAACTCAACAACGCAAAGTATGAGCAGATTTTTTTTATTAATTACTAATCATGTCTCATCATTTGCCTCCCCTCATCTTCGTTGTCTTCTAATTAGGTCATCGAGCTTGACAGTAGAATCAATCGTTCGTATTAGAAGCACCAACATAATAACATAATTAACGACAATTTAATTAATTGACATCAGATCGCAAACCTCACGGTTTAACCATGTTAGCTAGCCTTAACTAGCAAGCTAACCCTGGCTTCTGCCTTCTGTAGGCTAGCAGTCAGGTATGCTAGCAGGAGTAAACATAAAATAGTGGATATATCAAAGTAGGAGTTGAATTTCTATTGAGAAATCCCATGAAAATGTCAACGTGAATGAGTTATTTTGTAGTAAATAGAGCATCAAATGAGTATGTATGCCTTACTATACTATTACGTTTTTTTTTTTTTTTTACGTTTTTATGCTATAATATACTATGACGTTTTTATGACTTTTTGTGCCTTACTATACTATGACATTTCTATGACTTTTTGTGCCTTACTATACTAACTATACTATGACATTTTTATGACTTTTTGTGCCTTACTATACTATGATGTTTTTTGACGTTTTTATGCCTTACTATACTATGACATTTTTATGACTTTTTGTGCCTTACTATACTATGATGTTTTTTGACGTTTTTATGCCTTACTATACTATGACATTTTTATGACTTTTTGTGCCTTACTATACTATGACATTTTTACGCCTTATTCTACTATGACGTTTTTTTGCCTTAATATACTATGACGTTTTTATTATGTTTTTATGGCTTAATATACTATGATGTTTTTATGCCTTACTATACTATGACTTTTTTATGCCTTAATATATTATGACATTTTTATGACTTTTTTGCCTTACTATACTATGATAATTTTATGCCTTACTATACTATGACGTTTTTACGCCTTATTCTACTATGACGTTTTTATGCCTTAATATATTATGATGTTTTTATGCCTTATTATACAATGACAATTTTATGCCTTACTATACTGTGACATTTTTTTGACGTTTTGTGCCTTACTATATTATGACGTTTTTTGACGTTTTTATGCCTTAATGTACTATGACTTTTTTATGACTTTTTGTGCCTTACTATACTATGACGTTTTTATGGCTTCATATACTATGACCTTTTTTTTAATGTTTTTATGGCTTAATATACTATGACGTTTTTATGCCTTACTATACTATGACGTTTTTATGACTTTTTTATGCATTAATATAATATGACGTTTTTATGACTTTTTGTGCCTTATTATACAATGACAATTTTATGCCTTACTATACTATGACATTTTTATGACTTTTTGTGCCTTACTATACTATGATGTTTTTTTTTACGTTTTTATGCCTTACTATACTATGATGTTTTTATGACTTTTTTATGCCTTACTATACTATGACATTTTTATGACTTTTTGTGCCTTACTATACTATGATGTTTTTTGACGTTTTTATGCCTTACTATACTATGACATTTTTATGACTTTTTGTGCCTTACTATACTATGACATTTTTACGCCTTATTCTACTATGACGTTTTTTTGCCTTAATATACTATGACGTTTTTATTATGTTTTTATGGCTTAATATACTATGATGTTTTTATGCCTTACTATACTATGACTTTTTTATGCCTTAATATATTATGACATTTTTATGACTTTTTTGCCTTACTATACTATGATAATTTTATGCCTTACTATACTATGACGTTTTTACGCCTTATTCTACTATGACGTTTTTATGCCTTAATATATTATGATGTTTTTATGCCTTATTATACAATGACAATTTTATGCCTTACTATACTGTGACATTTTTTTGACGTTTTGTGCCTTACTATATTATGACGTTTTTTGACGTTTTTATGCCTTAATGTACTATGACTTTTTTATGACTTTTTGTGCCTTACTATACTATGACGTTTTTATGGCTTCATATACTATGACCTTTTTTTTAATGTTTTTATGGCTTAATATACTATGACGTTTTTATGCCTTACTATACTATGACGTTTTTATGACTTTTTTATGCCTTAATATAATATGACGTTTTTATGACTTTTTGTGCCTTATTATACAATGACAATTTTATGCCTTACTATACTATTACATTTTTTTTGACTTTTTGTACCTTACTATACTGTGACATTTTTTTGACTTTTTGTGCCTTACTATACGATGACATTTTTTTGACTTTTTGTGCCTTAATATACTGTGATATTTTTGTCATTTTTATGCCTTACTATACTATGACAGTTCTTGACTATTTTATGCCTGAATATATTATAACTTTTTTACACCTTTCTATACTATGACCTTTTTATGACTGTTTGTGCCTTATTATACTATGACATTTTTATGCCTTAATATACTATGACGTTTGTTTGACTTTTTGTGCCTTACTATACTATGACATTTCATGATGTTTTTATGCCTTACTATACTATGACATTTTTTGACGTTTTTATTCCTTACTATAGTATGACATTTTCATTCCTTACTATACTATGACATTTGTATGCCTTACTATATTATGATATTTTATGAAGTTTTTATGCCTTACTATACTATGACGTATTTGACGTTTTGATGCCTTACTATACTATAACATTGTTATGCCTTTGTTATGCTCCAGTCTAGGGTAATGGGAGCACAACAAAAAAGTACAAGGATGTTTTCCGTCCTGGTCCCAAATACCAAAGTCACAACACTGAAATGCAATGCAATGATGTACTTTATTGTCACCAAAAACAAAGAAGCAACTGCAGGTTGAACCAAAGCCAAAGCAACAGACAAAAGAAACTTTCTCTTCAAAAATTGCTGGCTAACACTAGGTGAAAACAAATGAAAGAAAAGACAGTGACTAAACCTAACTACATAGGATAAAGCAAAACAGAAAATATCTCAGGTCACCCCTACAGATTCAGGGGTATTTAAGAAGTGGATCAATCTTTTCACAACACCAGAACAAACCCAAAATTATTTATTAATACTCACACCGGCACTATAGGCAGGACAAAAGGTTACAAATAATACACAGTGAACAGAAGTCACATGTTGTTTGGGCGCCGGGGACAGAGCCAGGATGCTGCTGTCAGGTCTGTCATCGGAGCACGGTAGAGCACAGGCATTTTGAAATGCAGGTAATTAGACAGCCAACCAGCAGCCGCCACTTCTCCGGTCAAGCACATGAATTCAGCCAGTCAGGAGTGACCTACAGGAGGGGAATGCGAGGCTTCTAGCATGAAAAGAGCACTCACTCTCACACAAAAAAACACACTCTACACAGTCAGACAGGAAAAAAACTGGACCTGAATTAATAATACGACCAGGGTTGTAACAGCCTTACAATACTATGACTTTTTTTATGACTTACTATACTATGATAGTTCTTGACTATTTTATGCCTGAAAAAACTATAACTTTTTTACACCTTACTATACTATGACCTTTTTTTGACTTTTTGTGCCTTCCTATACTATGACGTTTTTTGATGTTTTTATGCCTTACTATACTATGACATTTTTATGCCTTACTATACTATGATGTTTTTTGATGTTTTTATAACTTAATATACTATGACGTTTTTATGACTTTTTGTGGCTTACTATACTATGATGTTTTTTGACGTTTTTATGCCTTAATAGACTATGACGTTTTTTTTAAACGTTTTTATGCCTTACTACACCATGATGTTTTTTTAACGTTTTTATACCTTACTATACTATGATGTTTTTGACGTTTTTATAACTTCCTATACTAAAATGTTTTTTGATGTTTTGTATGCCTTACTATACTATTAAGTTTTTTTTTTTTTTACGTTTTTATGCTATAATATACTATGACGTTTTTATGACTTTTTGTGCCTTACTATACTATGATGTTTTTTGACGTTTTTATGCCTTACTATACTATGACGTTTTTATGACTTTTTTATGCCTTACTATACTATGACATTTTTATGACTTTTTTGCCTTACTATACTATGATGTTTTTTGACGTTTTTATGCCTTACTACACTATGACGTTTTTATGACTTTTTGTGCCTTACTATACTATGATGTTTTTTGATGTTTTTATGCCTTACTATACTATGATGTTTTTATGACTTTTCTATGCCTTACTATACTATGACATTTTTATGACTATTTGTGCCTTACTATACTAGGACGTTTTTATGCCTTAATATACTATGACGTTTTTTTGACTTTTTGTGCCTTACTATACTATGATGTTTTTTGATGTTTTTATGCCTTACTATACTATGATGTTTTTATGACTTTTCTATGCCTTACTATACTATGACATTTTTATGACTTTTTGTGCCTTACTATACTATGATGTTTTCTGATGTTTTTATGCCTTACTATACTATGATGTTTTTTTTGACGTTTTTATGCCTTAATATACTATGACGTTTTTTTGACTTTTTGTGCCTTACTATACTATGACATTTTTATGACTTTTTGTGCCTTAATAGACTATGACGTTTTTTTAAACGTTTTTATGCCTTACTACACCATGATGTTTTTTTAACGTTTTTATACCTTACTATACTATGTTTTTGACGTTTTTATGCCTTACTTTACTATGACGTATTTGACGGTTTTATAACTTCCTATACTAAAATGTTTTTTGATGTTTTGTATGCCTTACTATATTATTACGTTTTTTTTTTTTACGTTTTTATGCTATAATATACTATGACGTTTTTATGACTTTTTGTGCCTTACTATATACTATGACATTTTTTGATGTTTTTACGCCTTAATATACTATGATGTTTTTGACGTTTTTGTGCCTTACAATACTATGACATTTTTTTTTTACGTTTTTATGCCTTACAATATTATGACATTTTTTGACGTTTTGACGCCTTACTACACTATGACGTTTTTTTTTACGTTTTTATGCCTTACCATACTATGATGTTTTTGACATTTTTGTGCCTTACTATACTATGACATTTTTATGCCTTACTATACTATGACGTTTTTGACGTTTTTATGCCTTAATAGACTATGGCGTTTTTTTAAACGTTTTTATGCCTTACTATACTATGATGTTTCTGACGTTTTTATGCCTTACTTTACTATGACGTATTTGATGGTTTTATAACTTCCTATACTAAAATGTTTTTTGATGTTTTGTATGCCTTACTATACTATTACGTTTTTTTTTTTTTTACGTTTTTATGCTATAATATACTATGACGTTTTTATGACTTTTTGTGCCTTACTATATACTATGACGTTTTTTGATGTTTTTACGCCTTAATATACTATGACGTTTTTATGACTTTTTGTGCCTTACTATACTATGACGTTTTTATGGCTTAATATACTATGACGTTTTTTTGACTTTTTGTGCCTTACTATACTATGATGTTTTTTGACGTTTTTATGCCTTACTATACTATGACGTTTTTTGATGTTTTTACGCCTTAATATCCTATGACGTTTTTATGACTTTTTGTGCCTTACTATACTATGACGTTTTTATGGCTTAATATACTATGTCATTTTTATGACTTTTTGTGCCTTACTATACTGTGACATTTTTTTTGACGTTTTGTGCCTTACTATATTATGACATTTTTTGACGTTTTTATGGCTTAATATACTATGACTTTTTTATGACTTTTTGTGCCTTACTATACTATGACAATTTTATGCCTCACTATATTATGACGTTTTTACGCCTTTTTCTACTATGACGTATTTATGGCTTCATATACTATGACCTTTTTTTTTATGTTTTTATGGCTTAATATACAATGACAATTTTATGCCTTACTATACTATGACATTTTTTTGACTTTTTGTGCCTTACTATACTATGACATTTTTTTGACTTTTTGTGCCTTAATATACTGTGATGTTTTTGACATTTTTATGCCTTACTATACTATGACGTTTTTATGCCTTAATATAATATGACATTTTTTGATGTTTTTATGCCTTATTATACAATGAAAATTTTATGCCTTACTATACTAAAATGTTTTTATCACTTTTTGTGCCTTACTATACTATGACGTTTTTTTGACTTTTTGTGCCCTATTATACTATGATGTTTTTATGCTTTACCATAGTATTACATTTTTATGCCTTACTATACTATGATGTTTTTTGGCTGAGGTTCCACACACATGAGACTATCTAATCCTGTCACTCTACATACACAAGTAACATCAGAATGCCTCACACTTGAAAAAGTTTTCTCATGGCTCTGTGCTGTGCTTCCAGGTACGCCATCTCCATGGCGAGGAAGATAGGCGCCCGGGTATACGCTCTGCCCGAGGACCTGGTGGAGGTCAAACCCAAGATGGTGATGACAGTGTTCGCCTGCCTGATGGCGCGTGGTATGAAGAGAGCCTAAAGACCAAGACGACACACCATCAGTAACCTGGACGAACATGAACCTGCAGACCGGCCTCAGGAAGTGAAGGGGGAGGGGTCAGCTGTATTCTTGTGACTTAACAGTTCAGAGACAAAAACTCTCACAGTCTCATAACCTGAAATATTGGACAGACAAAGTTCAGATAATGTGAACACATTTCAAAACAGGGGGTGACAGAAACAAAGTAATTACATTATATTGAGACATCCACTGCAGACTGTTATATTTCTCTGTTTTAAACTCAGGATCAGCTTCAGTTAAACCTCATCATCATTAATAATAAAGTACATAATCACATCTGCAGGCTTCCCACTCTCTGCTGCACTGTTGTTGGTTTTTCTAATGTCTGTATCATCGTGAAGGACCTGCGCAATGTCCCTGTGTATTTCTGTGGCAGATTCAGCCACAGTCTCAGTTTTTTACCTGATTACAAACATTTCAAATCAGAAACTTTATGGCAAAAATATGCAACAAATAAACAGACTTTTGTATGATAAACTGTGTTGTTATTTGCGTGTATAACTTGAATCACCTCCTCATGGTTGTATCCCTCCGCCACTCAGACCAGTTTCAGATTACATCCGTTTATCCAGAGTCATATAAAATATAAAATATGAACCATTTGTGTGAAATTTGTCATGTTGCTGTGTCTTGAGTCCTGAGTTACGGCTTAAAAGTGTTTTGTGAGGGCACCCCGACCTTGACCTTTGACCTTTAGCCACCAAAATCTAATCAGTTCATCCCTGAATCCTGGTGAATGTTTGTACCAAATTTAAAGAAGTTCCATCAAGTTGCTACTGAGATATCGTGTCCAGGAGAATGGGACGTATGGACAGAAAACCTGAAAACAATATGTCTCCGGCTCTGAGTGTCGCCAGCACGGAGGAATAAAAAATCCAAAGAGTGAGACATCTCTCTAGAAGATCACCTCATGTCAGTTTCAGGAGTCACGTTCTCCAGTTAAACTTTCATTCATATCAGATCAATGATCTAAACTCATCAACTCGATAGTTTTGAATCAGGATCTTCCAGCAGCTTGTGAAAAAGGTGTCAGATTTAATAACTACAGCTGTGATTTCAAAATAAGAATAATAATAATAATAATAGATATATTATCTTTATGTTAAAATATAAAATTAAAGTACTTTAGGATCAGGGCCAAAAATCTTGACTGGGACATCTTTACTTTATGCTGATGCTGCGTTCACGTCACATGGGAAAGTGTCAGTCTTCTTACTGCACAACAAACAAAATAAAAACAGAGTGACATTTCCTCAAAGAACAGTAAACGACCTCAGTGTGACTAGAACGTAATAATGTTGAGTGATTGTGTGAGAGTTAAAGACATTGTGCTTGTTCAGTAAAGCACTAAAGCAGTGTTTAATTACCTTTAACACCAGCCTGGAAGAGTGTCAGCCTTTCAGGTGGAAAAAGCTGTTTACAAGTGGGAAACTGGGAACTCTGATGTGATGTGAACGCAGCATGTGATCACCAGCTGCTGGCTGTAGTTCGGTGTTCTGGTGAATGGTGTCAATATTTACATGTAACTCTCAGCAGGAAAGTAAAGAAACAGGGACTCAAACCTCAAACACGATCACACACACAAGTGTTGACCTTTGATTCGTTTCTTCACAGCAACCAGGTGAGGCTCCAGCTGTTAAATACAGGATTATAGACGACACTGACCTGAGCAAAAAAAAATCAAAAAAATCAATGAAAGCACAAAAACAGAGAGAGTCACTTAAACAATCTGTTTAATTAGAGAAAACTTTCATTTCCAAAGGAAAGATAGAGAACTGGTACAAAACGAAAAGCTGGGTCGAGTCCGTCGAGTCCATCCTAGTTTTTCTTCTTGAAGAGAGAGAAGGTGGCGACAGAGTTCAGAGACAGACCTGAACCAGACCTGGACCAGACCTGAACCAGACCTGGACCAGACCTGGACCAGACATGGACCAGGCGGCGAACAGAGAGTGAGGAAAACTTAGCTACATATTTACAATATTAACTGTCAGTTGAGCCGCTGCTGCTGTTTCTGAACAAACACATGATGAACGTTTGTGGAAGTTAAACCACGTCCCTTTAAGCTGTTGTACAGGTGTTATGTTGGGGAGGTGGGGGTGGGGTGTTATCTTAGTGTCTCTGGGAGGAGCATTATTTGGCAGGTTTGGCCTCTATGGGGTTTTCTCCGGTGTCCAGGGTCTTGAGGAGGCGGAAAAGGCCGGCGGCTTCACGGATGCGGCTGAACTCGATGCAGAAGGCCTGGACCTCGATGAACAGGTCCTGGACGTTGATGATCTTGTTTCGGATCAGAGACTGGAGGAAGACGCAGACCAGACGCACCAGACGGTTCTAGAAGAAAAGATAAACGTCAGAAACATTACTGCACAATATCGACATTTTAAAACTTATTTTATCCGACTGTTGATGTAAATACTGACATGATTTCACTGAAGAGAAGAACACCAAGTCTCTCCTGCACTAGACTTTACCCCTTACTCTTATTGTGTTGACAAACTTCTAGATACAGACATAAAGCAACATGTGATTCCACCCTAAGTTTGTCCTTTCACAAATAAAGAAATTCACTCATGAAAAATGTGGATGAGCTGTAAATGATTTGCCACATTTCTCTGTATAATCTAGTTCAACAGCAGAATCAACTACAGGTGAATCTGAAACTGTTTCACCACAAACTGAACACTGTGTCCATCATGAGGAGGATTTACTGCATTACTATCAGGCACTGAACTGCGTGACCTGAGCTACAGATGTGGGGGGAGTGTTGTGATCAGAGAACAAGTCAGTATCTGATGCGACCACCGTTTGGGTGACGATGCAGGTCATGGAGGAGCCGGGATGTTTTAAGCTTCCAGGAACTGTTTACATCACGCTGCAGATGAATGATCTTTTATTTTAACTAAAGTGTTTATATTTGTGTTCAGTGAATAAGTGGCTGCTTCACTTCAGCAGGGATCATGTTGCGTCTCAAACAGACACGTTCTCTTCATTCGTTTCAACACGTTCTGTTCTTGTTAAAGGACGGAGGATCTAATTAAATCATGTTCATCCTGAAGCCGCTTCACTGAGGCTGTTGTCATTAAAGTGTTGGACTGTACCTGCATGTATTTGTCTTTGATCTGTTCACAGGTGGAGATGCAGTTGGAGATGTAGAGGTGGATGAACTCTGGAGGTAAATCCACAGCTGTGGTCAACCTGAGAGAGAACAAGGGACGGGATGACTTGATTAAAATAAAATGATCAATTAATTAATCTATCAAAAAAACGATTAGTCGAACAAGCAGCAGCCAAACCCACATGAAGAAAGACAAATCTGTAACAGCGTGTGACAGAGAACAGCGCCCCCACCTGTTGACGACCTCCATGGAGTGCAGCGACATGTCCATGTTGACCAGCACGGAGAAATACTCTGTGATCTGGCTGCTCTGCATCAGCTTCAGCAGCATCTCGATGGCCACCAGCGGGTTGTTCTCCACCAGGTCAGGCAGCTTCGCCGGGGACAGACCGATGTGATAGACCAGCTTCGGGTCTTTCTCCAGCTCGGCCAGCAGCTGCAGAGAGAGGAGGAGGAGTTAGTGATGAAGAGGCGACTGATAAAGACTCTCCCTCTCTTTCTGCTCCAAGGAAACAGAGGAGGACAGAACTCTGAGATTAAATTTATTTTATTCAAATTCAAAAGAGTTCTGATGTTCGAGCGCTGCGTGAACGGAGACGGGTGGAATCTGGCGGCAGTGCGTCGTTCGCTCACCTGTGACTGCTGCTGGGCCGACAGCGGGCTCTTGAAGGCCTTGGACATGATGCGTTTGATCTCGACGCCGGTGCTGTTCTTCACGCACATGGAGCGGTCCCACTGGACGCTGTGATCCGGCTCGGTGGGGTTCAGCCACGCCAGCTCGTCCTCGCACACGTGGAGGGGCGGCGGCGGCCGGATGAACTCGGGGCGGAAGTGACCTGAGGACGGAGAGAGGTGGAGGTGTGAGCTTTCTGACGCTTTAGGAGACGTTACCATCGACCTGCAGACACATCCTGGAGTCTTTTAGTTTTTGTTTTGGTAGCAGATGAAAAGTTTTTTTATTGTCCGGAAGCCGTTGTGGTAACCATGGCAACGGCTAAGAGGTGTCCTCATATTCAAAGAGTCAGCACCATGTGTCAGGATGTGAACAGCAATGAAGTCTAATCACTGGACACCAGGACAGAAAGGTGAAGATCTACAGGTGATGATGGAAGTGTTAGATTTAGAAACCGCCGCTGAAGGAGGAGGAGTCAGGAGTTCATCTGTCACATGGGGTTTTGTGTTTTGGAGTTTAACATGAATCTAAATCACCTGCACTTCAGACTTGAACAGTGAGTTTACACGTCTTGAAACACACATGAAGACTGTGGTGTGTCGTGTTCGTCACTTCGTCTGCAGCCTGATCTGAGCTGTTAACACGCCGGTCAAAAGAAGGGTGTTCAATAGAAAACTGCTCTGTAACAAATATTCTCCTTTCATACCTGTAAGAAAAATAACAAATGGACTAATAATCTACGTGTTCACATGCACTTCAGTAGCTTCCTGCAGGAATCTGATGTCAACAACATGAAAACAAGAAACCTGATTCTCTCAGGTGTTTATCTCCTGGAGAACTTTCTACACACACATAACCAGGTTTCCAACATGTGAACATTGTGATTAGAACTCAGACGATCAGTTGATGAACTGATCAACAGAAAATGAATGAAAAACTTTTGATAATTGATTCATTGTTTCAGGTATTTGTCAAACATTCTCTGGTTTCAGCTGCTCAAATTATTGTACAAGAACTAAGTTTAGTCTCTGGTTTAGATCCTGAGTTTTTCCTCCTGGATGCGTTCTGTGCTTCAGCATCAAACACACTTACTCTCCAGTGGGGGGCGGGGCCCTGTGACCAGAGACTCGATGATCTGATTGGCCACCGAGCTGTCGAATCCCGAGTTGGATGAGTCTGGATCCGGGTCGTTCAGGATGCTGGGGAAGCTGGCCTTGCTCTGGGTGGGCAGCTCCGACTGACGCTCTGGACGACGAAGACACAAAAAAATAGTTTAATTAAATAAAAAGAAGAAGAAGAAGAAGAAGAAGAAGAAGAAGGAGGAGAAACACAGACGCTTCAGATTAGAACAAAATCCTTCAGAGACTCTCAGTGAATCAACGTCTAAACAGGAGAACGAAGCAGTTTAAAGTTCATCAGGTTTCAAGTGTCGTTCATCATCTGCTCTTTTTATTGTTGTAATCTTCTGTCTGACCCTTCATGCATGTTCCTGATAAAACTATTGATCGATTGACTGATTGAGGCTTTACTGTGTTTTACTGTGAGGGTACTTTTCATTATTAATTAAGTTCAGAGTCTGATTTTCACTGTGGTTCTCCAACATACTAAAACCATGACATGTTCAGGTAAGTAATAACCCTGTACTCTCACTCAGCTCCACCTGACGGTGCTGCTTTTGAAGATGAGTGTTGTTGGTTTAAAACATCAGGACTCTGCAGTGGATAAATGTGTGTGTCAGTGTGTATTCACCTGCTAAGGCGAGCTGCAGCCCGCTGATGTCTATAGACTGGGGCATGTTGCCGACGTCCATGCAGGACACCTGTCTGGGCGTCTTCTTGAAGAGATCCCTGGGCGGAGCCAACATCAGCTGGGACAGGAAGAACTTCTCAGGCTGGGTGATGGGAGGCAGGAAGCCTGCAGAGATCACATGACAGAGAACAGATGTGAGGGTGGAGCATTGATGGAGAAAGTGTACTGTACACCGAGTTTTCTGAGTTTTAACAGCTTGAGATGAGAGCGGCAAATTTTTTGTGCGTTTCATCGTGAATAAACAAAATTCTCTCTGCTTCGGCCGTTCGTCAGCATCTTTCTCCCCCTAAAACTGTTCCTGAGTGAATAAATATTACGACTCCAGCTTGGTGTTTCAGTGCGTACGGGGAAAACAAAGCTCAACAATCATGCACATGAGAGTCTGGTTTCATGAACATGACAGTGAGTTCAGTGGACTTCAGTGGCCTCCCCAGACCTCCAGACCTGAATCCAGCAGAACACCGTTGGATGTGGTGAGCAGGAGGTCGGCAGCTTGAATGTGCAGCTGACAGATCTGCAGAAATGATGCTGAGCAGAGTCACAGAGGAAAGTTTCAACATCTGGTCGATCCATAACATCAAAGAGCAGAGGGAGGAATTACCCAGTGTTACCTCAGTGAGTGAAGACCCCACTGAGAGATGTCCAATATCATACAGTTGAACAAACACCTCTCTAAAACCGTTTGGACACAAACTGAACATTATAACCTTCATGAGGATTTACTGCAGGACTCTTGGATCAGACTGCAGGGGCCAGTTTCACAAAGATAAACTTTGACTGTTTCTTAGATAAACCAATCAGTCAGACTTCAGATAAACGTCTAAATTCATCTGTTGCAGAGCCAGACTGTGGAACAATAAATTCTGGGTAAATGAAGACTTTTTTCAATCCATATCCAACTGCTCTGCTCCGTTTACCACAGCAGGAAATGTCTGTCTTTTGAGTTACAAGGACATTTTACTTTGGAAATCAGTGAAGAGTGAAACAATAACATTGAAAAGTCTTTCCTTTTCTTTGCTCTCTCCATAACAATGTTAGAAAACCCACAAACACAAAACACAAATTATGAGCCATGTTTTCCTGTTTTATGCTGTTGGGTGCCACTGGTCAACACAGGTGTCATTGATTGTTACCAACTTGGAGGTAAGGTGTCTAATTTTTATAGCTTAAATTATTATTATTATTATAAGTCAGTCTTTATTTCTGTGAAATAAATGTGAAATATCTTTGTGAAACTGGCCCCAGGTGTTCCTAATAAACTGGCAACTGAGTGTTGATGGTACATGACTCTACAGTAGTGTAGTGTGGAAATTGTCAGTGTATGAGACAGTTGTGACAATTGCTGGACAACACCTCCAGACCTCAAACACACACAGACGTACCGGACAGCACCTTCTCCTGCTCCTCCCCGGCAGGTGCGGGGTTCAGCAGGTGGGCGAACACGGCGGCGAACGGGTTGGCGGCCAGCGGCTCGGTACGGTACATCTCCCAGAGCAGGTAGAGGGCGGTGAGCCGCTGCGGGGAGCTGGGGAGCAGGTCCGGCTGCTGGAGGAGCATGACCAGCACCGAGCCCACCCTGAAGTGCTCCGCTTTCCCGAAGTAATGGTGGAAGTGGGTGGAGAGGCTCTCGAAGGTGTTGGTGCAAGCCTCCTCCGAGATGATGCTCAGCAGGTTGGACAGTTCCTTCGGAGCCAGGGTCATGGTCTCCTCTCCTGGGTCTGCTTAGCTTCTTGGAGAGTTATAAATAATATAAAACTCTGTATTGTCGGTTAATAAAGCAAATAAAACATATCTGTGATAAACTGTGGGGAGTTAATTCATCATTAAAGACGAAGAAGACGAACTACAGCCTGAAAGTCATCACACGAGTTAGCAACGAGTTAGCTTAGCCTAGCAGCGCTAACTGACAGAAACCGGCCAAACCATCGCAAAAACTAAAGAGTCCGCCCGACAAAGTCCACACCGACCGGCTCGGCGGCTACATAACAGTCTCCCAAAACCAGTACGCATCAAAAGAGAGACATATTCAGCACTGTGTAAAGCGTTCTCACGACTGTTACACACACACGGCTGGTTCATTAGCCGTTAAAATTCTGATTTGAACCTTTGGACGCAGTGCATCATGGGTAGTGTAGTTCCGAAGGTTCACTTCCTCCCAAAACCGGACACTACACATTAAAGTGGACATTACCTGTCGGATGTATTAAAGCACCAAAACAGAAACTAACGAGAAGATGACGTCGACGTGACGTGTTCCTTTACCCATAAGCTATACTATACCTGATTATTTGATTTTTTATTTTTTATTTGTGACTTTGCATAACAAAATCAAGTGTAACGGGAAGGCTACATATAATGGACAGACATGTAAATGACAACAAAAACAAATGGTCATTGAGATGTACAAATGAAAAGAATGTGTGCCTGTGTATGGCATGTGTCTATATTTAAATATTTAAATAATGCATGAAAGATATTCCTGGAAATGCAACGATTATTTTTAAAGTTCAACAAAGTGGCCTTCTATCCTTCTATCGTTAAAAATCAGTTTTTGAACCAAAACACCCAAACGAGCCTAACTCACTCCACTGATCCCACTTTACCCTTATTCGGTGAATACTTTATCAACTTAACCCGTTTAGTCGACCGATAAAGATTGTCGAAAGTTCAGTTATTCCATTTAAAGAATAAGTTAAGTATTTTTGAGGCTGCAGCCAATATTATACACTTTTAGATCGCATTAAAAATGGAGACTAACGGTCGGGAGGACGACACGTCTGCTGGTGCTTCGTCCGGCAGGAAATGCTCTGGTTGCTTTATAGGGAACAAGTTTCAAATTCTAAGTCTGGCAGGTTTGGCCCTGGGTAAGTGACAGCTACAAGTTTAAGTTCATCTCTGGGACAAATATGTAGCCTAGTTAGCCCGTGGTGCTAACCGGATAATTACATCTTTGGGCTAAGTGCTAAACTTTGAACATGTAGCCTAGCTAGCCCGTAATGCTAACCGGCTAACTACATCTATGGGCTAACTGCTAAACGTTTTTGTCTGCCTCGACCGGTTGGGAGAGAGAAAGAAAGAGATAATTTTATTATTATATCTTGTACCTACAGCCACTAAAAGATTTTGAATATTATTTCTTTGTTGCCATCCAGTGGTATCCTCAATTATAACACTGTGGCTGATAGCAATGCACAGTTTAACAGTTTTAAAAATGTGGTCTAAATAAATTGTAAGCATATAAGGATGCACAATTAAATACAGAAGTGTTCTACATTATATATAAGTAAACAATAATTACTCAATAGCCAGATATAGCCTAAATATGACAGTAGGTTTCATAGGTCAGTGTGGCTCTGCTGAAGATTTTGATGTGCTCTATGAATTTCAACCATATGATTTGTCCATTACATCCCACTTCACACCTGTTTAAACCCTTTCCTCGCTGAATTTCTAAAAATATCTTTGTTTTTGTCTCACAGGTCTTGGCATGGGCTTGATTCTCAAGGTGTATGTCCCTATGTCAGAGAGTGACATAGTCTATTTCGGTTTCCCAGGTGAAATGCTCATGCGGATGCTGCAGGTGGTCACTGTTCCTCTCATTGCGACAAGTGTGATAACAAGTAAGCTGCAGGTCTGTTTCTAGCTCTGTTAACTCTTGCATTAGGTTGTACGTGTTAAACATGCAGCGTTTAACGGGAACACAATGGTGGTTTGGCAAGTTTAACCTCATAAAAGTTAAATTGTGAGTGTTATCCTGTGTAGCTTCTCGCTGAGCACCAGTCACTGTGATCACAAGTCACAATTACAGGATAATGGTGAATGCTAATAATAGGAAAGAGCCATGAAGTAACACACAGTAGTATCTACCTAATGTTTTCTAAAAATTAGATATCAAAAGGTACTTTTCATACCAGACCAAGTGAGACTATAGCAGCAAACCTCCTTAATATATTGATATGATCAAGGGTGTGTTTTATCACTTATTAATTTAGCTTTTCATTTGAGAGAAAAGATTTGTATAGCTTTCAAAAAGACATAGTCTCCTTTTAAGGACTAACAATCATAGTGAATATATTTCTTGCCTTCAAAGCCTTTATTTATAATCTTAGTGTATCTTCTCACTTACTTAAGAAAACTCCAGTGTTATGTTAAGTTAAAGTAAAATACGAGTGGAACAGAAGCTAAACAGCTTCAGCTCTCTCTAAACTGTGGCCGTTGTACACACAGGCTTCTTGTGACAGCCGGTGGAGTCTGACTGGCGCTGGACTATGTCAGTGATACATGTACACTTTTTCATGTTACTTTCATTAATCACTCACAAAGACTCTCAGCCAACAGATTTTTACAGTCATTGCATTGTATATTTGCCCAGTAGAAATAATACCGCTGTTTAGTTTGTGTAGCCCAGGTGGTGTTTAGTGATTGGCTGCCAGGTTACTGCCAGGTTGGCTGCTCTCCATTACATCACAGTGATGTCACACACATATATGACTTTACTGACCTGCAGACCATAGCTTCTGTTTTTTTAATGCCTCCACGTCGGGAACAGTCAGAGCAGGAGCCATATTGTTTTCAGGTTGTCCATCCGTCCGTCCCATTCTCATGGACATGATATCTCAGTAATGCCTTGACAGAACTTCTTCAGATTTGGCACAAACATTTGTTAGGACTCAAGGATGAACTGTTTATATTTTGGTGGTCAAAGGTCAAGGTCACGGTGACCTCACAAGATACGTTTCAGACATTACTCAAGACTTCACAGAGCAATTGTGACAAAATTTCACAAATGGTTCATATTTTACATGACTCGGGATGTAACCTGAAACTAGTCTGAGAGGGGGAGGTGATTCTAGTTTTATTTTGTTTTTGTTTAGGTGTTTCTGGCCTAAATATTGAAACCTCCAGAAAAATCGCTGGAAGAGCAGCAGCATACTTTGTCTCAACCACCATGATGGCTGTGATCACAGGTGAGAGCAAGGTCTCTGCAGGTGTTGAAAGGTGTTGTTTCCTCAAAACAAAGGCCTCAGATGGTCTAAAAGATTCCCTCTTTAAGGCCAATTTACATTTTATAGCCACAACTGGTAAATGTTGAACATGTTTGCATTCAGGTGACAGGACTTTATTGTCATTGGTTGACAGGAAATCCTTTCATTCATTGTTCATGATGTCAGTAACAGGCCAGTGGAGAAGTCGGGCTTAGCCAACCCGTTGCTCAAAGCTGTGATTTTATAAATATTACATAGATAAAATGCTGAAAAGCATGTGTTTTCATTAATAGATATCAGTCATTTGAAGTCCAGCATCAGTTTTGTTGATTGTCATTTTTTCTTCTAAAGAACTTTTTAATTTTATTAATTAATTTATTTTGTGATTCACTGTTTTGAAATATTAACAGTAATATCACAGTAATATTTGTTGGTCTGTCCATGCTGTGTTTGCTGTGTGTATGGAACAGGTGTAGCATTCAGACAGTTTTTTCCTCTTACATTATGTTTTGTAGGTTTGATATTGGTCATGATCATCCAGCCCGGGATTGCCTACGCTGTTAAATCAGATGAAACGGAAGACGAGGAATCCTTCTCCACTGTCGACGCCTTGTTGGATCTAGTCAGGTGAGAAGAAAGACATCTGACATCACGTCTGGTTTTCATACGTACAACCTCCAGGTCGGTGAGATCTTTAGGTCAGTCAGTAGCGTCAGCTACAGAATCTAAAATCACTGAGTTTATAGTTGCATCCATTCATGTTTTTCTTAAAGCTGAAGTGTCAGACTTTTACACAAAAGCCTATCATAGCGAGCCAGGTAAATCTCTCTGTATTTCGCAGTAGATAAAACTCTGGTGTCTGTGGTGACCTTCCCTCGCTGAAACACCAGTTACGACAGGTTTTTTACATCAAGCAGCAATGAGACACAGAGACAGAGAAGGCTGCAGCAGATAGGAGTATGGCAGAAAAACCTCTAGATAAAAAAAGAAACTCAGCGTACAGAGGAAGGATTAGAGTCTGAAAAAGAAACACAGATTTCCATTTCTGTGGCTCTTCCCTCCTGGACAGTGCTGCAAGAAGAGATGTCGACAGTGTTTGTGTAATAACTCTCACTTGAGACAAAAGTTTCACACTTTAAGCAGAAATGGTTGTTTCTGTCAGGTTCTGCAGAGTTACACAAATGTCCAGAGAACGTCACACATGTCCTTGATTCGGTCGCTTCTCACGTGTCGTTGGCCGACATTTACAAGCTCGTTACTAGTGTCAGTTTTGTTTATTTTTTATAGGAACATGATCCCGCAAAACCTGATTCAGGCTTGTTTCCGACAGGTAAGTTCTTCATTAAGGTAAACCACACTATGTACAGCACGTTTCCTCTCTTTCTATGTAACATCATGATGTGAAGACTGATTTTCTATCATAGTACAAAACTGAGAGGGTGGAGCTTGAGGTTGATGAATATGAGCAGAACTCCAGCTTGGAAATGGTAAATATTGATCCATCGTCACTGTTGAGATTTCTTTGTGCAGCGATGATCCTCCATACATGAAGTTGCTTTCAGAAACATTATTGCTAACGAGTTTTCGGTCTTGTTGCAGAATGAGACAGAAGTGCGACTGATGGGCCATTACGTGGAAGGGACCAACACGGTGGGCCTCATCGTCTGGTCTTTCATTTTTGGCCTGACCCTCAACAGCATGGGAGAGAAAGGGAAAGTCCTGGTGGAGTTCCTCACCGTCCTGAACGAGGCCACTAAACTCGTGGTCAACCTGATACTGAAGTAAAGTGAAACAACACGACACTCTGTTGAAGAAAATGAGAACTAGGTCACGTGTCCTGTAGCGTGATGGAGTGCTTTTGCTCACAAACACTGAATGTAATGTATAAAATGAGGGTTTTTTTCTGCTCGCAGTGTTAACATTAAAAATAGTTCAGTTGTCTTTCTAACAAAACATGGCGGCGTCTTTAACTCTCCCACCCCCAGTCAATGTTGCTGATGTTGTCACATTTGATTTCTTCTATTTTCTGCAATGAGACAAATGTAAGAGATTTCCGTTTGGACATGTAGTGTAATGTAATGGTAATCTGACAACACTGTGTTTAGGTAAGTTTTCACCTTAAGCTGCTCTCCATTAACTCATGACATCACTTCCTTTCCAGCTGCGTGCCAGTTGGAGTGCTGTTCATGGTAGCAAGCCACGTCATGGAAGTTCACGACTGGGAAACTACCTTCAAGCTTGGATGGTTTATGTTGGTGGTTTTTCTTGGGTACGTTTACCTTTTGTTTTAACACTTTTACCAAAATGGCCCTTTCTGTGCTGCACGTTCTGTCTTCCGATCATTGTCTCCCAACACACACGGGGACAAATAACTATAACAATGAACATTATACTGTTAGCACTGCCTCTAAAGTCACAATCCAAATGTAAATCAAAGATCAGCTCTACCAACCAAACTGAAAACACATCAAACCTACCTACCTACCTACCTACCTACCTACCTACCTACCTACCTACCTACCTACCTACCTACCTACCTATCACCTGTCACCTACCATCTACCAATGTACGTTTCTGTGTTGCTGCAGTAACTGCATGTTCCTCGTGTCTTTCAGGCTCATAATCCACGGAACATTAGTGTTACCTCTTCTCTACTTCCTGTGTGTGAGACAAAACCCCTGTGATGTCATCAAAGGGATCTCTCCCGCCTTACTGACTGCGCTCCTCATCTCGTCCAGGTAAGGTGACGTAACAGAGAACTGTGTGTTGGCGAACACAACTCATCATCACAGCTGCCCGGGCNATACCTCCCTACCTACCTCCCTACCTACCTACCTACCTACCTACCTACCTACCTACCTACCTACCTATCACCTGTCACCTACCATCTACCAATGTACGTTTCTGTGTTGCTGCAGTAACTGCATGTTCCTCGTGTCTTTCAGGCTCATAATCCACGGAACATTAGTGTTACCTCTTCTCTACTTCCTGTGTGTGAGACAAAACCCCTGTGATGTCATCAAAGGGATCTCTCCCGCCTTACTGACTGCGCTCCTCATCTCGTCCAGGTAAGGTGACGTAACAGAGAACTGTGTGTTGGCGAACACAACTCATCATCACAGCTGCCCGGGCTAAATCATATTTTTAAGAGGCTTTACATTTGTATATGTTTTTTCATGGATGTTGCGCTAACAAAAGCTGCGCTGTGTCTCCTAGCTCTGCCACGCTGCCGGTCACCTTCCGATGTTGTGAAGACAAACTCAAGTTCAACAAGAGAATCAGTCGCTTCATGCTGCCCATTGGGACCAACATCAACATGAACGGCACGGCCCTGTACGAGGTGGTCGCGGCAGTTTTCATCGCCGAGCTCAACCACATCAATCTGGACTTCAGCCAGTTGATCACGCTTTGGTAAGTCACTCCTCCAGTTGTTTGGCAAATCACGGCACCCACATATATGATATGGGGCCTTTAAAAATGCAGTGTCTGGAAGAGTCTGTGTGATCTGCAGCGTGACCGCCGCCGTGTCCAGCATAGGAGCAGCGGGGATCCCAGCTACAGGAGCGGTGACCACGCTCTTTGTCTTGACGGCGATTGGTTTACCTGCGAAGCAAGCCTCCATTCTGGTGGTTGTGGAGTGGCTCCTGTAAGTTTGATACATGATAACGAGCCACTGAAGGGTCACGGTATGGAGGACCAGGGATGTCACAGGAAAAGTAACAAAGCACCGAAGGCCCAGAGCGTCACGGAGAGGTTAAAAGAAGATAAATGACTGATCAAATCCATTAACTAACAGGAAACGGAAAAGCAGCTGGAAAAAGAAAAAAAATGGTTTGTGCTGTTTTTGTAAATCCATTTTGAAATCCTGAGTATTTATTGATGGATCAGTCATTCACTTTAAAAAAATTCTTTTTACAATTCCTATTGTTGATGCCTATTAAAATATGAAATTAAGGAAATGCTTTATTACCTGTGACGACCCTGGTCCTCCACACATGGTGGGATTTTTTTTTATTCTTTTGCAATAAACCCCCAGTGAGCTTTCTGTTTCATATCTGTGTTATAGTTTTATATCTTATGTTTTTATGTTATATATTATTATATATTCACCCACATGTCTGTTTGATTGCAGCTGGATAGATAACGAGCCGGACACTGTTGCTGTCACTGTGGTTGTGGCTCTACACACGGCTGCACTTTGGTTCTTATGATTATGACATTAGTCATATATAAGGTGTAACACAAACTACATGCAGGGGTTGTTAAAATATAATGCAAAGGAACGGAAAACTTAATGAGAGGCAACACAAAAGTAAACTAGAATCACCTCCTCGTGTTTGTATCCCTCCGCCACTCAGACTAGTTTCAGGTCACATCCCTGTTTATCCAGAGTCATAAAATATTAAACATTTGTGTGAAATTTTGTCATAATTTCGGTGTGTAGTCTTGAGTAATGGCTAAAAAGTGTTTTCTGAGGTCACGTAACCTTGACCTTTGACCTTTGACCACCAAAATGTAATCATTTAGTCCAAGTGAACGTTCTTTGTGCCTTTCAGAGACCGCTGCAACACTGTCATCAACGTCATGGGAGACTGCATCGGCGTGGCGATCGTTCACCACGTGTTGAGGAATGACCTGGAGGAAACGGGGGAGGAAGGGCAGGAAATGACAAGGTGAAGTTCCAGATCGTCTCAATGTTTTCTTGTGTTCACGTCATTATAAAAGGTTAAAGGGAAATAACGGAAACACTTGAATTTTAATTACATTTTTTACAATTCAAGGAATCAGGGACAGATTGATGCTGTTGCTGCGTTTGATCCTTATAAGATCCACAGTTGTTTTCAATGTGCTTTTCTTGCTAAACCAATGATGCAGTATATTTGTGCATGGAGCGGCGCATGCATTGCACACCCATGTCGCCCCCCTGACGACAGGCCGCAGAGTGGAGCAGCAGAAATCCACTCACATTCACATCTGCAGGGACGCAGTGTGTTTCACTCCACTGACGACCACGTTGTTCTTTTCCTGGTCAGGGTGCATGGAGACCAGGCTGAGGGCTGCACCACGGACGACATCCACGTCCAGATCCAGACCAGCGGGGAGGACTCTGACGACTTTTATGACTCTGATGACTCTGATGATGAAACCCTTTACATTTCACCAGAAACCCCATGAACCCTGGGACAGATTCCGAGAACCACTCCAGCGAGGAATCGGAGAAGAATATGTGTGATGGTGATGATGAGTATCTGTGACGTCAGCTCAGGATTCAAGGGACAAAAAATCTCTTTGATTTGTTATGATTTGACTTATTTGGTATCGTGTTCATGTCATTTTGTATTTTGTGTTAGTGATGTAGCTGATGTGACAGATATAATTAAAGGAATTAACTGTAGTAATGGATGTAATATACTATATATAGTTACTTGAGTTGAATGGAAATTTTAAATTGATGTCAATGATCTAGTTAATGGAACTGAGCTGATGTGAGCTGTACATCCGATAGATGTACAGAGTGAATGAACTGAATTCATTTGAATTGAATCGATGTATTGAATGTAGTATTGGAATTAAACTGAATTGCACTGATTTAACAAATGCAGTTATTGAATTGAATGTAGCTGAATGTGAATAAACTGGAATCATAATTTACTGAAGAGGCTGCAGGCAGGTATCTTAGTACCTATGAGAAATAAAGATGTATTTAAAATACTGTAACTTTTCTAATTACTAAAAATGATTTTTTTAAATAAAGTGAGTCCCCTGCAAAGGAAAATACTGACTTGAGGTGCTGTTGGGAAAAACCAGTGCCTTTATAAAATAATTTTAAAACCTTTTTTTTTTTACTTTGGTAAAAAATCAAAGCAGATTGATACAGTCTCCTCTGCAGACAATAAGAGGACGAGTTAATACGAGTTAAAAAAAATAAAATTAATTGTTAATTTCTTTAAATAAAATTCTAATAAACATGTTTATACACAGCAGAGAAAAGCAACGAACAAAGCACCATAAGATTACACAGCTCCTAAAAAGAATTTTCATATTGTTATCTATTATCATTAGTTGTAAAACAACTTGATTCTGCTTTATCATGTTCATTTTTAATTTGTAAATAACAATCATTTAATATATATATTGTTTTCATCGCCATACAAAATACATTCAGTCAACCCACCACCTGCTCCGCTTCCGGTCCAGCAGGTGGCGCTAAAACATCCCTAAACCGGTTTTATATGCAGTCTGCAGTTTTTCCAAAAAACTTTATAGAAACTAATCTAACAACTACACGGGTGGAGATTATGTGAAAGTTTAGCGTTAAGTAAATTTATAAAAATATTTTTTAAAGTTAAACGAAACAAATACAGCCCCTGCAGGAAATGTTGATTCCCTATTGCTTTTTATTTCATGACCTTAAAATTATATTATTAAGACTTTTTTTAAATGTATATATCATTATTGTTTTACTAATATTATTATTCATTATCTGTTTATACAACAGTCTCCACTGTCAACAACAGGAGTTAAGAGTTAACCAACATATTAATAAACTATTAGATCTGATTACAGCAGCATTATAGTCTCTTATCAAACGTTTACTGCTTGAAAATGCTGAATGCTGAATTTTATTTGTTTTTCTTTCAACCTTTTTCTGATTATTTCATCCATATTTTATATATTAATTTACTTGATTGTTGTTTATTTTACATGTTGCTTCTGAAGATTCTTTTATTCTGGTTTCCGCACAAATAAAATAAAGTTAATTTCTAATTGTACATACTTTTTTTTTTTTTTTTTAATCAGGATTAAAAGTATAGATCTTAAATCATCTGAGCTTCTAAACAACAAACACCAGTGACACAGACAGGCTGTTAAAACATTTACTCAGTCATTTCTTCTTTCTTACAAAAGATCAATGTGCTTTTCAGTCCAGTTCACTTCGGAAAACAGAACGGTTCTCCGGATGTCATGTTCTACCAGGAAGACGCTGCAGACTCACGATCAGATTCAAATGACGGACGATCTAACGGGAAATAAACGACTGGGCCGGTACGTACAACACCGCTCAGAGTAAATGACGTCATGAGTCAGCATGATCAAAACGTGTGGTATGAATTAGGTCATGAAACCAAAACAAAAAAATTAAAAGCTTCATTTCTTTTTAGGCTGGCCTCCTAAAAACAGGAATAATTAAACATATATTTGGTTCACGGTCAAACACAACAGGACGTCCACAGATACTATATCCTTCTTTTATAAATAACATCCTAAATATCAGGGGAAACATCTTGTATTTAGCTTTTGAATCCTAGTTTAGGAGCAAGTTTTTTACATTCCAGCCCTGAAAACATCGTCAAACAAGAAATATTGTTGTTTTGTGTAATTTGTGAACTTGTCTAGATCTGGTTTCAGATTTAAACTGTAATCCTAAAGGTTTGTCGTCTGCAGGGAGAAAACAGAAGCAGATTCCTGGTAGAAATCACCCTCAGAGAAGCCGGCTGGAACATTTCACAGATCATCTCATCTCTCAGTCCACAGCGGTTAAAGGGATATTGCAGGCAAAACAAAAACCAGAGTATGCCACAAAATGTTTAGATCTCTTCCCACATCTCTCGTGTTGCGCTCGTTGATCCCAGTTTCTGTGGGAGCCGCTTGGAGCTTTGTGGTTAATGTGATCCTGAGAACGTGGCCAGGTGTGGATGAGGCTGTTAGACGTCGACTAACAGGAACATCGGCTCTTAAATCAACATATTTCTTTGGTCAACAGGACAAATGTCTTTCTCAAAGAGCTCACACACCGGCTCCACCTTTATGTCTGAATCAAATTACTCACTAGCTTAACGAAAACATACATTAACGCTGCTCTATCTAAACTTGTGTTGGGAGCACCGGTGTGGCACACTCTGGTGTTTGAGCTAAAACGCCTCTTAAATAACACTGTACAAGGAAACACGGTTCAGGTCCACAGTCACTTCAGTCAACAAGAGTCCACAAGGGAAGGTTTGGTTAACACTGGTATACACACACACACACACGCACACACACACGCACACACACACGCACGCACCTCTATTCACACCACAACACTGATAAATGGCACAAAAAGATCCACCTCCATCTTAAAGGGTCGTTACAACCAAAAGAACCACTGGACAGAAACGTCTCCGCCTCCAGCTGATCAGACAGAGAATAAAGCAAGTTGGTGAAACTATAGAAAAAAAAAAAAAAAAGAATATGAAAACACTGTGAATAAAAATGTCAGTTATATATCAGGCATGCAGGCAAACACACTGTAAACTTCAAAACTGGCAACAGGTCCAAAACCTCCAGGAGCGGCGGGTCGTTCAGATCCACTTCACTGCGTCACTACAGGAAAACCCACAGAGAAGCTCAGATCCAGACTGAGAGAGTTCGTGTTGAATCGTTCAGTTTACTGATAAAGTTTGGTTTGAATTGATCAATACTTCACTGATCTGATCTGCAGGATTTTAATCACATATAATTAAAGGTGATGTTAACTGTTGTAATATTAACCTCAGTGTTTGTGGTTTCACTGGAGTTTTTCATCAGGAAAAATAATTCTGGCTGAACCACAATAATCATTTTTATTAATAATCAGAGTCAATTTCTTTTCTCACAATCTTTGGGTTTTATTCACATAACAACTCTTAAACTTCTTTGTTTTTTGCATCATTTCAACTTTTCAATTTTGCATTTTTGAAAATGTCATTCAAACTAAAATTTCATCACAATTCATCCAATAGTTGTTGAGATATTTGAGACCAAACCAGCAGAGATGCAAGTAATAATTCATCTTTGTAGTTTAGATCATTTGGTCTGAGTTCAGACTGGAGAGAAAAAAACATCTTAATTGATCTTTAATCAATCAGAAACAGATTCACCTGAAGCGTTCAGGTGAATCTGTTTCCCGTCGCTGTGCTGTGTCTGTTTTTACTTCTGTCCTCGTGGTGAAACTAAACTACCAGGCACTTCTCAGGCTCGAGTCACAGCTTCCACATCGGAGAAGGATGTGTGACGTTATGGCACAGCAGAGACACACACTGTCCATCACAGCAGGACGGCTTCGTCTTCGTTTACAAATTCAAAACCTTTGAGTGTTATTGTTGTTTTCTCCCTTTTCTCTGTAAAGCTTCTGTGTCTTTCTCGTCTCTGCTTCCTCTCCCAGAATCCTCAGCATCTCTTTTTAATTCTTAATTTTAATAAGACAAAAAAAAGATGAAGAAAGGTGGAGGGGAACGAAAGAACGAGTTCCTACTAATCCTACTAATTCACTGAATATAAACTGGTTTGAACTCTGACCTGTGGTGTGAAGGTGTAGTGGTCAGTTTGGTTCGACGTCCACTGGCCACGATGGCTTTTAATTCCCAAAGTGAACAAGCTGCAGCAGAGAGACTCCAGCCCTGCTACAGCACAACAGAAAACTACTCAGAAACCTAAAGAGACACAGAACAGAGTCTGAGTGATCCCTTCTATTATTAAGACAAGAGCAGGAGAACGAGGAGGAGGAGGAGAAGGGAGTTATTTTAAAGGAGGAGAAAAGAGGAAACAGAGCGATCTGCAGTTTGGAATAAGCTACTGAACTCTCCTCTGGACGTTTGAGGGGCTGTGTATTTACAAAGCTTAGTATCTGGTACTAAAACTCTACAACAATTAATACTGTTATGAGATTATCTCAGAAATTCATTAAAAATGATGCAGATTGTGCATCAACAACGTTTGTGTTCGACCTTCATCGCGTTAGAAAAAGTGTTTTTTCTCTCTTTGAAGTGATGCAACTCCATCACATCATTAATGGATCCAGCTGTCGACCTCCAGCTGTTGGGGCCACTGATGGGACACCGCTACTGTACAACCTTGTTTACCCAAACACCACACACTCATTAGTCTTCAAGTTATAATCCTTAAGGTTTCCATGAACCTGTTTCTGACACTCAGATCATCCGACTCAGCAGGAGGGACCGACAGGAAGTGATGCAACCTGTGATCCAGATCTGATGGATACCAGCCTCACTCTTGACTGTTCACTCTCCTACAGCTGGATCACAGCTGGATCACAGCTGGATTCAGTTACTGCTCATGTAAACAGCATTTCCTGCCGCTGCTGCTTCACTTTAAAAGACTTTATCTGGACACACACAGGGGGGCTTTTATTTTGAAGCAGTCACAGACTGCACACCTCCAGCTCTCACTGTGTCCTGCTGTTGTGTGGCTGAGTGCGCAGCAGGAAGTCAGAAGGAGGTTGTGATGATCGTTGAGTTTGTTTGGCTGCACTGGAAACAGATTCAGCTGCTCAACTTGACCACACTACTGTTACCATGGTAACCACAGGTGTCACCACATCAACCAGGACTTAAATTTCAAGGAATATAACTTTAAAGCCATTTTCATCCACAAATAACAGAAATATCCTTCCCAACATTTTGTCATTAGTTTACTTTAAATAATCATGGACCATTTTTAACGATCAATGATCAGTAAACCAGACTTAAGTATTTGTGTGATTAAGTAGTGACGATATGATTTCTCCTTGATTGACTAATAACACAAGTCAAAAATAAAAAGGCCAAAGACAGGAAAAGACAGGATATTCAAAGTGTTTCAAGCCAAACAGAAAGGAAGGAAGAAAAAAAAGAGGGGGGAGGGGAAATAATGATATCTCTATCTGGACTCAGTGTTTTGTGCAAAGGTGGTTTTTGCATAGTTTCCTTCAAATCTGTCTTTTTAAACTCTGGGATTCGACACAAACACGTGTCACGTGTCACGTCACAGTTTCCTCTGGGACGGAGAATGTTGATTTATGGACGTTTATTCTGGACGGACAAAGATGCTGATAAGTCTGTGAGTTCAGGTAACACTGATTATTTAGTGAGTTCAAGGAAAATGAATTTCTTCTGATCATAAGAAAACTAAATTTAAAAAACACATCTCTATGTTCTTTTTTAGCTTTCCATCATAGAGCTGTTCGCCACCTTCACACCAAACTCTCACCAAATAACATTAAGACGCCTGAAAATGCCTCAGTCTTCTTCTAACAAGAGAACTGCAGATTCATTATTTTAAAACATAATCTGAACCAGCAAAGAACTGTGGGTAGACAGAGAGGGATCAGCTGGAATCAGATCCTGTCACATACTCACAATAAAATATTAGTGAACCAATGATTTCTGTTCACAGGCTCTGATTTGCTTGTGATTGGTTAGTGTAGGAACGAGTCAGTTTTTCCCTTTTTCGTTCAGATCCAAGACGCTGAACTGCAGCTGAGAGACGACAGAGGAGCGAGTCAACAAACAAGACAAACACTCTTCTTCTTCTTCTTCTTCCTCAGTCGGCGTAGTGCATGATGGACTCCACGTAGTTCCCGGGGAAGAGGCCGGTGGTGGCGTTCATCACTCCTTCATACCAGCCGTCCTCGTTCTTCTTGATGACGTAGATGATCGCTCCTTCCTGGAACGACAGCTCGTCCTCTTTGTCGGCGGTGTAGTCGTAGATGGCCACCACTAGAGGGCGGTATACACGCCAAAATATTATTACTCTCTGTGATCAGTTTTTCATTATTGCCTATTACCACCAATACTCACCAAAAATACGATTAAAGAAACACAGTAACACAACGAAAGCTTTCAGTTAATGGATTCATAGTTTTCAACAGAAAATTTATTTTGCAGCTGTTTGAGGATCGATTGAGTTTTTGAGTCACTTTTTAAAGAGATAAAATATATAATTTTTAATTTTACAGCGTGTATTCTCTAGCTAATTTCCTGTAAACTTAGTTTTATTCAACCTTTATTTTACCAGACAAGACAAATTAAGAACAAATTCTTATTTACAATGACGGCCTGACAAGTGTCAGAAAACATTAGACACGAAGACAAAGAAAACAAAGAGGAATGACTAATTAATCAAATCAAACACAAGTAAAACACTTACAAGTGTCGTTACAACAAATCTAAAAGGTCTTTTAAAGCAGGGGAGATACATTTATCTAATTTCCAAACATTATCTGGTAATAAGATGTCATTTTTAAGAAACTATGAAGAAACCTTCCAGGAACTTAAAATACAGGATCGTAAAATTAATTGTCACCGAAAAACTTCTCAAGATTTTCTGTTTATTTTGTCTTCTATTATAGAAAACTGAATCTCTCTGGACTGACGGTCACAACAAACAAGACATCTGACTGACATACGGATGGTTGTGTTGTGTATAGCGTTACCTTTCTCCAGGTAGCTTCTGGGGGCCCACGGCGGGTCTTCTTCAGCGTACGGGTCGCTGTACTCCACCACTGCTGAGTCCTCCTCTTCATGTCCATCCTCCAATGGCTGAGGAGTAGGCGGGGGCTCCTCAGGCCCTGATTGGCTCTCAGCAGCAGCAGGGTGAGGGGGAGGAGGGGCGTCTGAAACTGGAGATGGAGCAGATATGAAGATGAAGATGAGAAGGTTCAGAAAAACACACACACACACACACACACACACACACTGTGCAAGTGGCATGTAAACTTACTGGACTCCTGAACTCGAGCAACAAAACCCATCAGAGGAAGCTGAGGGGTGAACTGGAGGAGGGAGGGGGGAGGTGGGGAGGCTGCAAACACACAAATTAACAGTTAATTAACATAATGAGCTTTTGATTCCACTAATAATCAGAATCAGATTTTAATAATATTAATAATAATGAATTATTTTCCCCGTGAATGTCATGTGACAATATGATGTCATGAGGTCATACCCTTTATCAAACCTTGACAACAAACCACAACCGTCAAGTTTAAGCCACGCCCCTTACGCTCTGAACACAACCAGCTCCATCGGACGGGTTTTACTGCAGCGTTACCTGGGCTCTGGTTGTAGTACGGACCACCGTTGACCTGGTTCTGTGTTACGATTGGCTGACCGGTAACGGAGGGGGGGCGGCGGTACGGCAGTGACCCCCCCACCTGTGGAGCCTGCTGTCGTGGCTGAGGTCGGTTCATGCTGTAGAACTGAGGGACAATAGGACCTGACACAGCAGAGAGGGGCGGAGTCAGACACACATGACCACACTGCTGAAAACTGAAATGTCTTGAACACGTTTATTTAAATGGGACGGTTGAATTTCTCTTTGTTTTTAACACATACTTTTATTTTATTCTTAAAAAAGTAGCTTCATTAAATATCAATCAATATCAAAACGTCTCCACGGAGATGATGGAGGAGACGGACATGAAGGGAGTGAGCAGGACGTGGTGAGTTGGAGAAACTCACCTTCAGCAGGTGAAGAGGAGGAGGAGGAGGAGGAGAGAGGAGGAGGAGGAGCAGGAGGAAGGAGGGGAGACACTTCTCCGGGAAAAACACCGGATTGGAGCTCAGCTGTGCCGGGGGCGGGGTTAGAGGGCGGGGAAGTGTTGGCGGGTGTGTTTGATTGTAAGTTTGATTGAGGAGTGGAGTCAGTAGGATGTGCGGGTGAGTTTGGTGGCAAGGATGCGTTGGGTTGTGTTAAGGTTGTCGTGGAGGAGGAGGAGGAGAAGGAGGAAGGAGTCGGGGAGGGGGAGGGGGAGGAGTTAGGAGCGGTAGAGGAGGAGCTAGCTGGTCCAGTAGTCGGGGAAACTTGAGGGAGGAAGGAAAGAAGGAAGGAGGAGAAAAGGAGGAACGAGTTGAGAAGGAAGGTTAAAGGAGGGAGTGAGCGACAAAGTGCAAACCACAGATTCACTGTCAATATCTCAAGTTAGAAGGATAGAAGTGTGTATGTGCACTGTGCATGCATCTGTGTGTGTGTGTGTGTTACCTGGGAAGGTGGAGGGTGGGGAGGGCGTCGGCACGGCGATGGGAACTCCCACACAGCCGCTGCCGCTGTTTTCCCTGCTGCTGCTCCGACTGCTGCTGCTGGGGTGACTGCCTCCACTGCTACCACTGACACACACACACACACACACACACACACACACACACACACACACACACACACACACACACACACGTGAAAGTCAAACCTAACCACTGCACACTCAGATGATGATATGCATGGGGAGTTTTGTTCAGTATTTACATAAATGATTTTTTCCTATTTATGTCTAATACATGTTTATATGGTCTTACATATTTACAGCTTCACTCAAATGTACAAAACTTTCCTTTAATGACGAGTTCACTCGTTTTAAAATGTTTAAAAAACAAAGGTAATGAAGTAAAAAATGGTGGAGGAGCAGCAGCAGCAGAGACAGACAGACAGACAGACAGACAGACAGACAGACAGACAGACAGACAGACAGACAGACAGACAGCTGCCTGTAGAGAAACAGCAGATTAGAAGCAGAGCGATGTCTGGAAGACGTCATGAACAGCAGCAGTGAGTCAGGTGAACATCAGCACAGAAGCAATGAAACAATGAAAAGCTGCAAACACACGATCTGATTGGCCCAAAGCTCCGGAGCGATACAGACAAACGTGGTAACGGGAGGAAGATATTCCAAGTGTAAGATTTTGCAATTCAACAGCCCCATGTGCTTCCTGAGCAGGCTGCAGATGTGTCGTTCAATTATTAAAACCAAAAAGTAAAATGTGTGACCATCATCCACAGACACAAATCTGACTGAATTTGAAATGGATGCCAATTTAAATTAGAGTTCTACATTGAGAGTATTTATCCTCTTTTCCCGTCCAGGACACCAACAAGCTCACACAGCGACATGAACAGCAGAGGAGAGAGAACGAAGCTGAACCAGTGAATGAGAAGAGACTCAGTTAGTCGATGCTGCGAGGATGAAGCAGTGTTAGCTGTGTGTGTCCTCTGTGTTCGATCAGCTGTGACTCTACCTCAACCGGGTCGTTAAAATGTTCAATCTTTTATCAGGATCTTAAATAAAAAATATTCATTCATATATTCATGAGCGTGTTTCTTAAAAAGCTAAATAAGAAGAGGGACTGTTGGACGAATAACAATTTAGTTACAATTTTAATCAGTAATTATCAGCTTACTGTGGTTCACTAATTACAGTGACAATATGAAATGTTTCAGATGAACCCAAACTAAACTGCCCCCCCCCCCCGTAAGAGTCACTGCTGGATAAAACCACAGAGGAAACACTGGATGGCAGCAGAAGAAGAAGCCAGAGGGAAGTGAGATGAAGAACAGATTTAATGTCTCTTTAAAGTTTCTCTCTTGGCAACAAACCACAGAGATGATTTAGGCTCGGGCTAAAATCTAAAAAGAAACAACAATATTTATAAATATAACAGCCATCACCCAGTTAGCTTAGCTTAGCATAAAGACTGGATAGAGGGGGAAACAGCTAGCCTGGCTCTATCAATCTATTCACCGATCAACATGTTTGTATCTCATCTGTTTAATCTGTTTCCCTTTAACCTGAACGCAACCCAAACTGTCAAGGCCTGAGCTACAGTTTGAGAACGATTCCTTTACCATGTTTCTTTCCTTTAAGTAAGAAATGAGCCTCAAGCTGATTCACGTTCAGTCACTTCACTAAACGTGATTCGCTCAGACAGAAATACCAAGAATGGAAGGAAGCCTGAAGTAAAACTCGCTGAGGGACGAGAATGTGTTGAGTGTGGGAACTTAAATGAAACACATGTTGTTGTTATTAATCTCACACATCCAGTGATTCCAAACATTTCTAGAATCTGTCGTCCCAAAACCAGACAAGTGGATGTGTTGAATATCTGCCTCTCAAAGACACAGATATATATATATATATATATATGTAAGAATAGAAAAAGTTGAGATTTGTTGTGTTGCAGAAGGAAAAGCTCTGGTCCCCCTCTGGCAGCCATGTTTACGCCCGGCTACCTGTATGTTCGGGGTCGATGGTTGAGGGTGGCGGTGCGGGCCGGACTGGGAAGCTGCCCGGCGGCCATATTGTTTCTGGTGGGGCTGGAGACATAATCATTGGGCACCACTGGGGGGCGCACTGGCTCCAGGGTTCTGTAGGGGGAGTTCTTCCTGTACATGCAAAAGGGTGAGGGTGAAAAGAGGGTTAATAGAGGGAGAAATCTGACTGTGACCGTCCTGTAGGGGGCGGGGCCTACCTTTCCAGGAACGCCCAAACACCTGAAATGATGTTGTTTCATGTTGTAAATAAAAATGTGAGTGTTGGTTTGTTTAAACAATCCAGACTCCACAGCATCTTTGAGGGTCCTGTAATTATCTTTGGTTATTTCACATGTGAGATTCATCCATTCCTGTTCTTGTCTTTTCTTTTCTCAGAGCTCAGCTGGAAACAGGTAACATCACCTGTCTCTGTGCACCAGCGATAACACCTGAAGTGCCACCCACTCAGTGCTGATGAAGACGGTTAGCTGCGTTCATTCTTCTTGTTGCTTATTCAGTTATAGATATTTAATGTTACACAGGAAACACATAAGATGAGAAACCAAGTTTTCAGGAGCTTTAAAGACAAAAAAAGGAAAAGTAACGTAAAGGATGTTAAAGAAAAACATGCAAATCATACTTTTGACTAAACGCTTGTTTAGTGGTTTAGTTTTTGTTTTTTTACATATTTTTTTTCTTTTTTCCATCACAAATTTTTTTTAAAATTATTTTTCCATTTTTCTATCTTTAGGAATGTGAGTAAATTTTTGTCAATAAAACTTAATTTCTTTATTTTAACCCTCAGGAGTGTCTTTGTCACTTAAATTTAAATTTCCATCTGTTATTATTTCAATAACATTTTTCAGGTGAGGGTTTTTATTAAGGTTAAGGAGCCACAGGAGGGCGCTGCAGCTCTTACTTGTTTATTCTAGTATTACCTGTCAACTCTGTGAAACCATAAAAATAATTACAATTCAACAAAATGGATTTCGTTACTCTTACAGTCACTGTATTCATACATTATTCCTACATATAAATATCGCCTCCTCCTTTCTGTGCAGAACAGAGAAATCTGTTAAGGTCATTTCCAAAGGTCAAGGAGTATTTTTAGACAATGCTGAAGAGAATAAGAACAAATGAGCATCAAAGAGAAACACCAAAACCACGCTGAAGACAAAAACCAGTGAGTGAGATTCATTCAGGATGAAGATTTCTCCCTCGACTGAACAAGATTATTAAAGCAAAACAGACACACAAAAAAACATAATTACACCTTAATAGAGTGATTTAAAATCAACACTGAACAGCATGATGAGTGGAGCCTGTGGTGATGATTGTTTCTGTAACATGTCACTAAACATAAAAACAGGAATTAGAACAGAGAGAGCCAGTGAGATTCATGTGTGAGTGTGAGTCTGGGTTGTTGTTGTTGTTGTTGTTTGAGTGTATGTACTGACAGAAGGACTTGGCCTGTTGGTTGCAGCGTGATGCCAACCCACTGCTGTGTGTTTGTGCCTCATCTCTGCGTGCACATTTGTGTGTGTGTGTGTGTATGCGGTGACGCAGGGACAGATGGACTCAGTTCCTCCCAACTGCTTCTGTTCCCTCCTTCCAACAAACTCCAGTTCTCTCTCTCTTTCTCGTCTTATTCTGAACATCGCTGTCATTTTTACTTCTACGTTTTTTTCACTTCAAATCTTCAGACAGTTTGATGCTTCGACACTTTCATCTCTGCCTCATAATTAAGATCCATCATGCAGACACAGCTTCTGATCAGCAGGTTACATGTAACAGGAAGAAGCACTGACACGTCCAACAGGGGGACCAGGTGGTGCCGACACACAAACACCAACACACACACACACTAAGTATTGTAATGATTTAAAGCTCCATCACTGGGATTTTAAATGAACAGTTGCACATTTTTGGGAAATATCAGCTCAGATTGATTCCACTCACATGTCTGATTTTACGTTCCTCCATTTAATGCTCAATAATGTCTCATGTAGAGGCGCAAATTGCTGAATTTATTTATCATCATGAATATGTTGGACAATGAATACGCATTTCAAAATATATCTATATATTTTATTGTTTAATTAAACATTTTATTCATATATATTGAGGATGAAAACAGTTTTTTTCTTATTATTATGATGGTAAATGATTTTTTGGTGGTGAGAGTTTTAAATGATCTTTATGAAGTTGTAATAAAAATAGAAAGGGGGTTGGAATACATTAATTACAAAACAACAGTAGCATGTACAAACATCTAACTTAACATATTTGTAGCTTTTAAGTTCCTAATAATCTTGAGAAAACGGTGTTATTTCCCAAAATGTTGAACTATTGCTTCAAACAAACACACGACCTTTGACCTCACAACATCTAGATGCTGCAGTACCAGAGAGAGAGGGAGGAAGAGAGGATCAGAGCTGCAGTGAAGAGAGACAGAGAGAGAGAGAGAAGGGCACAAAGGAAGTGAGGTGGTTGAAGTGAGAAGAACAGAGAGAACGAAGGAGGAGAGAGAGGAAAATAGGACAATAAGAGAAAGAGAGGAGCAAAGATGAAGATAAGGAGAGATACAGCTGGGTGACCTAGATGTTTGAGGAGAGAGAACAACAAGCTTTCACAACGCATGACGTTATTCCTCTGAGCACTGTGTTTCAGTGTGTGTGTGTGTGTGTGTGTGTGTGTGTGTGTGTGTGTGATGTCATCCCCCTCTGCCGGGTCAAATCTGTAATAAGTTCGCCGCAGGATGCTCCGTCCTTCCCCAAGAGACAAAACACACACACACACACACACACACACACACACACACACACACACACACACACACACACACTGCAACACATTCACACACAAATGCAAAGAACAACACATCTGTACAGCTGTGAAGGTGGATCTATCTGCACTGTTCTCCATTTCCAAGAAACACAAACAACAAACAAAAAAAGGATCAGCTGACCACCAACATCTGATCAGTTCATCCTTGAGTGAAGTGAATGTTTGTGCCAAATTTGAGGAAGTTCCATCAAGGTGTTAGAGAGATATCGCGTTCACAAGAATGGGACGTATGGACGCACAACCTGAAAACACTATGGCTCCTGCTCTGACTGCCGTCGGCATGGTGATATAAAAACACTCAAACGTTAGAGAAACATCAGCTGATGTGAAACAGGCCTCACAACAAAGATCTCAGAAGGCTGAGGAGGAAGAGGAGTTGATGAGCATGAAGAGTTTAGATCTTCATCAGACTTTGTCCTGCCACTGTAAAAGGATGCATGGGAGTGTGTGTATGTTACATACCCTAAGATGCCCTTGCCCGCCCTCGGAGGGCTGGGCGGTTTCTGGGTGGGGGGGTTGGACCGGGACAGACCGCCTCCTAGTTTCATGTTCTGCTGGCCGTTCACCTGTGGAAACACACACACAAACACACAAGCAAAGGTAAGTCCTCACCTCAGACTGTTTTAGATGTTTATATTCTTATCCATCATGCAACACCATCAGGAGGCGCCTGATTCGAGTCATTTGAACCATCTTCACAAATCCTGCTGTTTTAAAGACAAATATTTATCTGATTGATAGTTTTTCTCTTCACTTCACTCTGTATGAAGTCAATCAATCAATAAAAACGATTTATGGGATTATTTTAGAAAGTATCTTTACTGTTGGTGCCTAAAGCGTTTGCACAGTGCTGTATGTTGGTGAGTTTATCCACCAGAGGGCGCTGACAGGTTTATTTTTCAACTGTAAAATGCTCCAATCAGTCACATGGTCACGGTTCTTTAACATCCAAATTTAAGAGCCCCTTATCAAAATAATGGTGTCATGTGCATTTAAAACTAAAATTAACGCCTCGTGGTCGTATCCCTCCGCCACTCAGACTAGTTCCAGGTCACATCCCTGTTTATCCAGAGTCGTATAACATATGACACAAATGAGTGAGATTTTGTCAGAATTTCTGTGCGAAGCCTTGAGTACTGGCTAAAAATTGTTTTGTGAGGTCACACTGACCTTGACCTTTGACCTTTGATCACCAAATTCTAATCAGTTCATCCTCGAGTCCAAGTGAATGTTTGAGCCAAATTACTGAGATATCGTGTCCACGAGAACAGGATGGACAGACAACCTGAGAACAATATGTCTCCAGCTCTGACTGTCGCCGGCGCAGAGAAATAAAAAAGCACAAATCATAGCTGATTTTATTTCTCACCTATCAATGTTGGTATTAAAAATAATAATAATAAAATAACACTATCAGTTACACCCTGTTCACACATATAAAAATAGCAGGCTCTCTTAAGCCTGAAGCTTTTGGGTGTGCACAACAAAGTAGTTTCCACACATTGTTTTCTAAATCCCGTATCTTAATTATTCATATTTCCACCCCATTTGTTTGAAGTCATTTTACAGAGCTGAGCTAAAGGAGAAAATGTGGTGTTTCCATTTCCTGAGTAGTAAAAAAGAGCGTGAGACATGTGAGGCATCAGCCACTTGAGTCTTGAATCGTGGTGGGTGACACAATGTTTTTTGAGTATGTTATGTGTGAACAGGCTTTAGTAAATAAGAGGTTTGTCATTAACATTCCTCAGCTTTACAGTGGTATTTTTCCTGTCGCAGTTACAGGTCTGATATGTGTGTAGGTGTGTTGTGCATCCTTACCTTGAACCTCAACAACCACTGAATTCGTCAGTGAAAGCAGTGGGAGAAAGAGGAGAGGAGAACAGTTGTCTAGAGGTTAGTGTCAGTGTAAAAGCTTCGTGCAAACATCATCAGCTGTTAGAAACACAAGGCAGAAACAACATCCCAGAGAGAGAGAGAGAGATACAGACGAGCTGAAATACAGACAGAGAGAAAGAGTCAGAGAGGAAGAGCTGCTGTGAAATGATGAGCTGCAGCTCCACATGAAAAAATGTCAAGTTGTACTTAAATAAATGAGAAATTTGAAAAAACAGTCACTAGATAATCAGCGCCACTTGTCCCACACGTTGGTGTTTTACACTGCGAGAGCACACTACATATCTAGTGAGTCACACACTCGGCCGTGCACACACACATGCAGGTTTACATCACATCACTCTGGAGATAATCTCGTTATTATTCTCAGTGTTGAAAACTTTGTATTGCTGTATTCTGTCTTTTAATGCGACAATTTAGAGACACTGAAAACATCTATAAAACATCATTTCTATCATGATCACCACCTTGACTCCATGTCCAATGTCGTCCAACACGCTGTAGTCGATGGGCTTCCTGATGTAGCGCACCGGTCTCTCCGGATTGGCCGGAGCGACGATTTTATGCGAGCGGGACGTGTTCTTGTTGGTGGTCAAGATGCCGATCTCCCGCCTCGCCACCTTCTCTTTGTGAATGTCGACGGTCTGAAAAGAGGAAAACAGAGAGAGAGTGAATCTAATGACTAATTTATGTCTCTGGCTTAAATAAAACAAACAGAAAAGACCAGATTTATCCTCGGCACAAACACTTACAGTAAACTCCACATATCTGAAAACAGGTGGAAGATTTCTGTTGCTTCTATCATACGATCTAACGTGCAGCAGAATTTGGTGTTAGAACATTAAAGTCATAATCCTTCATACAAGTGTGTTTTAATAAGACAGGTCCCAGAGTTTTGTTCTAAATGACCAATGAAAGCAGGAAACACGATTCGAGCGGAAGAAGAGCAACTGATGAACAGTTTACAGCACAGACAAACAAACTGTGGGCCTCAAGCTGTTTTAACATTACAATAATTTTAAACAAGTCGCTTGACCTGGTAACACGAGAATAAATAAACTGTGCCTCTTTCCCTGATGCTGGACTCCACAATGAAAACTACTACACAGAGACACAATGTCAGAATGTAAATAACACTGAACAGCTACTGCTGAAAAAATGACATTTTCATAAACAGTATTAACAACACTAAGAGTGGACAGCCACACGCTCACAATGACAGTGCAAACATGCTAATGTTTAGCAGGTATAATGTTTATATATTATACATTCACATAATAATTTCTGCAGGTATTTGTGTTGACATTTTAATCGGAAGCTAAAAATGTGGTCTGATATAATGACTTCAGGATTATAAGTTTACCATTAACATACAGTACGTTTCTTTGCCAAAAGAGCCTGCTGACTGGTTGACAATATCACAGCTTTGATAGAATTAAAAGAAGTTTAAGTCTTTCCGTTCAAAAGTCTTTAAGATGCTCAGACTGCGTCTAAACAGAACATTTCATTGAGCAGCAGAACACTGCAGCCTGAAACAGACAGGAAAATAAATGATGGCATTATAGTACGAATGCTTTCTGAATGGCGTGTGTGTGTGTGTGTGTGTGTGTGTGTGTGTGTGTCTGTGTGTGTGTGTGTGTGTGTGTGTGTGTGTGTGTGTGTGTGTGTGTTACAGCTCTGTCTCCCTCTTGTTCCTTTTAATAAAAGCTTACTGAGACTTTCTCACAGAGTTGCAAGCTTTGATTTAAAAACTGGGCAGAAACTGTTATTGATCCATCTACTGGTTGTTGCACTGATCCATTAATCATCTGTCCAACTGTCTGTCTGACTAAAAACCCAAAATGCACTTAGAGTGAGAAACACATTTCACACTGTTCTCTGCTCTCACACTGGATATTTTGGTGTGTTGCATTTTAATATGGATGAAAACCTGTTCTTCCAGCCTGGAGTCAGGACAAGTGTTAAACTGTATTTTCAGTGGTGAATTAAAAAGGAAATGTATGTGGGTGAAGGGGATAAAACTGCTGCTTTGAGAAGTGAATTAATCACATAACAGAAAATAAATTCAGATGAACTTCACTTTGCTTTTAGCAGCTCACGGCTGCTGCTGCTGCTGGACCAGACAAGGTTAAAAGTTAAACAGCAACATCACAAGTAACAGTCTAGAATTACAATTATATGGCCAACACCATATTGGCCCGACTGTAACTGCCTGCCTCGCACATATATGTGTGTGTGTGTGTGTGTTCACACCGGCTGTGTGTTTGCTGCGTCGCTGCTACTGCAGCTTGATCTCTCTACATAGAGACTGTCATGAATAACAGCCATCAGTACTCGAATGTTGGATTTCTTTTCATTATAAACCCTCATTCAGGGCAGCACAGACACCCAGAGAGAGAGAGAGAGAGAGAGAGAGAGAGAGAGAGAGAGCAAGCACCAGTAGCATACTGCCCTTCACCTGTTAAATTATTGACATAATATAATTTTAGTCTACATTGAGTTTCTGCTATGGCCATATAGTACATGTGGCCTCCACTGTGTCCACATACAGCTGCTAAAAGGTATAAAAAAATATATACACACACACACACACACATATATATATATATATATGTATTTCATGTCTGTGTCATACTACAAACTACAGTGAAAGGTGTCAGTGTTAATAATGTTGCATGTATGGTGTCGATATGACAGATGTTTTCCCTCTGTGTTTGCGGGCCCCCGTCGCATGAGACGCTGAATCTCCAGATCACACACATAATTCCACTTTTGCAACAGCTGTTTTTAAGAAAAATAATTTGACACTCGTCCTGTTATGTTGGGAAAGTTTTGATTAACCCAAGAAGAAGAGAGTTGTGATCGTTGAAGGTGTTAACTAGACTTGACTTTACAGAAGGGAATTCTGTAATTGGCTCCAGTATCTGAACGAAGCAGGACACCTACTGCACATAGAGCAAACTGAATCCTCTCTGTTTGAGACCATGAACGAACTGATGATCTACCGACGCATTTGTTCTGCACTGAGTTTGTGTATTTGAATGCATCATACAGATCCACTGTACGTTTGTCTTGATTTCCTCTTGGTGTTACATGATCACATTGTTGGCTGATTGCTCCGGCGTGAAACGAAGAATGGATGATAAAAGATCATCTCAGCGTGGTTCCTCATGAGACGGAGCCTCGCTGCATGAAACGTTCGCCTACATAACAGATGTGACTGTGTCTCGCTGAACAGAAAGCGGTAATTATGACGTGCAATCACAGGCCTGGTCTAACACAGACAGAAGCATCTCATTATCCCTGCATGCAGAGTGTTATACTGATTATACTGATTATTCAGAGGTCTGAGGAGGAGAATGGAGCCTCTGTACCACTGAAAACTATGATTTCAGTCCTCACTACACAGCTCATCTGTGAAGATACTTAATGTTCAGCGACTTTCTTCTTCTTTTTCCTACACTGAGCTCACTTTGTGTGCGTGACATGCGAGTTTGCCTTGGAATATGAAGCTGCAGTGCGAGATGTGTGGGTGCAGAGTGTTGTGTAAGCCGTATTGAACCACTGGTGATGCTTCACAACGTTGGGTGCGATCACTCCTACAGGTGGTTTTATTTGTCTGACCGGTTGAAAAACATGAAGAGGACTCGTGCTTTGTCTCCTCACACTGGATTTAAATGCACCCAAGTAACTGGTGCCTGCTGACTTTCTGCAGTAACCCGATATCTTAGATGTGTTTGTGAAAAGGAACTTGAATCTGAATTCCTTGAAGGGGTTATAAGGGGTTTAGAGGAACCCTGCAGGAGAAACCACATTTCTTGTCCATACAAGATTCTCCTGCCCATGTAAATACGCTCGATAACCATGTTTACTTTTACACCAGTGTCTTGCTTTTGAGTCAGGAAATAATGTTTAAATGGAACATGGAGAACCATGGTTAACAACCTCCCTGTCGACTTGATTCCAGCACTGATCAGGTTTTCTGACTGTCTGTGTGTGTGTTGAGTCTCTGGCTGATGGAATCTGCTGCACTCACCACTCTGCAGGAGTTCATGAAAGACCAGAGCTACGATACAGTTCATCCTCTGTGTTACCAAAGTCAGACTTACAGTTCAGTGTGTTGAACATCATTTATCATCACATCTTTAGTTTTACTGACTAACTGCTGCAAGACTCTGGGGACTTGAGGTGACAGTGACCGGACACTTGGACCAGGTACTTACATGTCACAGTATATTGGTTTAAAGCAATACAACCCAGCTGGTATCTTTCCATCAAATAACCCAGATTCACAGTAGTGTTCACTTATATTCATACAGCTGTGCAGCACAGCCATTATAATCAATAAAGCCTGACTCTTCTCATTGACACCTTCATACAAACATTGTTACAGCTCCCTCCCTGTTCATCCACAGGTACGCTGCGTACTGTTGTTTAAACCTGCAACAACTGATATTTTTGGCCACTTGAGGGCAGCAGAAACAGGTTGTAAAGACAACATTGACATATTATCACTTTATAATTAAACAATATCACACGAGACGGAGATAGATAACGACCGTTAATGTAACACTAATTAGCAGTGAATAGAACACATGTACAGCGGAGTGATACATGTAGTTAAAAGTCCCGGTGCTGTTGTACTCTATATCAGTTTCTCTTTCAACTTGTTAACAAACAGTTGCTTATTTCTTATTTCTACATCCAGCAGACACAGAACAACATGATCGTTCATCCACCTGATGAATCTCAGTCCAGTACTCCCTCGCTCTCTTTTAGCTCCATGTTTGGTCTCCACCAGCTCCTGAGGGAAATATCTGGTTGTTTAGCTGCTAAATGCGCCACTACGTTCTGAAAAAAGCTGCTGCTGCAGCCCAAAAACGACAATATGAGAGTGGAGAGAATGAACCAGAGCAGTAAAGTTGTGTCCACACAGATAAACAATGAGCTGAAACTCACTGTAAAGCTCTGTGAAGGCGAGTGGAGCTGCAGATTGAGCTGCAGATTCTCTGCAGGTTCATCACAACCAGAGACAACTTTCACACTTTGCCATCATAACCCATATTTACCAGACCCTTGTGAGCATTCAGGGGAAAAACGACTAGATTTCTACACTCCAGACACTTTTCCATGTCAGTTTAGCTTTCTGCAGTTTAGCACTGTTGCACTCTCTCTTTAAGTGCAGATTCGTCCTGAGAGGATTTCTGGGCTGCTGCTCTCAGCATTACACAGTGGGGAGAGCAGAACGCTGAACATAAATGTGCTTGCATGCGTACATGATTACATGTTGTGCTCTCTCACTATGAGTAACACTGTACATATGATTTTATGGAGCATGTGCTCATTCTTCATGCATGCTGACAGACAGACCTCAGATTTAAAAACAAAAGTTTGTGGAGGTGGAGGGAAATCTTGACTCTCAGTTTACCATGAGGAAGGAAAACAACTTTTCAGCTGTTGTGTTTAGAAATCTTTGTGATTTTCAAAGGGTTTCAGAAGCCTAGGAGTTTGGAAAATAATAATTCTTCTGAAATTAGATGAGCAGTTTAAAAACCAACCACACTGACATTCTTCTGGTCTCAGCACCGACCTGTGAAATGTGGTTGACGGAGCTCTCCATGCGGCGGAGCTGCGAGGCCTGGATGTCCAGCATCTGCAGCACGTTGTTGGCCAACGTGTTGATGAGGTAGGCGACGCTGGCCAGAGACTGGGTGGTGTAACTCTTGGTCTCCTCCAGCGCTCGCTGCTTGTCTGCAGACTGCGGGGAGAGACACACACAGATTAATAAGGAGCAGCAGTGTGTTCACATACACAGAAGAAACCAGAGAAATAACAACCTGACAGACACCAACAAAACAACACCAACACCAAAACACAATATGCTAACATGCTAATCCAAACTGAGATTTCCACCACAGCATCTGACATCAAGGGTTACCCATAATCCCTCGAGAACAGATTGAAATATAAGCAAATGAAATTTTACATTTCCTATGTAATTTTATATTCAACCCCCTCATTCCAGGTCATTTTATTAGTTTCTTTTTTATTTACTTTTATTTGCTCTTCAAGATATTAGATTTTCTCCAGTAAATCTTTATCTGCTCATCATGAAGTTTTTAAAACATTTCCAGTTTCACAGGTTCAGTGTGTGTTTCTACTCTGCTCTGTCTGAAGAGATTCACTGTATAAAAAGGAAAAGGAGAAAAACAGTAAATACTCAAACTCAGACGCTTGAACCAACAATTACCAGAATCGTTGCTGATTAATTTTCCATCAACTAATTAAAAATAAATGTTTCAGGTTTACACAGAACTCATTGTATGTTACAGTGTGTGTGTGTGTTTCTGCTCCAGAGGTCAGTCACAGGTCACAGGTGAATCACATTGGCTTGTTCATTCATTGATTCTGCTCAACAAGCACACACACACACACACACACACACACACACACACACACACACACACACACACACACACACACACACACACATTTTCTATGATTTGTGCTGGAGTGTCACATTCAGCATTTTAGCAAGACAGAGGGACTGTGTGAGTGTGTGTGTGTCAGTGACAGGTCCCTACAAATAACAAATATAGTAAGACAAGCATGTGTGTGTATGTGTGTGTGTGTGTGTGTGTGTAACCATGTGTGTGAGTAACTGTGTGTCTGCATCTATACTGAATGTGTACATAATACAGCAAGGCATAAGGAGATGCATTGATGTGTGTGTGCGTTCGTGTGTGTGTGTGTGTGTGTGTGTGTGTGTGCGTGCGTCTGTTTGTGTTTGCTGAAGCATGATGTAGGTCAGTGCAAACTCGTTCATGCCCGAGGTTGACAAGAAACACACTGACACCCATGTGTATCCCTCTTTTACACACACACACACACACACACATACATGCACACACACACACACACACACACACACACACACACACACACACACACACACACACACACACACTGTAACGTACAGTGAGTTCTGTGCAAACCTGAACAACAGGCTACAAACACACACAGTTGGTGTCACAGGCCGGAGTGACCCACAGCCCTACATCCACAGTCAGAGCTCAGACAACACAACAATACTCCATCAAATGTATTGATTATACTGTATAAAGGCTAAAGGAAACGCTTGATTCTGATTGGCCAGATGCAATGTCATGAGTGTGTGTGAATGCTGCTTAAAGTCCCAGTGACCCAGTGTTATTGAGAGCATCTTTCATGTTGTTAGACCGATATGCAAAAAAAAATCATATTGCGAATATTTTTGCATAGCGTCACAATTTCAGTGGGAACCTTAATTTTCGCATTTTATTTCCACTGGAAAAAAATATAAAAATGATGAAGATGTGTTGTTGGGTCTTGTTACCTATCGCCTGAAGAATCTGATTTCTGTATCACCACAATGCGTCATTTAGAGCATGTTGCACTTGGCCATATTACAATTTTGATTAACTGTTCTAATATTTTATTAGTTTCAGCCTTGGTGCTGTGTTTTCCACAGAAATAGATTGTATTTGTGGGGATAGCTGACGGGGGACTTTCTTAATTATTAAATAATACTGTATACTATAAGGTGCTCCACTACTTTGTGCCAAATACATAACTGAACAATATACACAGCTCCATTGCCTCACATTGTGTCAAACAAATCTGCCTCAAGCCAGGTCTGCCTGGAGAGGGTTGATTAGATGTTGTTATTGGCCAGTGAGCCCAGACCTGGACCACACAGAGCAGCTCTGCACACCCTGAATGACAGGCACACAGAGAGGGCCGCTAAAGACACAGTAATTTATGTATTTTTTTCATGGCCCACCGGGAGTGGGATTTCTGCCAGTTCCCCCGATGGTCAGTCTGACTAAAAGAAAGGAGGGGCTGATCGAATCTACAATGAAACAAGATTTTACCAATTTGAAATAGTAAAATCAATGAGTTGCGGTCAATGTTGATATTATGTCGGTCTGCGCAAATAAATCAATGTATAAGAAACACTGTGGTGTTATGAGGGAACACTGGCTCCTCTCCTCAGGTTTGGACTTTGCTCTGGGAGTCTTTTCTGTTCACAGAGAAGAAACACATTGATGAAAAGCTGTAAATCTTTTCAGTCCAGTTTTACCCTTGTTCCATCTCATATTCATCTCTCCTCTACCTCCTTTTATTCTCATGCTGTTCTATTCTCTGCCCACCTCTTTTTCTATTCTTCCCTCCTCGTCTGTTCAGTTTTTCTCCACTCTCTCTCTCCTCTCCCTCCTATCTTCATCACATCATCCTTATATCTCTCTCTCTTTCCCATCAGCCATCTGATGTTCTGTTAGCAGTGACCTAGTTGGAGGGTTGCCTCCTCTGGCCTGAGGATAGGGCAGAGCGACACACACACACACACACACACACACACACACACACACACACACACACACACACACACACACACTGCTGCTTTTTTCCCTAATTCAGACTAAATATATGAGCTTCATGTACATGAATCAGATCAGATCTACATGGAATCATATGCACGCTCAGATTCCTCTGACCTCTTTTCTAATGAAGACAGACTTTATGTAGAAAAGTCCTGCTGTTAATTTATTTCCTGCTGTTACAATGCAAATACAAACAAAACAGAAAAATAATTGGTGACCATTCTCATAATTGATTAATCTGTACTTTTTCAAACAAAAATTGTAAAAAAAAAAAAAGCCAAATAATAGCAGATTTCAGCCTCTAAAACAGAAGATTTGCTGCTTTTCTTTGTTTTATGTCATTGTAAAATGAATATTTGGGGGTTTTGGACAAAACGAGACACTTGAAGATGTCACCTTCAGGTCAGATAAATCTTTTCACAGGTTTTTCATGTTACATACTGTGTATCCAAAAAAAAAAAAATGGAATGGAAGAAAATTGTGGCATCATTCATACAGGTTCAGCTGAAATACTAAAACCTTTGCATTAAAAACTGTCTGAAATAAATGTTTGTAGCTTGTCTAAGACACTGAGAACTACAAGCAGATCAGTGTGTGTGTGTGTGTGTGTTTTCTACACCTGCAAATTACAGACTTGTCAGTCACATGGCCTCTACTTACCGACCATGCGTGGACGTGTGTGACAGAGGAGAATCTGTGTGTGTGTTAGATTGAGACACACCTCATAACTCTTTACAAGTGCCATTCTCTCCAGCTTTGAACCTGGTCCAACAAGTCCCCAGTCTGAACCACTCGTCTAAAACACACACACACACACACACACACACACACACACACACACACACACACACACACACACACACACACACACACACACACACACAAAGGTCTGTTTGTACCTTCTTTCAGAGAGAGACGGCCACCAACGGCCAACAGCTTTTACCATACAAGGACAGGTCCCTCTGTCAGAGAGAGAGAGTGTGTGTGTGTGTGTGTGTGTGTGTGTGTGTGTGTGTGTGTGTGTGTGTGATGCCTGCTACAGTTAGTTATTCCCACTTCAAATTCATAAGAAATCATTCACATTAGAGCTGAAACCATTAATCAATTATTTGACTAGTCCTTTTACAGTAAATATAGATATACTGATGATCAGTGAATCATTCATCAATCAACATCCAGCAGCTCCAGCTTCTCACATGTGAACGTTTGCTGTTAGTTTCTGAGTTATGTGATTTAAAATGTTTCGAATGTCATCGAGACAATAATCAGCAGATTGGCTGCAACTTATATTAACATTTTTTAATGAAATATTGTTGGTGATCAATTGTTGATGCTCTCCTCTGGTTCTTGAAATGTAGGACATTACTAACTGCTGCAGATACAGATGAGGCAGGTAGAGTCAAAGTGCATTTGCCAAATGTTAAATCAGGGTTTCTTTAACATTCACCAAATAAACATTTTAAAAAATTTAAGACCTTTTAATACCAGACAGAATGAAATTCAATATCTTTTTTCATAGTGGTAGAATAATAATGGAAACCACTCATATTTTTATCACTTCTTTGGCCAGGACTTCCCAGCTGTATATAACAATAATCCCTAGTGATATAATTGATAAATTAACAGGACCTGGACCTGTGGATGGATCACTGAGCAGGGCACAGGCCCAGGGGTCCACAAGGTCACAGGGCCCCTGGACCAGAGCCTCTGTATGAAGTTACAGTCAATATTTCTGGTTTGAAAGTCACAGAGTTCAGTTAAAAGTTAAAACCACCACAAAGCCACGGTCCTCTAACAGCCAACTAATGTTACTGTCCAGAGAAGGCAAGAAAAATTAATCGAGGCCTTTGTGAATGAAATTAAAGACTTTTTATAACTCTTCAGGAATCTGTCCGAGGGAAGTGCATTCAGAGCTTTTTAAGACTTTTCCAGACACCCAGTAAATAACTGTTAGAACGAGCTTAATATCAGAGAACACAGAACAAATTAAAGAGGAGTTTTGCTTTAGCAGAAGAATGTGACATAATGTCAGCTTGAACACGTGATCAGCCGGTTTGCCAAACTTCTGATCACAAACCCATCTTTCCAAGTGCTCAGCCTGTTTCGCCCCCGCAGGAGCTGTTCCTGGCACCAACACTGAAGGTGGAGGCTGATACTCCTTCAACTGGAAAACCAATCGCCATGGTTTCCAACTCAAAAAACACACACACACACACACACACGGCCAGTGTCCACGTCCTGCCTCCTGCAGTGGTACCATGTGTTTTCAATGAGCAGCAGGAGGTCGAGTTACATTACGACTACCTCTGCTGACAGCTAACTGGTACCAGCTGTGGAGGACCCAGAGGGAACAAAGCGGGACGGGACCGGGGGAGTGGGGGTGTCTGCACATGCTCAGTGCAGGCCTGCTCAGGGGCCTCAGTGGAGAAAACGCACAAATGTTCAAATCCCAAGTTGTGTTTTATGAAAAATGAATGTTGACTAATGGAGGCAGAGTTTCGACTCGTCTTCCTGCTTCAGTTCACATCACGTTCACCAACTTCTTTATATTCTAACAAACATATATATTCCAGGTTTCTCTATAGAAAAGAGGAGATAACTGTGTAACATGCAGCTTCAGTTACAGCACACAGTGGAGGTGTGGGTGGTGTTATATTGGACCACCTGGACTCCTACATGAACACAGGGTTTAAAATAGACAATCAGATAGAAACAATGTTAGGAGACAGGATGTTTAACACATTAAACTCTCCGAGTTAAGGCTAGGTAGAAGTTTTACGCAAAAATCTTTATCATAGTTACGATTAAGAGTTATTTTCAGTATTCAGTATTTCATTATTGATTAATCTGATGATTATTTTCCTGATCAACTGAAAATGTCTGATCCGTTTTGGTCAACCAACAGTCCAAAACCCAAAAAAACCCTTCTGTCTAAAAGGACATACAAATCAGATAACATCGATAAATCAGAACATTTGAAGATATGAAACCAGGATGTTTGTTATTCTTGCTCAAAAAACTGATTATCAAAATAGTCGCTGACTGATTTTCTGACAATTGACTGATCGATTAGTTGACTAACCATGGCAACAGTCCTGCAAAGACTTTTCCTAATTGTTAATAGATCATGAACTTTCTGACTGATCATTGAATGCCTCAGTATTTGGCAGTTTTTCATATTGATATGAAAAGTATCATTAACAGTATAATGTCGAGCAGCTGCCCCACATTAAATACATCCAGACAGATTTAATCCCCACAGTCTGAGATCGCTGTGGCCACTGTACCCAGGAGGGGGTCACACAGCCAAGTAGAGCTTAACATGGGTCAAGCCTGAATCCAAATATTTAGCCCATAAAACAGGATCAACAGCACTACTGGGGTTATGTAACAGCTCCCCTCATCTGCTGCAGGGGGAATGTAGGCCATCCACTGGGTCCTGAGCTGTTTGGCCCCGTTTGGACATGAATTAATGAAGGAGAAAAGAGTTGTGTTTTCTTGAGAAGACGCGGTTTGATGGCTGAGAGGACAGAGTTACTGCTCACAGAGACAGAGGACGGTGTTATGAGTTATTTCAAGGAAAAATGGACAAATGGACAAATGGACAAAGGATAGAGACCGGAAGGGAAGAAAGAAACATCAGAACAGGATGGAGAAAGGAAGAAAGAATTAAGCAAAGAAAGAAAAGGGGGGAAAATCTGTTCAATCATTCCTTCATTATTAAATGTTAATTAAAGGGTCCTCAAGCCTTAGAGAAGACAGACGGCTAACGCAGCCTGTTCTGGTGACTGACAGTGAAATTCACACACAGAAATGAGATGAATATGAAATGTGGAGATGAACAGGTGTGTGTTTAGAGCCGACTGAGGAGGAACAGTTGTCCATAACAGCCTCGCCTGCCCACGTATGAACTGCGCGCACACACACACACACACACACACACACACACACACACACACACACACACACATACACACACGCTGCATTCATGTCTCCATGAACCAGCCAAGGAGAATGATGGCAGCCTGGTAAACAGCTATCTAGCTGTGTTAAAATGTAAATAAGACTTTCTCCTGTTAGCTGAACGTGCTGATCATCACTGGATGTCTCACATAACCAGGACTGAAACAAAAGGTGATCAACAGAAGATTAATCGGCAACTATTTGGATAATTGATTAACCGTTAAAGTCATTTTCAAGCAAAAATATTAAATAATTCCAGAATTCTTTAACTAATTATTTGTTTGTGTGGTGCTGGTGCCTTGTTTGGTTTAAAGGTATCTTATAATGCCATGACGAGATGGTATGACATATATAATATATATAAGATATTATATAATAAAATTCAACTAATTCATCTATTCATTTCTTTGAATTACCACTGTTCGACATACAACAAAAAAAGACTTGAAGATCTCCAGATCTCATCTGATGATGGACATTATTCACCATCTTCTGACTAATATTGACTGATTCAGAAAGTGTTGCAGCCCTCAACTCGACCATCTTATTTAGGAGAGAGGAGTTACAGTGGCCCTGCAGAGGAGTGATGATAGGTGACTAAACAAGCCGACAGAACCTCGGGGATCGCCTGCACAAACTCACTCTGTCCACTGCAGAGCCTGGAGGGATTATTTCACCCACACAACTGACGAGTACTTTCTCTTTTCATTCATAACGTAACATCAAACACCATGAGCAGATTATATAATGAGGATGAGAAGGTTCATTATTAACCAGTAACTAACCATTTTAAAGATAACCAAAACCAAAAAATAAATAAACTTGAACTAAAATAAAACTAAAAACTTAACTTTTCACAAATTTCACTCTTCTTGGCCACACTGCTTCAGTAAATTTGAATTTCAGTAGATTTTTGTCATTCTTCTAAGGCTGAGACCACATTTACTCATCATCTATAATTACCAGTAAAGTAATAATTTATATTTTCCTCTAAAAGAGATGTTTTGCATGCCAGGTACCCATCCATACCCACGAATGGATTGCCAACTGGGGAAAGTGGGAAACTGTTGAGGAACTTAAAGCCCCAGATTGACTCCACATCATTAGGGTCCAAATAATTTGATTAACCACAAATCTGTGAGAAGCTTGTACCACTAAAGTCCAATCAATCAAATGTGACAAATTCTCCATCTTCCATCTTGCAGAGATCTGTGCAAGATCTAGTTTGTTTAGTTTATATTGATCAAATTGATTTTATTTTTCACAGAAAAAACATCTGGCAAGTTTATATAATTCCAAGTCAAAGATGTTGAGTTTACTATCACAGAAAACTATGCAAATACTCACAACAGACAGGTTTTTTTTTTCTTTGCATTTTTGGCAGTTAATCATCTATCAAACTTTGTCTCACTTAATTTCCTGCTAATCAACTAATTGACCAATCAACTGATCATTTCAGCTCTAGACTCCTGGTATGTTTCTGGATGCCTAGGGAAATTATGAAACTGCCATGAATAGTGGGGGTCAATAGGGGCCCAAAAAACAAATCTTTGCCCTAAGGCCCCATAGGAGGTTAGAGAACCCATTTCCACACCACTCCAGTGACTGGACTGAAACCAGATTTAAAACAACTTTGTGTGAAAAGTTCCTGCTATAAAAAAAAGTCCAAAATCCCCAAATATTCAATTGACAATCAAATATGACAAAGAAAAGCAGCAAATCATCACAACTGAGAAGCTTTTAACTGTCAATTAACTAATAATCAACTGTCAAATAGTTGCCAATTAATTTTCTGTTGATGGAGTTAGTTTTAACTGGGTCATCCTTTCCTACTAATTGGAGAAACGGTTGAAACTAGTGTCTCGCCAGACTCCCATAGAAACATCTCCATATTTTGTTTTACCTGCTTATCTACACATGTCACATCGCTTGTAGAACATGTTTAAAGACATTTTATGAATAAACACGAATCTCTCTTTCATTCGGGACGCGTGCAATATACCAATTATACACATTATTGAGTAAAATGTCAACTTTTATAACTAACTTAATTAAATTACATTCCAACAGTCACGTTTCACCACAGCACAGCAGAGCACAGTACGCGGCGGTGCTGTGTAAACCAGTTAGAAAAGTTTAATTTTCTCAAGAACTGTTAGTATTTGGTGGATTATTTGTCAGCCGAATTAGCTTTAAAGTTCAAGATGTTCAGCCGTAAAAAATGCCAGTTTTTAAATTGAATTCGGCGTGAGTTTTATCTTTCATACAAAAGCTAACGGTAACATAACGGGGCTTGTTACAGTCATTCCATCACTCCCCTCTCAAAAACGCCCACTCCCTGCTAATACTATACCCCGACATGTTATCTGACTTGTCTAATACACACCTAGGTGTTTAAACACTCGCACGTACCTGGACATAGTTGCTTTCGCAGTATTCCGCCACTCTCTCCAGGTTGGTGAAGCTGTCCAGTAACGCTCTCCGTCCCGCAGGAATTTCTTCCTCCAGCAGCATCTGTAGCTCCGCCATCTTTACATGGTTCTTTACTACTAAACTAACGGCTGCGGCGCGAGCTGGCCGGACTCATCCTGCTGCCTTCAGGAGCTGTGGGAAATCTCAACTCACAACGAGAACAAACTCGGAAAAAAGTGGGAATTTTCTGTCACACTGGAGTCGATGAGATGTCAATTCCCAGGGATGAGGAGAAGCTGGAGCCAAAATCTGTGCTCATTCACTCGAGAACTGTATTTAAGAAGTAAATGTTTGACTTTACTTGAGGATTTCCATTTTATGCAACTTTCAGAGGGAAATATTTTCACACATTTACATCACTGACAACAGCTATGAAAACTGGGACAAGGTTCATGACACTGACTTCACAATAGTAATAGTGATGTTTAGCTTAAACACATGATGACAAACAGTATATATGTCCATGTAACTGATATTTGTCTGACACTGTAATTCATAACAAATTTGTCAAGTTACCACATTTACATCCTGCAGTCACTTTTACTAATGACTGACAACCAGTGGTGGGATGTGACTAATCACATTTTAAGTATTTTTAAATACTGTACTGAAGTACAATTTTGAGGTGCTTGTATTTGTCTTAAGTATTTAAATGGTAATTTATACTTTTACTCTCCTACATTTATCTGGCAGCTTTAGTTTGTTTCTTTTTATATGTAAAACATATAATGAGTTAATCAGTTTTAGATAAAAAATATTTCCCTCTGCAATGTAGTGAAGTATAAAGTAACATAAAATGGAAATACTCAGGTAAAGTACATCAAAATTCTACTTACATGAGAAAATGTGCTTAATTCATTTCCACCTCTAGTGAACCTAATATCCCAGTTGAGGTCTGGTTAATAGCTCTGAAAGGTTTACGGAGCTTTCAAAACTCTTCTCACACCTGGGTTTTTCTTAGACAGGTGTCCTGCAGGTAAATCTCCCTCCAGAGTCAGGGGTCCTCCATGTCACCCAGTGCTGGCAGCCCTCCTCCTCCTCTCCGAAGAAGGCAAACCTTCATCTAATGGATTTCTGCAGGTTTGTCCAAGTTGAATTTTACACTTGTAAAGATCTTTTTTTTATGAATTTAATACCTGTTTCATGATCGTACTGGGGCAAAAAATGAGTAGTGACAACATGGCGTTGGAGAAAAACCCTACAGGACAGCAAGTTTTGAGGAAATTTAACACATTTTGTTTAACAAAGATGGGTTTAACAAAGATGATTGTACACACACACACACCAAAATGTGGGAATTTAATTAATTACAGCTTAGTTCTCTGACTGGACCTTGACCTGTAGGGTTGACTCTGATGCTGAACGACTACCACAGCAGTGAATACTTTATTCTGCTCAGCTGCCTCTCTGTTAGAGCAACAGCTCCACCCTGTGATAAAAAGCTGTCATCACACCAAAACACCTGACAGCTGCTGCTGTACACGTACTGTATTTCTTTATTTACAAAACCATCCCCAGGAAAACAAAGTGCTAGGTAATATATAGTACAAAAACATACATCAGACAAACAAGAAAACAGATTTTGATTAAGAGAGAGAGAGAGAGAGAGAGGTAGAGAGAGAGAGATAGAGAGAGAGGTTCTCAGGGTTCAGGCTGGGACGTCCAGGTTCTCGTCTCCTCTCGGGTATCCCTCCACCTCCATCGCCATCAAAAACTCTGCAAAGAAAAACAAGACAACCACAATATCTCATTATTATGGAAACCACACACACACACACACACACACACACACACACACACACACACACACACACACACACCATCCATGAGGACCCTCATTGACACAACCCTTATCCTGTAGGATTTAAATATTCCCTCCTGTTGCGCCATCTGGTGGCCACATAGAGAATGGCGTGATACTCTGTGTCCACTGGTTTGAGCTGATTCCCTCATTCTTATTCTACTGAGACACACCGATCCAACTCAGAGACACAGAGTTCATGGGTAGAAATGACACGTTGAGTCCCTGCATTCATTTCCACAGTGGATTGTTTCATATGACAAAAAATATACAAATAAAATATACATATCCATTATGCCTTCAGTATAATTTCACAGAACCTAGAGTCATATAAAAACAGAGCTGTGTCGTGAGAGGAGTGACTCAGCTCCTTTAAGGCTAATGATTTAAAACTGCCTTAATAAATATTTGATTCTTTGATTAAAAAAAAAGTCAAATGTACAAGCATGCTTATATAAAAACGCTGAGGTAGATATTAACTACAATTCCCAATGTGCATTTTGGCAAGAAACAAAGAAACATCCAATCAGTGAGTTTAAAATGAGCCCCTGATGACAGGTGGAGAGAACTGACAACAATCTGCAGCTTCAGTGACTTCACTGTTAGATTTGCGCCTCTGATTGGTTGTTTTCCATGGCAGTGGTGTCTGAGGCTCATGGGTATTGTAGTATTAAGAGCCATTTGCAGAACACTGAGCATATTTTTAAAGAATATAAATGAAATGGAAAAATCACTTCTGGAATCAGAACAAATCCCTGGCAACTTACCAAGCAAATAAATAAATAAAAACAGGATGTTTAAGTCAGTTTTACTCCGTGTGTCCCACCTTCTGTGTAGTCGATATCTGGCCGTGAGGAGACGACGGCCCAGGCCAGGCCCACCAACAGCGCCACCACCAGGTTCACTACAATCCACGGCCGCAGGATCTGCTGCTCTGAACCTGGAGGCCTGGAGGAGGAGAAGAGATTATAGACCAGAATAACAAACTGATGAAGAGATACATTTTTTTCTAAAGAGAAACAAACACAAGAATCCAGATTTCACTGAAAATCAAGTAGAAAAAAAACCCTTTAAAGAATCATAAGAGTTTAAATGGATTTGGACACTTTATCAATGAGAAAGAAACAATTTCTTCTGAGAGTCTGTGCGGATATTAACGTACCAAAGTATCAATAATCTTGATATTAACATACCAAAGTATCAATTACCTGGATATCAACGCACCAAAGACATATTTTATTTAAATATCCCCAGGTAAAACATTATTCACACAAATGAGAATTTGAAAGGAAGTCAGTAAATCACCTGCACCAAGTTTTTCACTGTCTTTGGAAAAACTATGAACTAACTAATGTTAACTTCAAAAACATAAAGTGAAGACGTTTCAGAAAACAAAAAAATCGAGAAACTGTGCCTCTAATGTTGGAGACTCATTGTAAGAATGATAAACTGTATGTTCACTTAAAATTTTAACATTATGGTCACACAGAAATCACATTCATGCATCTACAAATAGATTTAAATGAAAGAATGAAAATGAGACATGACAAAAAATGACATGAGAGTTTGAAGAAATGGTTTCATGTGTCAAAGCTCTTTTTTTAATATTGTTGTCTTTGTCAGAAAATGTCACCTATGAGCTTCTATATGTCACTTAAAAAATATCATTTCTGTTTGTTTTTTTTTTTCAAGACGACATTAAAACTGTCAAATATAATAAAAGAAATGAAAGCTCTCACCACAGAGTCTCGTTGGCTGTGGGATAAAGGTTGATACGATCACTGGTCATTTGTTGACTCAGCGACAGGATCAGGGCTATAAAATACACTGAAAACAAAGAGAGACGTCATAACACATCATCATCATCATCATCATCATCATCATCATCATCATCATCATCATCATCATCATCATCACCACCATGCCCTTGTCTTGTGTGACTTACAGAAAGAGGCCAGAACAGTGGGGTCCAGGGTGAGGAAGCCTCTCAGGGCCATGGAGGCCTTGGCCAGGTTCACTCTGCAGGTGAGACCAAACACACAGGTGTTAGTTCTTCTTGTTTATCTAAAGTACTTGATCGGTGCACAGGAGGGAGCAGTAATTAGGACTGGTGAGTTTTTAGGATTGTTTCTAAGGTCAAATGTAATTTTTTTCCATGATTAAGTTTGGGCTAATAGAGCAGCAGCAGCTTATTACTTAAAGAACTAGAACCACCTCCTCGTGGTCGTATCCCTCCGCCACTCAGACTAGTTCCCGGTTACATCCCTGTTTATCCAGAGTCAGAGAAAATATGAACCGTTTGTGTGAAATTTTGTCATAACTGCTGTGAAGTCTTGAGTAACGGCTAAAAAATGTTTTTTTTTGTGGTCACACTGACCTTGACCTTTGACCTTTGATCACCAAAATCTAATCAGAGTCCAGGTCAACGTTTTCGCCACATTTAAAGAAGTTTCTTCAAGGCGTTAATCAGATATTGCATTCACAAGACCAAAATCATGTTTTGTGAGGTCATCATGCCCTTGACCTTTGACCTTTAGTCACCTTAATCTAATCAGTTCGCCCTTGAGTCGTTTGCAATCGTACGATTTTATTCCGTGTTATTCATCTCATCAGTTTTTTTTTTTTGGATCTGTTCAAACAGCCCGGCCCACACACACCTGTCGAACGCAGACACGGTGCTGATGGCGAGCAGCAGGTAGAGCAGGGACTGGGCGGGGTAAGCCAGCGGGTGGTACTGCTGCAGCAGGTTGGGCAGCGTGGTCATCTGTTCGCCCGCCAGCACGTACACGACGATGATGTTCCACACCGCGTAGCCGGCCAGGAACCCGTGAGAGAACAGACCGATCACCCTGCAGACACACACACACACACACACACACACACACACACACACACACACACAAGACAACAAGATAGCTAATGTTACACCTGGGTCATGAGAAATACTGCTCTCTGATTGGCTGGGCAGTGATTGTTTAAATTGCTGATTATTGCTGTGGGATTTATGCTCTATGTATTCTGGGAAATGGAGTTGTGTGGCTTATGTGAACAACTACAAACACTCACGTCGTGTGTGTGTGTGTGTGTGTGTGTGTGTGTGTGTGTGTGTGTGTGTGTGTGTGTGTGTGTGTTTGCAGACCTGAAGCTACTGTGGACCCTCAGTGCGACGTCTCTGGTGGTCCAGATCTGTCTGGGGTCCATGTAGTCGTCCATCAGCTCTGAGTGTCGGAGCTGCTCCACTCGGTCTCCCTGGAAACGCCCTGCACGAGTCAAAATGTCAGACATCAACATTCGAGAGTCCTGAAGAGGAGCCGGGACGTAAACCAGCTTTGTGTGTGTGTGTGTGTGTGTGTGTGATCAGTGTCTGAGGATAGACATCAGCTCGGCCTGCGGAGGATTAAAGAGGCCGCTGGTGCCAACAGCAGCGTGTTCTGGGTTACTCAGAGTTTACATGAAAATACCACTGAAGAGCAAATCAAATCCTGATTGGTTTATATGAGCACAAACTTATTTATGGGTTGTAATGTGTGGTCACTTCTGACACATCTCACCAGCAGAAGAGCCTTTTTCACACTTTTCTGTCTCTGCAGTAAAAAATATTCAGTCAGTATATATTTAATTCATCACGTCTCACACCACAGTCCAGCTGATTAACGAGATCAATAACATCAGTGAACGATGTGAGAGAGGGGACATTTAGTTCATACAACAGAAAATGAGTGAAAACAAACATGTATTATATTATGTATTAATTAAATCCAGTTTACAACATTATATACTGCACAAAGTAGAATAAAATAATAATATCACGTCACTACATTTTCCTCTACTTTAAAGTTAATCTAAATTCAAATTTTCTTCCATTTGTGAAATTTTTATTTTCACTGTTTTTTGTGGTTGTTGGTTGTATTGTTATATTATTATTATTATTATTATTATTAATAATAATAATAATAATAATAATAATAATAATAATAATAATAATAAACAACACTGTATGTTCTTCACTATGTTCTCTATGTGTTCCTGCAGCAAAAGCATTGTTCCTGTTCCTCTAAGATGCCAGAGCTGGAAGCAGGATGACCACAAATTTAATGGTGACTTTAAACTTTACAGCGACACACTTATTTTTTCCACTTCACTTTTCCAATGAAAACAAGCTATGAACACACTGATCATCTCTTTTTAAGCTGTTGAACTTGTGATCAAACAGCTGTGTTCTTCCACATCCAGCAGCTAAAATATCATTATTATAGATCATTATACAGTGTTTTAACCTTAAAAAATTTAAAACAATAGTTGATGATAAATTGAAGCTCAAAGGTGCACTTTCTGAAAATACAAATAATACTACACAAAAACAAAGCTCTGACACGGAGCCACTTGTTCCATGAGGCTGTAAAAATCGGATCCACACTCACTGTTCCTCTCCACGAAGACTTTGCCGACCGGCTGGCTGTGTCCGTGGGGGGCGGAGAACAAGGAATGCTGGGGGATGGGGGACTGAGCGTCTGTGATGATGTCGTCGTCTTCGGCTCCCAGGTCGTTGCTGTAGTGCTCCGTCGCCTTAGCTTTCCTGCCAGGTGACACGAGGAAGAGGATTTTGGCCAAAGCCACTTCTATCCCAACAACTTTCCCTTAAATTCATGGTTCCCAGAGGATGAACCCTGAGGACTTTCCTTTGGTTCATCAGTTCATTCGTTTATTTAACGCTGGTACTCACTTTTTCCTCTTGGTCTTTCTCACAGCTACAGTCGTCTCCTCTCCGTCAGAGGCCGGCTCAGCCATGTTACCGTTTGGCACGTCAGCGTGTTCTGTTTCCTGGTCTGACGGAACAACAGAACAACACCAGGACTTCAGAAATGAGGAGTCCGTCATTATTATAAAGCTTAACCCCCCCATATGTAAACGTACTATACTAGTCTGAGTGGCGGAGGGATACAACCACGAGGAGGTAATTCTAGTTAATGTAATGTTGTGTCTTTGTGTCCAATGCGGTTTGGACTTGACACACTGTGTTTTACACACAGTTCTGTCGTGTTACGTTTGATGTAAATACACAGGTGAAGAAAGAGCAGGTGACGCAGTAGAAGCTTAGATACCGATAGTCGGCGCCTTCTTCTTTTTCTTCCTCTTCTGTGGTGCCGCATCCGGTGGCTCTGGGGTCAAAGGCTCTCTGCTTTCAGAGTGGCTCCTGTTGACCCCTTCCTCCATCTCCATCTCCACACCCACTGCAGAGGAACACAGTAGAACACAGTAGAACAGAGAGGAACACAGTAGAACACAGTAGAACAGAGTAGAACAGGGTAGAACACAGCAGAACACAGTAGAGTGCTGTGTGGAGCTGCAGGTGTAGACTCTCTCCTCTCACCTTCTCCCTGCTCCTCTCCGTCGATGACCTCCTTCTTCGGCTTCTTCTTCTTGCTCTTGACGGTCGGCATGGTGACGCGTCCCTGTGAGAGGATCAAAAGTTCAACATGGCCGAACGCGGTGAGTGACCGGGATCTTTGAGCGCGTGACACTGGACTGTGATTTGGGTCAGTCAGTTAACATTTAAGGAGGACGCCGCGGTGGCGCGATGGTGATGCCTGGTTCAGATAACTGGATTAGCCTGAGCCCTGAGGACAGGTGGGGAAGGGAGGCTTCAGGTAAAGGTGTATTTTAAAGATATTTAAAGAGAGTTTGGTCCTGTTTGGTACAAGATAAGACTTGTTCACATACAGTTTATCCTGGTTAGATTAATCTGAACAACACTTTTACCCAAATCTTACTTTCTTTGGGACAGTTTGGGCTCCAGTGTCTTGATCCAGCAGATCTATAGATGTTGAATAGGAGGAGCCAGAGATCGAACTCCATCCCTACTGTTTCTGACGCTGATGAAACGCCTCTGTGTATTTCCCCATATTTAAAAATAAGAATATTTGACAGTGAATTCCAGATTTTCTTTATCTTGTGCCATTGTTTTCTTCAGGTTTTTATCCTGGTCCGCCGCTTCAGGTGAGAATGAACCTCGTGGCTTAATTAAAAATAGAAAGACGTCTGGTTTCTGTCCATTTCCAGCTTTTCAAAATAACAGGGAGCAACACCTGGACGAGATATAAGAAGTCAGGTGCATCATCAGTCAGACTTCAGAGAGACGTCGGAACTCATCTGTTGAAAAGAGCAGTTCAGTTCTTTACTATCTTTTTCTTTTTCTTTTTTAAGTTACTTTTTTTTGGATATTTTTTATGCCTTTATTTTGACAGGACAGTGTAGAGAGACAGGAAACTGAGGGACAGAGAGAAGGGTAACGACATGCCGCAAAGAGCCAAACCAGGGACCCGCTCTCTACTGTCTCGGTTCTTGGCTATCTCAAACCGGACTATGGTACAATGAATTCTGGGAGACGTTTTTCAAAATGTAAAAAAAAATGGCAGACCGAGGAACCACATCCAACCACTCAACTCCATTTACCTCAGCAGAAAATGTTTGTCTTTTGGAAGAATTCATCAGTTACAAATAGATAAATTGAAACAATGAATAAAAAATAAATATATTAAAAAAACCTGATTTGGAAAAAAAAACAACAACTGTGTTTTCTAAAAACTCTTCCTTTCTCATTTCTCTCTCCATAACAATGTTAGCAAACCACAAATCATGTTTGCCTGTTTTTGTTGTTGTTGGGTGCTGCTCAGCGCAGGTGTCTTTGATTGTTACCATGGTAACATTGGTCTCAGGTCCACAGTGTTGGTCCAGTCTTAAATTCGTCTAATGAAAGTCAGACTGTTTCACAAACTTAAAGACTGACTCATTTTAAGCCAAAAACAATAGACACCTTACCCCCGAGGCTAACTCAGGCCTAAGGCAAAGCATGTTACCATGGTAACAACCAATGACACCTGCACTGAGCAGCAGCACCCAACAACAAAAAACAGGAAAACATGGCTCATAATCCGTGGTTTTCTAACATTGTTATGGAGAGAACAAAGAGAGAAGGGAAAGAGTTTTTATAGACGGCAGCCATTTTATTTTCTAACAAAGATTATTATTATTTTCTATTGTTATTGTTTTGTTGTTGTAAAACTTTCTTGTAACTGTTGAATTCTTCCAAAAGACAAACAACATGCTGCGGGTAAACGGAGCTGAGTGGTTGGATGCGGTTCCTGGGTCGGCCATTTTTTTTTTTTCATTTTTGTGTTAAGTGTTAATTTACCCATAATTCATTGTACCACAGTCCGGTTTAAGATAGTCAAGAACTAAACTGCTTTGCACAACGGATGAATTCAGACGTCTATCTGCAGTCTGACTGTTTGTGAGATCTAAGACACAGTCAACGTCCGTCTTTGTGAAACTTTCACTGCTTATTTCTTTTCCTCTGAACCTGTTTATACTGTACTGCCATAAATTCCCTGAATACTTGATCAGTTTTACAGCAGGACGACCTGATGACACAGACATTCAATGATCATACTCATGCAGCTTTTAGTTCGAGCTCTACATAGTGCCACTTAGTTAAGAGTTAAGAGTTTAACACCAAAACACAAACACAAACAAAATATAAAAACATGATACGATGCTGCATCAATATGAATTAAAATCAGTCTTACTTCAGTTGCTGAATGATAACTCTCTTACTCTGGCTTGAGTTTTTCTAATTACACACCTGGTTTATGTCGTAAAAAAGAACAAATTCTAGACAAAAGACACGTTTAAAAGATATTTCCAGGTGCATTTCAGTGAATGAGTGTCAGTGCTCACCTGTGCGGCTCAGTCTGTGTTGTACGGCTGTGAAGAGGAAACACTACAGACAGTCACTGTGTCTCTGATCTCATCAGGCTGAGGGAAAGTGTCTTAGGGTGAGACTCAGTTCAAAAACTGTCCCTCCTTCACTTTGTCTTTGTCTCCGTCTCTTTGTCCTCGTCTCATCCTGAAAGGTGAATTCAGAGTCACAGCAGAGTTTCAAGTCTTCAGATGAGAAACTTGAAGCATGAATCAGAGGGAGGAGGTGACATGAAGCAGAGAGCAGACACAGACGAGGAGAGGAGGCTCATCTACAGATTTGAGACTCGTCCCCAGTGGGGGGGGGGGTTTAGAGTGGCAGGTGGATCTTGCTCTGAGCCCTGACAGCCTCTGGGAGCTTTGTGATTGGTCGATCAGCTGCAATGTCACCAGCTGGCACGGCTACAAATTAGCCACAGATGCTAATAATCTCTCGTCCTGTTTGTTCAATAGAAAAAACACAACTTTTAAAAAACATCCTCTGTTTTTATCAACCTGTAAAGTTCCTACAAAGTTGAACTGAATTCACATTTAATCACATTAAATCACAGTTACAACCTTAATGATTATTAATGAGTAACAACAGGAGACACAGAGTGGACCATGACAGATGTTACAGTGAATATCAAGGTTTAATTTTAACTTTATCTACATGATAAGAAGCCACGTCAACAGTTTGCATCAATGTGAGTCATGTGATGTGAGTCTGTAATAACTGTGCTGACCTCCTGACCTCGGTGTATTAACAAAGGGACATATTAGCTGAAAATTCACATTGTAAAGTTGAAATCCTAAATGTTCCTCAACGTAGAAATGTTTTTTTTTCTGTCGTAGTACTACAACGCCCATGAGTCTCTATTCCGAACACTTTGCTGTTGTAACTGTATGAAAGTGCAGAAACTGAGCAGGTGTGCTGGTTGTGTCTGAGGTCAGAGGTAAAAACCCTCACAGCACAGAAACCGGGCCGACACAGTGAATCCTATTACACACACACACACACACACACACACACACACACACACACACACACACACACACACACACACACACACACACACACACACACACACACACGAAGCTGGAGTGTGCCACTAGAATAATTATGTATTTATTCTAAATTAATGACAATAACAATAAAACACACTTTTAGTGAGTCATTAAATTTATTTAAAAAGCTTTTACACTTCATTTATTCGTCAATACCAACAGTTTAATTTATAATCTGACCTCATGAAGAAGCATTTCAACATGTAAACACAGTAACCCCCCCCCCGTTTGTATAGATGACAGTGAAGCTGAATGATGCAGAGAGAAGAAACTAATCCTCCTGTTAAACCGCCTGAGCTACATCTGCCCTGCACAGGATTAACCTGAGACACAGAGACAGGGAGGAGAGGGGCAGGAGGGGCGGTGGGGTGGGGGGGGGGTTTTAGAGAGACACAGACATGATTTTATCTTGATCTTTAATTAATTAGCGCACGTACAGTAAGCACGTGTCAGAACGGAGCTGCAGTGATGGAAACTTCTGGTTGAGTTGAACCAGTTCAAAGGTTCAGAGTCAGAGACGAGGTTCTGCAGGAGTCACGGAGCTCAGCGGTGCAAAGCAACGACGCTTCTGTACTTACAGCAGCTTCAGTTCATATATTATATAATAACAATGTACTGGATGAAACGACAGAGTAGAAACAGTGTTTAATGTTCAGGTGTTCAGGTAGAGATGAACCTACAGAGTGAGTTTCAGCTCATCGTTGATCTGGACACAGCTTCACTCTGGTGAACACAGTGTTGTCACACCTGCTTGTTTTAGTCTGGTTAAACTGAACCCTGCTTCGTTTTCCCCGGTTAGATGTTGTTTGAGGATTAAATTTACTTTCAAGGACGTGTTTTCTTTTGTTATTTTCTTCTACAAGTTTCACATTTTCCTCCTCTGACCAATTTGGTTTTCTTGCCTTCTGACATTTTTTTCTTCTGGCCAACTCAGATGTTAAACGGTATCACAAGCTGGTCTCCATGGAAACTGTAGAACTGTACCGCTGTAAAATCTCTTTCATTGCTGCAAATGCCTTAACGTTTTTTCCTGACTGAGCCTGATTTCCCGCCAACGCTGAGACTGAATCCTTCTGATACTCTGAGGTTTAACTTAACCAAGCATGTGTTACTACAACTCCACACTTTACTTCACTTTTACTGCAAATCCCAAACACAAACTGGCTTATTGACGTTCTCCTCAGATCTTCCTCGTTCTCTCTTGTTTCCTGTCCTTTCATTCGTCTCCACGTCTTATTTACATTTGACTCAGTATCTTTTTTTCTATCCTAACTGCTGCTCTTATTTTTTATTTCCCGTCCTTATCCTTCTCTCCTCCTTTTCTCCTCCTCCCTGTTCATCTGCATAATTCCTCCTCCCTCTATCACACCTCTCTTCCTTGTTTCTCTCCTCCTCACCTACTTTCAGATCCTTCCCTCTCTGTTTTGTGCTCCTCCCCCTCTCTACTCCTCTGCTCGGGTCCAGCTGACAGGGATCCACTGCGGTTCCTCCTGAGCCTGCTGGATGATGGAGCACAGCTGGATGCAGGCGTCCTGCAGGTCGTCGTTCACCAGCACACAGTCGAAAAACTGTCTGTACTTTCCCTCCATCAGCCAGGACACCTCCTCCAGCTCCACGAAGTCGTCCTCCTGCAGGAGCAGAAACATGAACCTGTGTTGAATGGACACTCGTACCATTTTCAATATGTGCTCCTCTTTCACCGTTAGTCTTTCAGTTACGCCTTGACGGAACTTCTTCATATTTGGCACAAACATTCGCTAGGACTCAAGGATGAACTGATTAGAATTTGGTGGTCAAAGGTCAAAGGTCATGGTGATCTCACGTTCTTGTGAATGCGATATCTCAGTAACGCTTCACGACATGTTTTTCTCACAAATTCATTCACTTATTATGACACAATTTAGCCCAAATGTCTATAAGGACAAAATAAAGTGATGACTTTTTATATCCAAAAGGTCAAAGGTCATCTTCACTGTGACATCATAATGTTCCGCAAAAACACCTCTGGCCATTATTCAACACTGTAACTCAGGAAGAAGAGACTGTGACCATGTTTCTTCTAGTTATATTTTCTAGTTTTTTATTCTAGTTTAGGAACTGTTTTGAGGTTTAGCTTCTTAAGTGATTGACTGACTTTCTTTCTTTTATTCTGTTTAATGAGACAAACTAAATGTGCAGGGATTTCTACAGCGTTGTTCCTTCACTCTGTTGGTTTTGTAGAGAAGAAGCAGAGACTCCCTGAGAATGTGTCTGTGAATTCACTCATTTCAATGTAAAAGGAAATTAAACTCAGATTGTGCCTGTGTTGTGTAGTATCTGGTCTGACTGAGGGTTCAGACGGAGAGCGGCGCTCTTACTGTGAAAGCTCTGTTGACGCTGTAGTGTGTGATGAGCCCGGCGTCTCTCCGACTCTGTCTCAGTCTCTCTGGGCCGGGGGCCTTGATGAAAATCACGTAAGGCTTCAGTTTTCTCGTGCGCAGTGGTGGGATACTCTGTAACAATAAAAAAGCGCATCTTGGATTACTGTATTCATCCAGCTGAAAATAGTCCCCAACAAATACACCACATTCTCCTGTTAAATAACCTTAGTGCTAAAAATGACAATGACCAGCAGCCTTTAAAGAAACTCATGGTTCAAGTATCTGTGCCACGTCGTTACAGGACGTCTGCTGCTTAATGAAACTCACGTGCGGCTCGACATCGATGATGCACATCCGTCCTCGTCTCAGCACGTCGTCAATGGCGTCGATGCTGGTCCCGTACAGGTGTCCTTTATACTCGCCGTACTCCACAAACCTGAACATACACACGTGAGAAATTAGTTACCGATTAAAATGAACTGAGTTGAAGACACAAACACTAACACTTCTAAAGCAACAAGTTCAAAATACAAGAAATACTAAATAAGAACCAAACTAACACTGAGCACTATAAAATGCATAATGAATGAAAATACAGTCAAACAAAACTGTCCTGTAAAAAAACAAGTCCACAACTCGTCTGTTGATACTGTAACCATGACAACAAAGACCATGTAATGTTGAGGAAGTACTTATCTTAATCCAAATCATGATCTTTTCATGAACCTAACCAAACTGTGGCTGTTATTATAGTAACCATAGCAACAAAGGTAGGTACACCACTCTATGTACAGTACGTTTATTATTGTAGCAAAACACAATTTAAACCATATGAAAAGTGTAACTAGTCAAGAGAAGATAAAAGCTCACCTGTGGTTACAGACCATGTACTCAAACAGCTCTTTGGTGACAAAGTGGTACTCTCTTCCTGTCTGCTCCCCTGCACTGATTGGACGAGTGGTGTCTAATGAAACAGAACAACAGCCACAACCAGGTGTGTAATTATTACAGTAACTGATGGTTACAAAGACGCAGAGTTCAGCACCATGAAGCAAATCCAGCAACAAGCCCCTGACAACAGCTATCAGTCACTTCCTGTTTGTTGTTCGTCCAACTTTGTCTCCCAGAAATTCTGTTCCTTACCAACTAAACTACAACAACAAACATGTTTTGTGGGAAATGTAACAAAATATAACATAATAAAAAATAACATAACTTAAACTAACGTAAAATAAAATAACGTAACATAGATTAACATAAAATAATGTAACACAATGTAATGCAATGTAATGTAATGCAATGCAACACAACGTCATGCAATGCAATGTCACGCAACCCAACATCACGCAATGCAACATCACGCAATGCAACATCACGCAACGCAACGTCATGCAACGTAACTTGAGGAAACACTTTAAATGAATGTGTTGAATTTGTGGGGGGAACATACGAGGTACGGGTCCCTGGAAGGTCGAAGGGTTCAGTTTGATGAGTCTCTTCCTCAGTTCAGTAACTCCAACTCCTGAAGCCCCTGTTCAGAGGAGGAGGAATACAATGATGGTGCTGGACAAACACTGGGACACTGATCAAGAATATGAACAGAGTATTACACAGTAAGAGATGGAATGTAAGCTCTACACAAAATAACTTAAAGGGGTATTCAAGCAGATTAGTATTGTAGTTCCATAGAGTTTGGAGATTTATAAGGTCTTTTATTTTGTCTTTTCACTTCTACGCTGACGACACTCACTTATCCGTCACGTGATGATCCCTGGAGACTAATTGACCTGAGGCACTGCCTGGACTCTATGAGAAGTTAGACATGACATGATCAAAAGACCCTGCAGCAGAAATATTTTATCTTTTTACAGTATGGAAAAATGAATTTAGTTAAAAAATTTAAAAATTAAACTTTTTGCATTACTCCATTGTTGTTATTATAAGATTATAGTTATTACCTGTCAAGTAATACAATAACTCTAAGTTATATTATATGTAAGTCTTAGCTGGATATTTACAGACCTCGACCTAGAATGAAGGTAACTGAAGATTTGTCTTTACTTTTAAACTTTGGAATATTTTACTTCTTACTATTTAATTTTCCAGTTCAGCAGAAAATCTTTGAAAAAGTTCTCAAGACTCTTTTCTTCACTTATGTTCTGCCATTTTATTTTGCTGCTTGTGTGTTTGTTACTGTCAATTCTTTGATATTTAATTGCTTTTATTGTAAAGCACTGTGTAACTTTTGTTTCGAAATATACTCATAAACAAACTGATTGACCAAAAACAAACAAACAAGTAAATTGCTTGTGGAAAGTCTGCGGACTGTCTCTTCTAAGATGTTTTACAGGGAGGTGAGACTTACTACAACTAAATTATTACAACCCAAGTAAGCCATAGTAAGTATGGCAATACAACACAAGAGACCCTGTTTCAAATAGTTTCTC